GCGGGCTCCCCCAGCCTAACAGGGAGCCGCCTCTGTCACGTGCCTGCGAGGTGGGACACAAGCTGGCTTACAAGTTGGTTCGACATAGCCAAATCCGCGTGCCACATTTCCACGCTATCGAGTGCTGGTCTTCATGAGTGTGCCCCTTGACATGACACAATAGGAATAAAAGCCGGGAGGCCAAGGAAAGGCCCTCTTTGGGGGTGGGGGCGCGGCGGCATGTGACCCTCGCCGCTGTGGGGAAGACCCGCCTTCAGGACGGAGCGCCAGCGGTGCAGAGGCCGCCTGGGACTGCCCGGAGGCCGGTGGGGAGCGGGCCAGCGAAAGCCCGTGCGCCCTCAGAGCCGGGGAAGGCGCGGGTCAGGACCCGGGTTCGCCTGCAGAGGCCGGGCAGCGCTGCAAGGCGTGGGGGCGCCCCCGCCCGGTGGCTCCGGGGCTGGTGCGACCCTGGGCACGCCGGGGCCGGGGCCGGAGCCGGGGGTCGCGGCGGCCGGAGAGGGGGAGGAGCCGCGCGGCCCCGCCGGCGCCCCGCGAGCCAGGGAAAGTGAAAGGGCGGCGGGGCCTCCCGCGCGCCGCTCCAGGAAGTCGCGAGCAGGAAGCGCCCGCGGCGGCCGGGCCCGGCTGCGGTGCGCGGGCCTCGGCGGCGCAGGTGAGGCGCGGGGCCGGGGCCGGGCCGGGAGGCGGGGACCCCCAGCCCCACCGCCCGCACCTGCGGGGCCATCGGCGCTCGGGCGCCGCAGCCGCTCAGCACCTGCGGCTGCCGCAGGGAGCCGGGCGCGGGGCCCTGCGCACTCGGAGCTCGGCTCCTTTCCTCCTTCCTTTTCTTTTTTGGGGGGGTAAGTCGGGGCTGGTTTGGATGTTTTCGGAGAGCTGGGGACGGTCTCAAGCTGTTTTCGCGGAGGGAAGTCTTTGAAATACGACATCTAGAAGAGTAGCCCTAGGCGACAATGCCGGGCGTTCCCGGACCGGGGCAACGCTGGGATTCCGGGGAAGTGGAGGCAGAGGGAGCGGGCACAGGGCCAGTAGCCGCTCCACGGAGTCCCCGGCAGGGGCGAGCTTAGCTGTCCTGCCGGGTCCCCTGCCCACCCCGGCCCGGGCCGCGGTGACAGCTGAGGGTCCAGAGAGCCGGCAGGAGGGGACCCTGCGCATTGTCTGCCGCGATGGGGACGTGGGCGTGCCCGCGGAATTCACCTCCTCCGGGGACCAGCCGCCCAGGGAGGAGCCGGCACAGAACGCTGGCTCGGAGCGCTGGCACCCTGGGCCTTTGCGTTGTCTGTCGGCTGAGCAGCTGGTTCCCGGAGCCCGTGGGCCTCCTGGCCAATGCGAGTGACAGCGACCTTCTGGGTTTATAATAAAGGGCTTGACGCGCCGCAAAGTCCCCTAGCCGCTGGCCACCAGCCTTCCAGCCCTTACGGCCCACGCTGCGATCCTGGTGACCGAGAAGGTACGTACAGTCTCAGGATTTGCATTTGAACGAAGGGTACTGGCCAAGCCCCATACCACCCCCACTCCCCGCCAACACCCCAGCCCGCGGCCCCAGTTTTGAATCTCCAAAGGAGGAATTGCTAAAACCTGCGCTTTCCTGGTCTCCCTTAGCTTTTTGCCTGGAAGGTGCCTGCCTGCCTGCCGGCCTTTGAACTTAAATTGTCTGAAGTTGTGTAAGTGAATACATATTTTAGACTCCCCCCCGGTGTTTCTTTATTAATCCCCTTTTAGAGCAAGCTTGAAAACCTCTGGCTCCAGACCTGTGATTCACCAAGTCATTTTGAAACTGCATTTACACGTTCTGTTTCATGCAGCCCACCTGTGATGTTCTGTTTGTTGGGGGTTGGGGGCAGGTGGTGCAAATGTAATTCAGGTTCCTTGTACTTCAGCCAAGGGGAAAGAGATAGTGACCATTTCATTCATCTTTAATATGGAAAGCGCCTTTAAAAGCAAAAAGCCATAGAAAGAGCACACTTTGGACAGGAAGTTGTATTCTATCTCTTAATTTAAAAAAAGTAAAAGAAAAATGCATGAAAACTTTTGTTTTGCATTTCTCACCCATCTTTGCCTGTAAAGTGAGACCCAGTTGTTAAAAAAAGTCACGAAGTAGATTATTTAAAGTATCTATAGGGCCACTTTGATTACGTGTAATGGCACCTCAGCCCTAAAAAGACTGTTGAACCTTACTCCTGCTATTACTCACTTCCTATCCTCATTATTTGAGCCTCTTCAGATTACTTGGAACCTTCTAGGCAGCACAGATCACAAGTGGGTGGGTCTGGGAGTGGAGCTTGTGAATGTATCTTTCCCTCAGCTCATTCCGTTTTACAGTTGCCTAGGGTGGGTTTGTTTTTTCAAGAGATGGGTATAAAACCATGTGTCTTTCAGGGTTTTTTCTTTTTTTTTTTAACTTTCAGTTTCAGGGGTACATGTACAGGTTTTACAGGTTGTAATAAAGATGCTCTAATGGGCTGTTTCCTCAGTTACTATCTTTTTTATTTTTTTAAGACAGGGTCTCGCTGTGTTGCCCAGGCTGGAGTGTGGTGGTGCAATCTCAGCTCACTGCAACCTCCACCTCCTGGGTTCAAGTGATTTTCATGCCTCAGCCACCCGAGTAGCTGGGATTACAGGTGTGCACCACCATGCCCAGCTCATTTGTGTATTTTTGGTAGATACGGGGTTTCGCCATGTTGGCCACACTGGTCTCGAACTCCTGGCCTCAAGTGATCTGCCTGCCTCTGCCTCCCAAAGTGCTGGGATTGCAGGCGTGAGCCACCGTGCCCAGCCTAAGTTGCTATCTTTGACAGTGCAATGAAACTGGACATTCTGCCGCTTTTCCTCCCTGGAATGGTAAGTTCCAGGGGCACCTGTAGAGAGTGACTTTTTAAAAAAAGTATCTCTTCTTTTTATGTACTTGGGCTGTGCGCCAAAAACTGGGTTTAAACCAAGTGATTTGTTCCCATTCTGCTGCCCTTTCTCTGCAGGGGATGGGCAGGAGGAAGAGTGGCTGGAGGGAGGAGGTGGCTCAGAGAAACAGGACAAACTGGAATCTGCCCCACTTATCCAGCTGACCCAGGCGAGCCGCCTAGCCTCATTTTTCTCCCTTGTGAAATGAACGCCCTGCCTCTTCAGGGTGGTCACGGGGCTCAAATGAGAGCGTGTCAGTCATGGTTGGTGCTTCCAGAGGTCTTGACCCACTGGAAATGAAGTGGTTTTCTGTGGTGCTGCACAGGCTAGGGAGGAAGGGCCTCATTAGTTGAGCTCTTTAACATCCCAAATGTAAAATCACTGTCTTTGCACATCTTAACTGCACTCACTATGAGAATTTATAGCACTCTTTTTTCACCCATTTTACAGGGAAAAGAATTCATCCTTGTTTTAAAAAGAAATCAAAGAGGTTTTTTTTTCCCTCTTGACTTGTCAGTGCTTTCTGGGCCTTTGATGTTGTTGTCACAGGTGTTATCAGAGCTGGAGGTTTTTTATTTATTTCGTAGATGGCAGTGGAATGTTTCCAGACAAGCTGGACATGGAGAAGCGGCACTTGAGGGGAAGGTGTTTGCTTCTGACCATCTGTTTCCAGACACTGGTGAACCCAATTCTTTACTCTGAAGCTGTCATCACAAAGTCATTTCCCAGAGTAGATCCAGACCCAGACTGGAGCCCACCCATTTGGAGCAAAAGATTGCTTAAATCTAGAGGTTTGAGCAGACGTAGTTTTGAAGTCTTTGTGGCTGTTCATTCAACATGAGTTTCTTGAGCACGTGGTCTGTGCTGGGTTCTGGACAAGGAGATGGAAGTAGGACCTTGCCCTGCAGTCCTGGGCCTTCCTCTTTTGAATTTACAGTGAGGATAATATCAGCTAGTGTTTGTTGGGCATTTACTACATACCGGGCCACTTACCAAGTGCTTCCCATAGGTTATCTCATTGCGTGTTTATAACAACATAGATGCCATCATCCCCATTGTTTAGCCTGGAGGGAGAGGGAGCAGAACAGTTAAGTGACTTGCCTCAGCTTACACAGCCCAGGGTCAGCCTTGGAACAGGAGGTATTGAAGTGGGGTGAATCCCACCTGTTCAGGCCCTGGAGGACCTACCTAGGAGAAAGGTGTAGTTCTGACTGGAGCAGACAGAAGAGATGAGGGGCGGCTCCTGGGACGAAAGCTCAGCGGGGATTTTGAATCTTTTTGTAAAAGGTGGTATAAGGGAAAATCCTTGGAGAATGTGCATTTTAGGAAGCTCACTCTCGAGGGAGGCAAAAGTGAATGTGGGGAACTGATTGGCTTTGGAGGACACAGTGACTCAGGAATGTCATGAGTTTGATGTTGGCATGGGAGACCGGGCCTGCCTGCTGTGCTGGGCCCACTCTCAGTTCTCAGGCCTCCTTCCCCATTCCTTCCTATATTGCTCTGCCTTCAGCCCTGAGTTCATAATCAGGTCATTTTCTATGACCTCTGAGGTGACCACAGAAGATGAAAATTGAAGAGGCAGACAGAAGCAAATTCATTCCTCCTTTGGATTTAAATGGCAAAGTCACAATTAAATAATTGGTTTGATCTGCCCTCTTGTCTAGGCCGACGTTTCTCTGTCACTATGGTTCAAAGGTGACCTGGCCCACAGGGGTGGAACTGAGCCAGTCCAGTGCCCTGGCATGCCCTGGTATCTGGGCACATAGCGTGGCTGCTGGACACATATTTGGTTTTGTGAATGGGTTGATCTCTAGATGCCTCCCAGATAGAGATGAGTTTCTTGGTTCCTTTTTATCCACCATCAGAACGTTGTTTGAAATTCATTTCAGGGTTCTCAGAACAAACCGCCTCGAGGGCAGATACTCCACCTCATTCCACCTCTTCCTAGTAACACTCGTGGTGGGGACCCCTGCTTGTATCAGATGTCCAGCTTTGATCAGGACGGGGTACTGTAACTACTGTACATGTGTGTGGTTACTTCTGCCAGTAATGCTGAATGTGTGAATGTCAGGACACTGGACTCTGAATGCCTGTCCTCCTCCTTGTAGAGAGCAGAGCCACTGCCAGAAGGAAGGGGACAAGACCCAGCAGGACACCTTCTTTCCACGCTTTCCAGCCTGTGGGAGCGGCAGGGGCAGCAGAGGGAACCTGGAGCTGGGATTAATGACCCATTTATGAAGCATCTTATTCTGCGACCGAGGCTGTGTGGTCAGTGGCAACGTAAATGGCTCAACTCCCCGCTGGCATTCGCTTCATCATCTCGTTCTCCAGGGATCAGTGGTGAGTCCTGGCGGGGCAGGCCCTTGGCATGGAGCTGTGTATAAGTGAGGGCTACTGTGCAGGTAGTTGTGTTGCCCCAGTTTCATTATAAAACACATAAAACTTGAATCACTGACCTCGCCCATAACCGTTGAATTGCTTACTGGCAGTGGAAGCCATGACCCAGAACAGCGCTGAGGTGTCCTTTGCCCTTGGTACTGGCATTGTCAGATAGTGTTTGGGCTTCCGCGTGGTCTCCAGTGGTTTCTGGAAGAATCATGGTCCCTACAGAAAAGTGACCACAGACTACCAGCAGGGTTAGCAAACGACTGTGGTGAAATAAGCACATAACTTGTATGTAAGTTACACAACTCTGAGCTCAGATGAGTGGCCTCGCTGGGGCAGAACTTTCAGAGAGAAAATGAAATGTTCTGGTGCAGCTCAGAATGCCGCTTTCTGTTCAGAGAGCACCTCCCCTTGCGTATTGTGAGAATCCTCCTCTTAGGTAGCCTCATTAATTCCATTCTCCTTGAAGAAAACAGTTGACAAGCCCAGAGTCTGAAGCTGGCCTCCCTGGCCTCTAACTTGTCCTGCTGAACTCTTCTGGGAGAGGAAAAACTTTGCTTCTACCCTCGTAGGTTCTGTTTTGGGGGAACTGGGAATTAAACTGACAAAAGACAGACTAGCAAGAGAAAAGACAGATTTCACCACTTACGTACAAGAGGTCATAGAAAAGTGTCCCTCAAAGGGGCATTTAGAATTCTGGGCTTATGCGCCGTCCTTCACAGGGGAACGGGAGTGGGAGAAGGGCACTTGTGGGCAAACAAATGGCTTTTTGGAAAGACAAGTGGGCCCTCAAGAGAACAGATGGGCGATGTGATAGTTTTGTGACCATTCCTGTTTCAGTGCAGTGTGGAGGCTTCTCATCTCCAGTGGTAAGAGTCCAGCTTCCCTGGCTGCTTCTTGGGACAGAATTTATAGCAGGTGGATTCTTTTGAATTCTTTTGGGGAACTCTGCTTTTCAGTAGCTAAGAGAATTCAGGAACGCAAATGCCTTCTGCTCCAAATGATTTTGATGCCACAGCGGCGGATTCTGGGCCTATTCATCTCCTCCGCGCCAACCTCCTGGCAGCCCCCAGCCCTGCGCAGCTTCTCAGCCCTGCTGGTTGGTGGAGCATCCACAGGGTGTCTCAGGTTTGACTTGAGGGCATCTGTGTTCTTCAACCAGATTGCTTCTCTTCTTGACTCATTTCGTGTCTGCTGTGAGTCTAGCCACAAGTGCCTGAACAATTTGGTTTTATTTAGTGAGTGTTTAGCTTCTTCATTTTGTAAGTTTATTTTGATATAATTTCAAACTCACGTAACTTACTAACATCTGTAAGAAGTTCCTGTAGAACCACTGTATGTCAAAGATCAACATTTAGCCTCATCTGCTTCTCTCCCTGCCCCTCCACAGTGTGTGTGTATGTGTGCGTGCATGTGTGTAGATGTATGTTTGTACACACACACTTGTCTGAACCACTTGAGAGTAAGTTGCAGACATCATACCCTTTTATTTGTAAATACTTCCGTGTGTATTTCCTATAAAGAAGACATCCTCTTATAAAACCACAAAACCACAGCAAAAAGATCAAAATCAGGAAATTTAACACTGATAAGATACTGTTATCTAATCCACGGTCCATGTTAAAAATGATATCAAATATCGTCAAATATCTGTGATAGCATTTCTTCTTCTGTTCAGGATCTAGTCAGGTTCATACATTGCATTTAATTATCCTACGGGTCTAGTCTCTTCATCTGGCACTGTTCCTCGGCCTTTTTTCATCTTTTCTGACCTTGACTTTTTTTCCTTCTTCTGAGACAATGGCCTTGTTATGTTTCAAGAGTTCAAGCCATTTATTTTATAGAATGTGCCACATTTTGACTTTGTCTGTTATTTCCTCATCCTCATGATTAGATTCAGATTATGTGTTTTTTACAGAAATCCCATAGAAATGAGGCAGCTTTCTCTTTACTGGAGAAGGAGTTACAGACATGGGAAGAGGGAGGGGAACTGGAAGGAACTGAGTAGGGCTGGATTGGAATGAAAGGTCTCGGGATAAACTGGTGACGGTCAATATAGAAATAGAGAAGGGTGTGTGTGTGCATGTGTGTGTGAATGTGTGTGTGTGTAAAATGCACCCTGCTGGGAGGTCCTGGGAACATTAATAGCACTAAAGTGAGCACACTTTGGTCTGGGATCTTGGTTTCTGCATGGCATCTCCCACTAAAAGGAGTCAGGAGTCCTCAGAGACCTGGCCAATGCCAGGACTGGGGCAGGGCAAGGAAAAGATGAGCCAGGAACATCTTGTGCCAGAAAATAAGGAAGTGCTTACAAAGGTACTCTGACTTGTCAAATCTAGGACAATCTGAGATTTACAATAAATGAGACTCATTGTGAATGATAGCCCATTGAATAGCATAAGACTCTGGCGAGTCCTACTGATGTAACTGAATAAGTAGGAGAAATGCACGCTCTCTGTACAGTGGACACTGGCTGCTAGGTGGAGCGGGGATGTGGAGCCACTGCAGGGTGCCCAGCGCAGGGACAGAACGCCAGTGGATGCACTCCATGGGGCGGCAGCTTAAGGAACAGGATATCTGCATCATCTCAGAGCAGGTTTCCAGAAATTCCATATTCATTACTTAGAGGGAAACGTAGTTGTTTCACTGAGGGACGATGAGGCAGACAGCACTTTAACCAAGGACCAACGTCAGTGTCACTGCCGTCCTGCGCCTCCTGACAGGATACTCTGAACAGGACATGGCATCGCTTCTCTGTCTGGTTTCCTTGTTTCTGAAGTGAGGATGTCTTTGGACTAATTTCTGCACCAAATATCACTCAGTAATTCTCAAAAGCATTTCTTTATTCCTTATTTGCATATGATTGAGGTAATAGCACTCAAACAAGGTGACAGATATTTTGCGGAAGCCTCTCACCCTAAGCAGGCTGCCGTCCACCTGAGAACATGTGGTCTTCGAAACCATCTCTGAGGAGGCTCAGAGGGGCACCCCCATCTGGGGCTGTCGTTGCTGAGACCTGCTTTCTTGCTAGAAATGTGGGATTTTTTGTATTGGTGGAAGCCAGGCATGCTGTAAGTAGTCATAACTGCAAAAAGTAAGCCGAACACTGAGGAGCAGATCGATTAGATCATTTTTTTATTGTATTTGTTTTATATTCATAAGTCTAAACCTAACACAAAACAAAAATGAAAGGATTATATTAGCCTCCTGGGGCGGCTGTAACAAGGGACCACAAGTTGGGTGTCTTGAAACAACAGGAATTTACCCTCTCACATCCCTGGAGGTCAGAAGTCCAAAGTCAAAGCGTCAGCAGGGCCACCCTTCCTCTGCAGGCTCCAGGGACAGACCCTCCTTGCCTCTTCCAGCTCCTGCTGCTGCTGCAGTCCTTGGCTGGTGGCTGCATCGTGCCAGTCTCTGCCTGCGTGGCCACATGGCCTCCCTTTCTGTCCATCTCTGAGTCTTTGCGTGGCCTTCTGGTGAGGACATCAGTCATTGGAATTAGGGTTCACTCTATCTAATATGCCCTCACCTTAGCTAATCATGTCTACATGACCCTGTTTCCAAATAAGGTCACATTCTGAGGTTTTGGGTGGACATGAAATTATGGGGGACGATATTCAACCCAGTACAAAATGAATAAAAGGAAACAAATATCATCCAAAACATCTGCTTTATAAACGATAAAGAAAATGTAGATAGAATTACAAAATAAGAAAGGACTTCGGGAGGGCTATTTGGCTTCTGGGGGTTTGAGTCCATCCATGCTGCAGAGTGAAGCGTCTGCCTACCCAGAGGCCAGGCATGTCGGGGTGACCACCAGCAAGGCAGCGGCCCGAGTGTGGCTGCCACGGTATAGCAGTGGCCATGGGAGCTGAAGTCAGACCTTTCAAAGAGGAAAGTCCAGCCTCTAGCCACTTCCTCCCCCATCCCCAAGCCCCAGGTCCTAAGTACAGAAGATGAAGAAAATGAAGGAGGAAAGACTAATTTGCAAATAGAAGCAGAGTTGGTCTGACACCAGCTAAATAAATCTAGGGTTTTCCTCTTCAGTCTTTAGGAACATTCCAGTTTCCTGTGTAAATGGACCCTTTACCTATCCCGGCCCGCGGGATAGTCGAAGCAGGCCCTGGAGGAGGGGGTGGGAATTTGGGGAACAAGAGATACGAGAAATGGAGACAAGACAGTGCTCTGATCAAGTCTCGTTTAATGGCGGTAATGCAGTGCCTTATATACACTTGGAGGGAAAGGGGTTGGGCCAAGGCGAAAATGATCTCATAGTGGAGGCGTGGCCAGATAGGTATTGGTTTCTCTGGTCGAACGTCATGTTGCACCTGCGCTGTCAGGTAGTAATTTTCGCGGGCGCGGGAAAAATGGGTGAAGAAGCAGCAGGAAGAGCGCCATCTTTTATGAGGTATTAATACAGGGAAAAAAGGCAAAGATAGGGAGAAGGTGTGGGGTGGAAATGAATATAGCTCAGGCGTTTTTAATCGTCAGTTATTATTCGCTATGGCCGGGGCGTGCAGCTCCGGACATTTACCCAATTCTACAGGACGGCTTCTCAGGCCGGTTACACTGTGGCAGTGACTCTTCCCAAAGGGGCTCACTCATTAAGGCGTCTCCCTCCACACAAGGCTGAACTGAAGGTTCCAGAGGCATGTGCTGCCCCCTGTGTGCTCCTCAGTGTTCTCAGGGCATCTCTGGGTGTGTGCTGTGAGCACCAGCCGGGAGTCATCCCGCAGAGGAAAGCAGGGGCCCAGAGCACATCCCCAGGGCCTGATCACCCAAGCAGCCCTGACCACCGGGAGTGCGGTGGGTGTCGGGGCCCCAGCACTCTTCAGACCTCAGCCCGACAAAGGGAGACAGCCTTCCTTCTGGGCTGTCTGGGTGGTGAGTGGAGATGTGAGCCCACAGCCCATAGGGCAGAACTGCTGTTCTCAAAATCCTTCCTAGCTGGGTGATAGCACCTATAGAACTGGCGCTGTGGATGGAGAATCCTCAAGGGTGCAGGAGAGATGCTCCATGGACTTGTCTGAGACTGACTGGGGAGGTGCTGGAGGGAACTTGGCCTGAGAACTTTGTTCACACGTTTTGAGGACATTGGAGAAGGAAACCCTGTACTCCAATGAGGGCTGATCAGGGTCACCCATCAGCCTTACTTGCCCTAGTTAGCTGAAGCAGGTGGGGTGGAAGTGACCAGTTTGTCAGGCTGTGGGCTGGACAAGTGAGCATTGAGGGCCAGTAAAGCCCAGAGCCTGGAATCTTCCTGCACCGGCAGTTGGAGGCACGAGAAGCAGCGGTGGCCTAACAGAGAGCTTCATCCGAAGCGCTGAGGCTTTCTTTCCTGGTCAGAAAGGATGGTTTTCAGAAACACGAGGACAGAAGCCTGGGCTTCTGGAGCAAATCCACTGGACCCACGTAGCCTTTGTTCTTTGGGCTTTGGGATAAACGACATGCTCGTCTTTTAGAGTTTCACTTTTTCCCCATTTGGCCCTTGCCATGGGCTTGGAGAGGAAGAATTGAAGAAAGGCCATTGGAAGATGGTTCCCTGATGAAAAAGAGAGCGCTGGGGAATTTCTGTCTTCAGTCAGCAGGTATTCTGCAAGTTGGTTTGGTTTGGTTCGGTGCCTTCCCCTACGGCACAGGCATTCCAAAGGTGGTGGTTTTGAGTCCCACAGAGCCACCAACCTTTCTTTCCCACCGGAAATATGGTCTTTTTTTTTTTTTTTTTTTTTAAGAAAAATCTGGAAGTATCTATTTGAACTCTACTTTAGCTGGTAACCAGAGAAGAAGGCAGCTCTGGGATCCTAGGATTTTAGTTACTTGTGGAAAGCTTCCCTCAGAGTAAATCACAACCTTAAAAATGTAGATGCGCAGCTGGGAGAAGCGACCCCTTATCCCAGGGCCTCCCGGAAACGCTGCCTGTCTTTGTCCTGTGTAGGACGCCGCCTTAGGTAATTATTGATTCAGGTTGTTGGTGGCACCATTTGAAGTCATTGGTCTTCCCAGGCCACAAACAGGACAGGTTCTCCAGCGGAGGGAGGTGTGCCTAGGACACAGAAGAGCTGCCACTCGCCTTCCGCTCCTGTCAAATACTTCTTTCTCCCAACACATTTTGTTGCCTCAAAAAGTATTTTTCTATGCGGTGGTTGAGACTCTTAGACTGAAGTTGCCCTTTGTCTTCTCTCTAAGGCACCTTCTTTTCTTCTTTCTTCCTCACACTCATGCTTACTCTTTTGGCTGCTTTTCTCCCAGCCAAACTGAGTGAGGGGCTTTGTGCCAGTGTTTCTGTCATTGGCCTATTGAGAGCCTGCCAGCGTCCCTGACTTTTTCTCTTTGAGGGCTGTGAAATATTTATATGTCTGCCTTGCTTGTGTGCTTCTGAAAAGTTGCGTAGAAACCAAAGAGCCAAAAATAAATATGATCTTAATTGCCCAGGATAGCAGGCTACGCAAGAAACTTGTGGTTAGTTTTGTTGTAAACTAAACATTTCATCGTCCTTGTTATTGCTTTGTAAACTCAAGTGTGCATCTTGAGTCCCAGGTTTCCCTTTGGTTATGGTTTTTTTAAATAAATGAATGTTTTTGATGTTGTGACGTAATAAGAAACATGCGTTTGGTCTCTGGCCCAGGCTCGTAGCACACAGCTCCTGAGTGCTGAATATCTTTTTGTTTGCTAATGAGGTGACTATGGCTGGGGCTCCAGGACAGCCTCTTGGGGGACGGGTTGCCAGGGCAACCGATCACGTGATTAGAGGTTGGAACTCCACCTGTGGACCTCTGGGGAGGGGAGGGATCCCGCAGAGGTGGAGTGGATCACCGGTGGCCGGTGATCTGCTGGATCATTCCTGTATAATGAGACCTCTACAGACTTCCTCAAAGACAGGGTTTGGGGGGCTTGCAGGCTGCCAAGCACGGGGAGGTTCCCAGAGGGTGGAGTCCTGGGGAGGGCACAGCAGCTCCAAGCTGCCTGCCCCATCCCTCGCCCTGTGCATCTCTTCATCTGTGTGTATTCTTTGTGACATCCTTTATAAAAACCAATAAATGTGTCTCCCTGAGTCCTGTGAGCTGCTCTGGCAAATTAATCAAACCTGAGGAGGGGTTCTTGGGAACCATGCTGAGAGCCAGTTGGTCGGAGGAGCGGGCCACAATCTGGGGCTTGCCGTTGGCATGTGAGCCGGGGCAGCCTCAGCCGGAGCCCCGCCCTATGGGGGCTGATGCTGACTCCTGAAGGACAGCGTCAGAATTGAATTCACTTAGAGGACACCTAGTGTCAGCTGGAGAATTGCTTGGTATATGGGGCAAACCCCTATACATATGGTGTGAGAAGTGTGGTGTGTGGCGTGGTGTGCATGAGGGTAGGAAAAGCAGTCTGGTTTTTCCTGTCTCTTACGGTGTTTAGTTTCCATGTGGACAAAGCAAAAGTGGCAATATTTTTGAATGTTCCAATATTATAGTGACATAAGTAATATTGATAGTTGCTGTGGAACTGAATGAATAATACACAGCATAAGAACATTTCAGGACATAGTGACATGTATTCCTAACATAACTTCTGTTATTTCATGTCATCCTCTCCCACTGTTTTGTGTTTCAGGTACAGAGCCTTCATTTTTATTTTGACATTTCTGCTGTATGCAAGTTTTCACTTATCTCGAAAGCCTATCAGCATAGTTAAGGTAAGAATCATGAAAGCACTGCCTGTCGCCTCTGTAAGGAGTTGGTCACTTGAAGGGCGTGTGGGGCAGAGGGTGGGGATGGCAGCAGATGTGCAGGAAAACAGATGATTTAGAAACAAGTTCTTCTGCTGCTTTGGCTTTGCAGTTTCCCTTTCCTAAAATTGACATTTTTTAAATGCTTTTTGGATTTATACTTTCAGAGGTTGTAGACTTTTAGTTATGTTTGTTGACAGTTCCAGAATCTGAAAGCTTAGCTAAATATTTGTTTTATCTTGTGTGACTGTTCCTTCCAAATGTATCCAACCTTAAGTGGTTCCCCAAATTCCAGCTCTTCGTGCTATCTGACCCCAGGTCTGGCCGCGGAGGTGGCTCTCCGTTATTCTTGGAAAGCTGTGTTTTTGTTTTGATCCGACCCCGGGTCTGGCTGCGGAGGTGGCTCTCCGTTGTTCTTGGAACGCTGCATTTTTGTCTGAGTGATGGTGCGCAGGAAGTTGTTAAACAGGTGTTCCACTAGACTTTGAGAAAAGAAGATTAAAGCAGACAAGACTACATAAACACCAGTTATAACCTGGAGAAAAGCAGGAAGAATTTTCTTACCCTCGTTGGGATTACGTCACCCTGCCTGTAGACCATCAGGGCCTGAGAGGCATTTGAGTCTCTATCGTAGAAGGAATGAGGAAATCATCCACTGAAGGGGTGGCCTGCCCCTCCACACCTGTGGGTGTTTCTTGGATTTTCTCCCAGGCATCCACTGCCAGAGACAGCGCATTCGCAGCCCGACGGCCCCTCGCTCACTCTCCAGGAGTTGGCAGGGACCTAGATCCAGGACTGCAATTCTGTAACCTTTGGAGCTATGCTTCCTCCACTCCTGCCAGTGGCTGAGCCCTGGGTGGCCGCCCTCCGCAGCCCCGGTCGGCAGAGGCAACGCGGAGGCTGGTTCTTTTGTGACAGTCCTAGGTTTCCCACTCTCCAGCAGCTTTCAGGGGATGTTAAACATTCATTTACCCAAAAGATTCTAAAATTCCCCCTTGGCCCCTGGTAAGCAAGAAACTTCCATGCCTTTCAAGTTGTTGACTGTGGAAAACGTTTGCAGACCTTAAAAAATGTGGGTTTTAAGAGAAGAATATGAAAAGAGGCAGTGGGCCTTAAGAAACACTCATCTGCTTGACAAGAGACTCTCAAATCAGTACCGATAACCAGTCACTATAAAACAGTACCGATAACCAGTCATTATAAATCAGTGCCAATAACCAGTCATTATAAATCTGAATATTGCTGCTCCTTGTCTTTCTGGTAGAGAAATACACAAACAGCTCAAGAAAATGGTAAATTATAAAGGTGGAAGTACCTGTTGAAGAGACTTGGTGAGCGCATTGGAGTTGAAGGATCTGGTGTAGTCGGGGAGCCTGCGTGGGGTTTCAGGATTGGCCTGGAAAGGTTGGGTGTGGATTGTAGGGGAAGAAAAACAGCTTTGCAGGTGGGAGAACTGCCTTGAGTACTATGTGCAGGGGTGGGCGTCCCCATGAAGCCACCACCTGACGGGCTGGGGCGGGGGCAGATGTAGCGCGTAAGATGGGCTGGCCCTTGGGGGGATCTTTGTCAGCGGTCAAAGCTGTTGGGGTCCACCTGATGACCACGAGGGCCCCTGTGAGCCAGGAGCAAGTGGGAGCCCTGTCCCGGTCCCTCTCGCAGCTTCCCTGGTGGTCCCTCTTAAAGCCCCTGCCCCAACTCTTGTGTGTGGTGCTGTCCAAGCCACTCAGGGCTTAGGGCTTCTGAGGAGGCAACGTCAGGGTCAGCTCTTAGTTCAGTGTCATAAGTACCAGTATAAATAACTGCCGCTTACAGAGCCCCGGGGTATGACGAAGTGCCACACACATTACCCCGTGACCTTCACAGCAACCCTGTGAGTGCCCCTGTGAGGAAACTGAGGCTCAGGGCCTCGTTCCCCCAGGCAGGGCTGCTATGCACTGGAGAATTCCCTGTGGGTCAGGCTGCCTCCAGGGCCCCCGCTCTTCTTCTCTCTGCCTCAGGGTCTGTCCGGGTGTAATTACCTGAGTACACTCCCAGCATCACACTCGAGCCTCCTAAACACACAGATTTCCCGAACTAGCAGCTGTGATGTGCCTGGGCATGGATTGGCTTGACACTGAATCCCATGCATTTCTTCACCTTTGAAGACAGATCAGAACATCACACCACATCAAAACTAAACTTTGCAGTGCCTTATGAAGCACCCATGTGCTTGAGCCCATGATATGAAAGGCGTCAATGAAACTGAAAGTAACAGTGATTCTGTTGACCCACAAAACAGTTGAGTGATTATTTACAGCCGCATTTCCTAGAACATTGCAAACAAAACAAAAGCAAAATACATTTGCTTACCTGAAATCGAACCAGGAGCTGTGAATTAGAAAGTGATTCTCATTCTATTACGTCATTTATAGAATGACATGGCACAGCAGGTCACATTTAAGTTAGTCTGGAATGTTTAGATTACCTTTGATCACTGCTGATGAATTGTATTTTTCTCGATGATGATGATAAAACCAGGGCTGGGAGGATAGTGGTGTTATAAGTGCAATCCTGTCCATTCTACCTGCTGCTCCAGCTGTGGCCCAGCCTCAGGACTCAAGGCAAGCATCTGCCCAAGCTGGTAGACAGGTGGTTCTACACTCTCCCAGCAGAGATCTTAGTGGGAGCTCTTTTCTCCTGGGCTGGGCCAGGGCAGAAACCTGAAAGCAGAGGCTTCGCAGAGAAGCCTAAACTGCAGGGGTCCCTGGAGCCAGGGGGATGGCAGCATTGATTTGAATGTGAGGGTGCACCCCTCTCTGGACACACAGGACTTAAAAGGAGAAAACTGGCCGGGCGCGGTGGCTCACGCCTGTAATCTCAGCACTTTGGGAGGCCAAGGTGGGTGGATCACCTGAGGTCAGGAGTTCGAGACCAGCTTGGCCAACATAGTGAAACCCTAGCTCTACTAAAAATACAAAAACAAATTAGCCGGGCATGGTGATGGGCGCCTGTAATCCCAGCTACTGGGGAGGCTGAGGCAGGAGAATTGCTTGAACCTGGGAGGTGAAGGTTGCAGTGAGCTGAGACCACACCACTGCACTCCAGCCTGGGCAACATGAGTGAGACTCCATCTCAAAAAAATAAAATAAAAACAGAGGGATTAAAGATATGAATGTAAAACACAAAAAGTAAAAATCCAAGAAGAAAATTATGTTTATCGTAGGAGTAAGTGTGAAGTTAGGAAACCCAAAGAAACAACGGGCAAGGGGGATGAACAGGCAGTTCACAGACGCCAGGAAATGTGTGAATGGTGTTCAAGTCTGCTGGTATTCCAAATGCAGATTAAGGCAGCAGTGTGCTCAATGGCTGGCACAGCATTGCCCAGAGCAGTAAGCCCTGTTCACTGGCCGTGAGGGGAGAGGACTTTTCATGCTTTCTTGATGGGATGTCGAGTGTTAGCACCTTTTGGTGACACCCAGTGAAATAAAAAATACTGCAGCCTTCAGACATGCTTCTGGGAATTTCACCCTAAAAATAAAAGCACCTTACTTGGGAATGTCTTCATAAGCGTCTTTATGGCAGCTTTGTTTGTAGTGACCAAAAAAAGGAAAAAGGAAAAAACCAATGCTGGGTATCGAGGGAACCCAATAAGCAGGTAGAAGTTTGAATAAATGGTGACAAGTCCATATTATGAAAAGAATTTATCAGAGGCAAACCAGTTGACTCAGAAACATTTCCAGGAGGCATTTTGAGTAAGAAGTTAACATGTGCATAAGGATGTATAGAATGATTCCATTTTTGAGAAGTAAACAATGACCAAGAAGCTCCTCCATCTATTTCTGTATCCTTCATGCGTGGAGCATTTGCGTGCCTGTGCCCGAGTGTGTATAATGCATTTCACGTGGCAACTGTGACTCATCGCGGGAGGCTGGCTGTGGGCAGGTGCTGTCGTCCGTGGGGGAGAGCCTGTCTGGTCGCTCCTACTTTTGGTACCAAAACTTTAATTGCTCTTCCAGGACTTAGATAATGCTTTGGAGAATTCTTGTAGCCTTATAAAAGGAATGTGAAGGACTAGTTAGAATCAGTGCACCCACACAGCCTAACGAGCCACGTAAAGTTGACTAGACAGATCATCAAATGCAGATATGTATACACACACGCACACACATACACCCTCTGTGTTGGCTAAAGGTGGAGTGAAACTGGCCTAACCCCACTGTCCTCCAGGGGGATTCAGTGAGGCCCGAATCCCCTGCTCTTGTCCTGTCCTCTCACTGTTGCCTTTCAGTGTCTCCTGCACCCCAGACCACCGGGTAATCTCCTCTATTGGAGGCCACGTGCCTCCTGCAGAGAATGTGCCCTGTGGCTGTAGCCTTAGGCAATGGTGGGGCTGAGAACCCAGGGCGGGAACGAGTGGTTTCTCTTTGCGAAGTGGCTCAAATTCAGCGTGGAAAGAATGGAGCCTTGGTGGAATGCAGGCTAATGCAGTGAATGTTTGTGCCTAAATGGCCGCGTGGGTCTCTGCAGGTGCAGGATGAAGAGTCCAGTCTTTTCTAGTGTCATGAAATTCCCACTGCAGCTGCCTGCTGCTCCCTGGACGGGATTTCCTCTCGCTGCCAGTGGGAGGGGTGGGGAGGGCTGGAGGTGGCCAGGGAGTCTGTAGACAGAAGACGTTGCCAGCTCCCGGCCCTGCCGCATTCCCCGCACACTCGTGGCGCTGTGACTCCCGGCCCTGCCGCCTTCCCCGCACACTTGTAGCACTGGCTCCCGGCCCTGCCGCCTTCCCCGCACACTCGTGGCGCTGTGACTCCTGGCAGTTTCCTGTGTTCTTCCACAAGATTGGCACCTTTCTTCTCCCACCCCCACCCTCCACCCATCTGCTGTTTATTTTTGTTGCTGTTCTGTGTGTTGCGTGGACACTTTAGCAGCCACAACGCCCACGTGTTCACAGGGCCCACTCAGCCTCCCCGCCTCACATATCGTCAGTGTGGAGTTCAGTTGCCACAGAGCCTTTTGCCTGATCAGTTTTTAATATCTACCTGATGTCGCGGGTTGATTGAGTTTGTAACTTGTTGAAAGGCACTTGTGTAAAAACGTGTGAAGAAAGCTGCCTTTATGAAAGCAGATGTTTCCCAAAGGACTTGACCCCCTCCCCAAGTATTTCTGCAGGGATGGTGTGGCTGTGCAGAGGTGAGGGTGCCTCCATGAAGCACTTTGGTGAGAATTTGTTCACCTGGCGAGGGGTTTGCTTAACAATTCATCTTAACCTAATTAAGTTTGCATTGTCCCTCAAACACCAGGTTTGGGGGGTAAAACTCATAGAAATACTGAAATATAGCAACGTTGTTGAAACCTGTGGTTATGTAAATATCCTCAGAACCCTTTTTGCTGGAGTTATGTGAAATCTCGATTGCTTTGGCAGCAGCCTTCCAACGGGGCTGCAGGGTGCAGGTGGAGGTGACCTTTCCAACAACAAGGAGAAGGGCCGGAGAGGCACCCGGACTCACAGCAGCCCTTTCCTGAGCCCTTCCCAGGGGTGGAGGCCCAGAGAGGTGCGCTCTATTTATAGTTCATCTTTACAGCAACCCTGGGACACAGGCATTGTCATGCCAACTCCATAACTGATGACCAGGGAGTGTAAGTGACGTCACCAAGGTCAGAAGCCACAGAGAGGCACCAAGATCCCAGCTCAGGCCTGTCTGCCGCCGAAGCCTGTATCCCTAACCAGGATGTGAGGCCCCCACTCATTACATAACAAAACTAGAACAACTTTACTGCTTATTTATGGGAAACAAGGAGCATTTCTAATCAGATATGTTTTCGGCAGGTGGTTCCTCCCAGAAATATGAAATCACAAAGGATATAAAATTCTGTTTTAAGCGGCGGCCTGCAGAATCTCTTTTTCCTTTCTTCTGTGCCAGGTTAATGTTAGAAACTTCAGCTTATCCCTGCACATGGTTCTCCTTGGCTGGGGAGTGTCCTGTGCTCCTGTCCTAGCTGTGGCTTTCTTCAGTGAGAGGTGAATTGTGGCGATGCTTCGGCCTTTGGGTGTGGCCAGATTGGCTTCCGTGAGAGGCAGCAGGGAAAGGTGGGCAGAAACACCTGACTTCTGAAGGCACTGAGGAGGAAAAGTGTCCAACAAGGCGGCAGGTGAATGGAGAAAGGCCGCGGATACCAGCTTGATACAGAGAGGAAGGGCTGCAGGCACCCGCCCCGGGTCTCACGATCACACTCACAGCCCCTCACATCCACCTTGGGTGGAGAATTTAAAACACAAGCAGGAGCGGCCAGGGGGCCCCAAGCAGTCGGGGAGCAAATGAAAGCACTCCTCCCGACATGCCAGGAGGTCAGCATGGCGCCTCCAGGGAGGACCAGCTCTGCCAAGGGAGCTGCTGGGCAGATGATGACTTTGCATTGTAAAGTAGAGCCCTTGGCTACTTTTTTGGGGCAGTGTTTAATTATAGCAGAACAGCCCAGTGATGACGACAGAGTCACATGACGGTGGAGCAGCTGCATCCCGTGTGCCATGCCAGGACTCAGTGACGTGGCCCACATGCTGCCAGCTATAAATCAGGGTGTGTAGCCTCGATTCAAAAGCCCTGGCCTTTTGAAGGTGGCTAGCCTTGTTGGCCACTCCCTCCTGAAGAGAGGGGGACAGGACTTCCGACTGCTGCCTGCCTGGTCACTGGGGTGGCTCCCTGCCCAGCGTTCTGTGCCCTGACCTGGAGCCAGCTTTGTGCACTGCCCTCCAGACCCCTGGCCTCTCTCAGGTTCCAGCTCACGAGGACACCCCTCTGGTATCATGGGCACTGAACGGGCACTCAGTCCCCCTAAGGGACACCCCTCTGACCACAAGGACCCCACTTTCTGCCATCACTCACGCCTGATGGGCCAGCTCCTATGAGTCTTGACTAGTGCAGAGTGATCACTACAGAGACCCCCGAGAAGAGAGGCATGGGAGTGACAGAGGCCACCAGGGAGGGACACGCAGTCACAGAGCACATTCTGTCTTCCTCAGCTTCCCCCACAACGAGACGGGCCCCTGCCACATGTGGCGCTGTCTTGTAGGTGTTGTTCCTCTTCCCAAGGAGTACACTGAGGAAAAGCCCACTCAGGCCCCTCTGCCTCCCGACAGATGAGCTTTCCTCTCTCCCCAGGGTTTGTTTCACAAGGGCCATGCCATCCTAAGCTCTGTGCAAAAGCCTGGAGTTCAGCGTCACAGGTCCCAATGACTTCTGTAACTGGGCAGCAGCCTCGTCTGCAGAGGGGGAGACCGAGGCAGGGGCGGCAAGTAACATGTTCACACAGCCAGTAACCAAACCCCAGGGCCACGGCTTTCCCTTCCTCCCGCCTCCCAGACAAGTGCCTCCAACCCTGGCCCTGCTTGCTGGTTCTGTGGCTAGTTTGGGGGGTGGGTGGTGCCCTGCCCCAGGGATATTTTTAAATTGAAGTATGATTTACACTTAGTAAAGTATACAGATCTTCAGTGTCCAGCTTGGCAGATCTGTCCATGCCCATAGGGGTAGCCATCACCTAGGTTAAGGGATGGACCCTTTCTAGCTCCCAGACAGCTCCCCGTCCCCTGTCCCGCATTGTCCCCCTTTAGGTAACCGTGACTGTCACCTCTAGCCGCGTGGATTCATTGTCCGTCCTTGGACTTCCTATGAGTGGAATGCTGCAGTCCGTACTCTTTCGTGTCTGGCTTCTGCTTCATGTTATGTTTGTGAGGTTCATCCTCATTGTTGCTTGGACCTGTGACTTGTTCTTTTTCGTTGGTGTGTAGCATTCAGTTGTGTGAATCTAGGAAAATATACCCCTTCTGCCTTGTGGACAGGTGGTCAAGGATGACAGGCAGTCGGCTTTCAGCTTGGAGCTCTTAGGACTAAAACTGCTCCTGAGGCTTGTCTTCCAGTGGCATGTGAAGATGGCTTATGTTCGCTGTGCGCTCAGGAGTGCGGTTGCTGGAGAGTCCTGCTGAAACGTCACCAGCAGGCATTCTTGTGGGTCCTGCAGACACACTGCCAGCGGCGCCTTGTGTTTCCATTAGAATGCAGGGTGCAGGTGTCCTGGGCAGGCTGCTGGGAGAGGAGGGGTGACTGTTCCTCTCTGTGCCCCATGCTGAGCCTCACTGAAGGCACTTCCTCTCCTTGCTTCTGCCCTCCCATCACATCCCAGGGTGAGCTCCACAAGTATTGCACTGCTTGGGATGAAGCTGACGGCAGATTCAGCAGCCAGAGCGCCAAGTCTGGGTCCATTGCCCCCCGCCAGCTCCCTGACAATGAGACCGACTGTGGCTGGGCACCATTTGGTAAGTTGATCATCGGTCCGTCCAGGAGCTGAAGCGGCTGTCCTTCCAAGGTTCTTCCAGCCTCGCTGTTAATAATTTTAGCAACAGTAATGCCGTTCCCAGATGAAACTGCATTTCCATGACAGCCCTCTCTCCTACCCAAGAGCACGTGACTTCACCGCCACTGCGTCCGTAGCACCTGTGTGTGGAGCTGTTCCTCCTGAAAGAAGGTTCTCTTAATAGGGAGATGTGCTGCAGATCATTTGCATTTTGTATTTCAGACTTGCAGGGCATAGTTCCGTGGGCGGTCAGAAGAGAGAGACACGAGGGGCTGGTGTGGGTGCTGGCCTAGGCAGGCGTGCTGCAGAAAAGCCAGTGGACACGTAAAACAAAAGGCATCAATCAAATGTGCAGCCACCATGCACAATGGGGATTTTATCCCATCTGAATGATGCCTGCGTTATATTTAGTGATTATTTGAAACTGCGGTGACTTCATTTTCCTTTGCGAGAAACTGAACGGAAAATGCACCGCCTTGTTTTCTGTGTGGAAAACCACGCGTTTCACTAAGTACAACCAGATTTAGAGAACAGATGCTTTGTGTTTTATAGCCGTGCTCTAGAACATACACTAAACAATACTGAGCTTTTCCTGTTAATTTTCAAATTCGTGTAGATAAGAACAACTATCAGCAGCTGCTTGGGGCCCTGGACTACTCCTTCCTGTGCGCCTATGCCGTGGGGATGTACCTCAGGTACGTACAAATGAGACATAGTACAGGGGTGACCTTGCTTTACAGCAGCCTGCTCTCCCCTCTCACGATAGCTCATAGCTCTTTGGTTTTCCAGACCCTTCCTGGTTATCTGGCCCCTCCGTGCAGAGAAGGCGTCTGCTATGCTGAAGTGCACAGGTGCACAGGAGTGAGGCCCCCGCTTGCCGGTGGCTTCCCTGCTGTTCCCTTCCCAAAGATGAGGCCAAGCTTAGGAGAGAGCAAGCACATGTGCTGTGCCCACAACACGGGACCTCAAGGCCGAGGATTTCCGTGTCCCAGGCACTGTGCCAACTGACACAGGCTGCCCTCAGCTTTCCTGGCCCTGGGGTTGGGACCTACCATGAATCCTGCCGATCCTGGGATGTGGTCATTCAGGAACAAGGGGACTAGCTTCCTGTTTAGCAGAGCCCGACCTCTCCTGTGGTTCAGGGGCTGCCATCTGTTTACATGCCCCAAATAACGAATTTCACCTGATGATCGGAGCAGTTGACACAGGATGTGCGGAACAGCTCTACCTGGATGCCCAGCTTGGCCCCAGAACTGAGCGCAGCAGAGGCAGCCCTGCGTGGCGGGCGGGGAGCTCCAGAGAGAGACCCGCTGGGATCTGAATCCCGGCTCTACCACCTGCTAGGATGTGGTCTTGGGCAAGTTACTATACCTCTTTGGGCCTCAGTTTCCCCTTTGCAACATGGGAGAAATAATAGTTCTTATGTCACAGGATTGTGGCAAAAATTGAGTTAATGTATGTAGAAGCTCAGAATGGTGCCTGGCCTGTGCTGCCAGCCCAGCCCATTCTTCATCCCACTTTGAACTGACCAAGGCAGGTGGCAAATGTTATATGGGGCATAGAACATGTGACTGACTGATTGAAAACTGCTGTTGTGGCAGTCCAGCCAGGTTTTTTTTTTTTTAAGGCAGTATAGGGATGTTCTAGCCCATTTTCTGTTGCTAGTAGCACAATATCTGAGATTGAGTAATTTATAATGAGAAAAGGTGTATTTAGCGCTTCTCTAACTAGGAAGTTCAGGATTGGGCAGCTGCATCTGGCAAGAGCCTCGAGCCACACTGTAATGTAGTGGAGGGCATCGCCTGGCAGAGGCCCCGTGAGATGGGTTAGCAGTGAGCAGGGCGTACAAAACACACAGCACAGGGGTGACCTTGCTTCATAGCAGCCCGCTCTCACCTCTCACAATAGCTCATCAGTCCTGAGAGTGCGGCCACTTACTCCTGCACATTCATTCCTTCGTCAAGGCGGATCCCTCATGACCCAAATGCCCTTCAAAGCTCCCTGCACCTCTCAACGCAGTTATACTGGGAGCCAAGCCTCAACACAAGTTTTGATGGAGACCAACCATAGCGAAACCACAGCCAGGGATGGAGGCATGTAGTCCCAAGAGGCTTTTGTTCAGAGACAGAGGTCTTTACAGCCTGGAGAACCCCAGGGATCCCCATAAATGTTTAGCTGCTTCCCTGAGACCCGCTCAGAGTGTGGGATCGTCAAGACCTGGCCCCTCCCCCGCTCAGAGCCCTGGTGGGTGGGTGGTGCCCATGGAGGCAGTGTCTGCTGTCGGAGGAGAGCGCATAGCTCTCCCTTTATTGAACGTGTGCATTTGCCTCCCGCTGCAGAACTTGTCTGAGTGAGCAAATGAATAATAAAGGTTGGAAGCTCAGAGTGTGTGATGCGCAGCCGAACATGAGCCTAGCTAGAGAGAGTGGTGTGTACCTTGGGCTTCCTTCGGGCCTGGGTCTCAGCCAGGCTGCCAGACCTTCTCCATTTTGAGGTCAAATGTTTATATTCCCCAGACTGCAGTCTTACTGAACACAAATAATCTGTGGTATAAAAAGACCCAAAGTGGGAGTGTGTTTTTCTCAGTTACTAGAAAACTGTATTTAAATCTGGTTCTCAACTGGGGGCAGTTTTGTCTCCTAGGGGACATTTAGTAATGTCTAACGACGTTTGTGGGTGTCACAGCCAGGGAAGGGATGTTGCTGGCATCTAGTGGCTAGAAACTAGGGTGTTGCTAAACATCCTACAACACGCAGGACAGCCCCTAATGCCACAGAATTACCGGAGCCAAAATATCAATAGTGCTGAGGTTCAGAAAGCCTGCTTTACGTAAATAAACTGGTTTCTTGTTGCTTATTTATCGGTAAAGATAATTCTTATGCACCTTGTCAGTAAGGTTATTAAAACAAAATTTGGTCTAATGTGACATCTACACAGTGAACTCATGACTGAAACAAGGGCACACGCTGCTGCATTGAAGGGCCTTTTTGTGTGAGTCCCTACCTGAGATCTCAGCAATGGGTGGTTGCTCGCTGCGCCAGATGAAATCAGATATGAAAGGGTACAGTCATTCAGCCCAGGTACTGCCTGGAGGGTTCAAGCAGGTGCAGCATGGACTTGAATCCCTGTATGAGTCCCATATAATGTGAAATGGTGTTTGTTCAGTTAGACCTTTTCTTTAAAAGTTTTCAGTAGAGATCAAAGTGGGCCCAAATCATACAGCAAGATTAGAGAACACTTCTGAGCCTAGCCAGCAGCACCAGCTCTCAGGAGCCCATCTGGTTCTGCCAGCTGTGCTGTGACCTGGGCAGGTCAGCCAGCCTCTCAGGGACCTAGCTCCTGGTCTCTGGGGTGGGCAGGTTGAAGTCGGTAACTCTCTAGCTCTGGAATGCTCTTGAGTCTGTGTGTGGTGAGGTTTTAGCTGAAATTTTTACCTGGATGTTGTCATAATTTTAAGTTACTTTCTTGTGCTTTAGTGTTTAAAAGGTCATTTCCTTGATCTGAGGTAGATCTTTTTTACTTGGTGAATTCGGAAGGAAAAGCTCTCTGGTGTGGGTTCTTGAGATGAAAGCTGAGAACACTGGAGCTGACTCCGGCAGTGGGGTTCACGGCAGGCAGGTGTCACTGTGTGTTAGGTTTCCTGTTTATCTGACTCCTAGAGTGACCCTACAGAAGAAAGCGAGACCCACAGAGTCTCTGATGCTTGCGAAGGGCTCAGTCCATCCATGACACTCTACAGCTTTTCTATTTACTTAATAAGTCACAATGTTGAGTTGGTCCATAGTGACATTTCCCATAAAACAGTGAGGGATGTTTTGGATAACATTAGGTAGTGTGCTGTGATGGCAGCTAAAGACTGTGCCCTGCTGTGAAGTCTGTGCCCTGCTGTGAAGCTGGAGACGTGCTTTACCACCCCCATCGAGGCTGTTTTAGCGAGGCTAAGCATCCTTTATGCCACCAAGTCTCCAGGCAGCTCTAGAAGATAAGACACCAAAAAGGGCAGCTGATTAGTGAGTTGCATTGCTGTTCAGAAGGATGAGAGAGATGCCACCCCAGCATTTCAGACCTTACCATGGAACAAATCTTCTGCCTTTAAATCAGGTCAAAGTGGTGTGGCAGGAGGTGGTAGTGGCAAACAGCTGCAAGCCACTTCCCCACTGAGCCCAGCCAGCCAGGTGTATTAACACAGGTGACTTCATTACAGCTCGTGGGGCCGAGTGACTTGCTCTGGGTCATAAGTGATCTCTTTTCATGACATTTGGTGTAGTTCAACAGTTGGAATTTTAAGACATTGTATACATTTACTGGATATGGTTTATGTGAAAGCAGGATTAACTAGCAAGACAAGTTCCTATTTCCTTTCATTGGCAACTATCATAAATAAGTCAGAGCGTTTGAATTTTATTATTTGACAGATAGTGACATTGACTAGAAATAAAATCTTCTAGAATGTTGCCAGTCTCTGGTTTCTGGTGAGTAAACACTCCATAGGGAAATAGGTGTAAGAAATCTTCCTGGAAACTGTAAGGCTTGAGAGTTCCCCAAGCTCAGAGAACAGCACGAAAGCATCCGGCACGAAACAGCCGCCGGGTTGTTAACATTCGGGTGTGTTTGTTATTCCTATTTGTCTTTCCTTCTCTCCGCCTCAGTGGCATAATTGGGGAACGCCTGCCGATTAGGTATTACCTAACTTTTGGGATGCTCGCCAGTGGAGCCTTCACCGCCCTGTTCGGCTTAGGGTATTTCTACAACATCCACAGTTTCGGATTCTACGTGGTAACTCAGGTAAGGGTTTGGGTCCATGGCTCACCATGTATGGGGTTTCCTTGGTGAATAGGGTGGGTTGTTTATGTCACACGTCACCTCTGTCAAGATGCTGGGAAGGGGCAGAAGTACGTCCTGTCCGAAGTCAGGGTCAGCTGACATAATAAGTCCTTCCTTTCTCTTCTGCTCGGAAATTCCGGCAGCCCGGAGGTGTTTCTTAGTTTCAGGAGTTGCCTCATAAAGAACGCGCCTGTCGGTGCCCTGGCAGGGAGACTGACGTGCAGAGCCCTTAGGAGTCACCCTGTCTTCATGTGGATAAGTTTGAGATGTTTCATCTTGCTAAAGATTTGACCCCTGGGGTTGGAGGGTGTGTCCTCCAGCTGAAGCCCTAGCTGGAGTCAGCCTAACAGTGGTGGCAGGGAGTTCCCACCAGGGAGTGCCCCAAACCTTCCCAAGATGGGGCTGGTTGGGATTCCAAAGAACACAGCACTAACTGCTGGGTGATCAGTTTAAAGCGTGTATTAGGGGAACTTAACGTACCGAGGGCTGTAGTATATAGTCTTGACACGCAGCGGGACAGGGCGTTCCACGCAGGTCTGTCTGCAGCGAGGGATTGGTGTATGGAGTTTGTATGAGGGTTTAAGGAATTTGGCCCAGGGCCAGGGCTAGTTTCTTTCCATGTTTTGGGTCAGCAACTGAAACACCTTTGTCAGTGCCTAGGAGTGTTCAGGGGCCAACTTGGGTCCCAGCCTACAAAGGAAAACCTGCAGCTGGTCGGGTCGCAGTGAGAAAAAGCGGGGAGACCTGAGGACTCTACAGAGGGATGCAAGGGCGGAAGGAAGGGCCGACTTTGGAGTCAGGCAGCAGGAGGGGGTATGAGGCAGTCAGTGGAGAGAACAGGAGAGATCATGAAGGTGCTAGAAGGGGAGGAGGCCTGAGGGCAGCCCATACTGGCTTGCCCTTGGAGCTGGAGCCCTTCCGGAGTCTCCTGGCTTCTGCCCTTCCCAGCAGTGCTGTGGATCAGTATTCAGCAGCCGAGGAAAACAGTGGGAAATAACGATGCTCATCTCAGGCTTTGTGATGCTTCCAGGGCTCCCAGATAGCTCAGGGGAATGCTTAAAACCATCAAGGCAAACTGTATTTAATTTTGCTTTGAAGATTTTGCCATAACACTTGAAAAGTTTGGCTATTTTAATTACAAAAGCAGTTCACACTTGTGTAGTAATATAGAAAATTAGAAGGGAGGAGAAAACAATTTTCCAGAGTCCCAGCATGTGGAGTGAAGGCCCAGCCAGGTCAGCCCAGAGGCAGCAACAGGTAGACCAGCGGCTCCCAGGCGTCTTCTAGAGCAATAGTTCCCAACCTTTGTGGCATCAGGGACCAGTTTTGTTTAAGACAATCTTTCCACCCGGGACCAAGGTTGGGGAGAGGAAGATGGTTTGGGGATGAAACTTCCCTCTCAGGTCATCAGGCATTCGATTCTCATAAGGAGCACATAACCTAGATCCCTGGAATGTGCAGTTCACAACAGGGCCACGCTCCTATAAGAATCTAATGGCCCCCACTGATCTGATGGGAGGTGGAGCTCAGGTGGCAATGCTCGCTCTCCCACCACTCACCTCCTGCAGTGTGGCCTGGCTCCTAACAGGCCACGGATCAGGACTAGTCTGTGCCCGGGGTTGGGGACCCTGCTCTAGAGAGCTGGCTTACTGCAGTGAGGTGGTTGGCGGTGCCAGGCTGGCCCTGGTTTCCTGCAGTCTTGTAGAGCCACCCCCGAGTCTCAGGATGCTAGAGCGTCCTCAGCAATACATTCCCCAAGTCCCTTCATGAAACTCAAGTCAGGGATTCTTTAGAAGGAGATACTTTGTCCAGGCGTGAAGTCAAGGCTGTGTTCATTCCAGAGAATGATGATCAACAGTAACTTCTCCATGGCCTGGTGAGGGAAAACATGCAATTCACAAGCCATGTTTATCGTACAATTCTATGAACAGTTCTATAAAGAGAAGAAAGCTTTTCTCTCTTTAAAAAGTTTGCATTTATTTATTTTTTGAGATGGGGCCTTACTGTGTTGCCCAGGCTGGAGTGCAGTGGTCCCAGGCTCAAGCAATCCTCCCACCTCAGCTTCTTGAGTAGTTTGGACCACAGATGTGCACCACCACACCTGGCTAATTTTTAATTTTTTGTAGACAAGGGGGTCTCTATATTGCCCAGGCCGGTCTCAAATTCCTGAACTCAAGAGATCCTCTCGCCTCGACCTCCCAAAGTGCTAGGATTACAGGCATGAGCCACTGCACCCAGCCTCTTTCTATGAAGTTTTTAGATTCAAAAGAGACTGTAAAGCTTGGCCCCACACTGTTATAAGGTGTGATCTCCTGGTGGTGGGGTTCTGCCTGGGTTTTCTTTCCTTGCTTTTCTCTACTTATTCTAAAATTTCCACAACAGACATGCATTACTTTTATTTTGAAAAATATATAGATACCTGTGTACATGGTTTAAAAATACATACGTAGTTTAAACTGTATATAAATATACAATTGACAGTCCATCTCTGGCTGTCATACCCCCTTCTTTGTGTGAGCGGGGCAAGCCCTGTGTGCCTCCCTGTGGCACTCTCCCAGGCCTGCTTCCTGTGGGTCAGTCTCTCCTTTGGCCTCTCCCGCAGGTCATCAACGGGCTGGTGCAGACCACCGGCTGGCCCAGCGTCGTCACCTGCCTCGGCAACTGGTTTGGAAAAGGAAGGTGAGGAAAAGCAGCCCTGTTTCCAATAGCAGATGAAAACTAGACCATTTTACTTTGAGTTTTTTTGTAGACTGATTACAGCAAAAACACTTTAGTATCCTCTTTAAAATATGATGGCTGAAACCTCTGGGGCTTGAATTGCTGAAATTCAGATGGCCTGTGTCCCACGAGACGGGAGCTCCTCCCTCCCACTGTGGGCCCGGTGGAGTCTGTGTCACTCGACGGCTCCTCTGACAGCTGCATCTGGCCTCCCGGGTGTTGTGGGAGATGCAGAGTCCAGGACCCTGCCCCAGGTCTTTTGAAGCCGAAGCTACATGTTAACATGGGAGTTTGGGAATTCCCAACCTGCGTCACCCAGCACACAGCACCAAAGTAGCAGAGCTGGGACCCAGCCTCTGGCGAGTCCAGATTTATTTGTAAATGGCTGTGTGAAATTCAGCTCAGCCAGGCCAAAGGCTTATTTGTGGTGGAAGATACCAAACAAGATGCAGAAGCTAAAACGGGAACACCGGCGTCATCAGGTCTTAAGTCTTAGATACTGTGCCTCATTCACCTGCTGTGTACCTCCATGAGTTTTGTTCAAATGACAGTTCATCAAGTGACTGTGTATTCATTGATTGTAGAGGCACAAATTTTAATTTCAGGCCTTCCAAGACTTTCAGAGAAAGGCCTCTTTCTTCTTGAGTACAAAATGCACTCAGAGCGAGAGGTGGAATGGGTGATGGCACGGCCTGAGGCCACATAAACAGATCAGCTCTCGTGAGCATCGCGAGTCCTGCATGCCACGGAAGCAGAGTCTGCACGGTCCTCATTGATTCTGCACTGACTGCCTGCTTTACAGGCACTGCTGCGCCCTGCACTGCTGGACTCGTTTCAGCTTCTCAGCTCCATCTTCTGTCTTCTGTTTTGTTGTGTTGCAGGAGAGGTTTGATTATGGGGGTCTGGAACTCCCACACCTCCGTAGGCAACATCTTGGGATCGTTGATCGCTGGCTACTGGGTGTCCACGTGCTGGGGCCTGTCCTTCGTTGTGCCTGGGGCCATCGTGGCAGCCATGGGGATAGTGTGCTTTCTCTTCCTCATTGAACGTAAGTGCACGTGGCCTTGGAGACCACCCACCAAGGGAGGCCTCGGGTTTCCCTGCTCGGGTGGGCCTCAGGGACAAGTGTGAGAGCTGCGTGGCCTAGCGCCCTGTTTGCCTGTGGCTACCTCAGCGCTCTTCCTGTCAGGGAGACTTCCTTGGGGAGCCGGTTCTCTCCTGGTCTTGCGGGATTTTCTACTGTCCCCCGATTTCTGGAGTGACCCATGTCTACATTCCTTCCTCCCGTCCTCCTGCCCTCCCTTGCCTCAGCATCAGGCGTTCGTGCCTGGGAGTCTTCCATTTCCCCACAGGCTGTTCCCTCTCACGCCCATCTTGCCACCGAAACCTGAATTGGACCCGGTCAGCTCTTTGCCTTCTGATAAGATAGATCTTGGACGGTGTTATAAAAGACTTACTTAATATCTTAACTGGGTAAAAGGTATCTCTTAGAAAATCAAATCCCTTATTCCATTTCAGATTCAGTAGCAAACTTTTGATTTAACTGAATTTGAAATTCATTTTTGAAGTAGAGATCCGCCAGGCTCTGGTGCTGAGAAGACTCGGGACAGTTACAGCAAGAATAGAGACCCCCGGGTGGCCCCAGCGGTCACATGACAGGGGCTCGACTCCTGCCAGCCACTCTGATAAGCTGTACTCAACCCTTAGTTCTTCGACTGAGTTTAAAGCACCGTGAAACCATACGGCAGGAGACAGCTCCCTCCTGCTGCCTGCCCGGTAGGGACACTCAGAGCCAGCTCCCTGCAGCCATGCTGGGCATTGCGTATCACTTCAACTCTGCATGCAGAAGTTAATCCATATTCCATTTAGTTGCTCACTTTTTGTGTCTTGCAAAAGCTAACCTTTTAATTTTTAAGATAACCATCATCCGGCCGCTCTGCGAGTTCGGAGACTCTCACCTCATGCTTCTCTGTTGGTGAAAATGGAAATAAACATTCAGATAAGGAATGTTCAGACACACACCCATTGCTGTGAGCAGAAAGTGGGGGCCCCGGGCTGCACTCACCTCCCCTTTCCCCCCTTCTGCAGAGGCTGAGTAAGCCTTTGGCCACACCCTGGACAGCCTGAGCAGGGACCTTGTGGGATGGGTGGGGCTCTGGCTCCCTCACCAGTGGGCCAACTTGTGGCTTTCAGCTCTGGCTGGTGTGTCACTGCAGTTCTGAGAAAGGCCGTTTCCGCCACTGGTTTTCCGCTCTGATTCCTAGAACCTGGAGTTCTGTGCCCCTGCTGTCCAGGTGTTTGAGACACCAGCCACTCAGAGAATAATGTGCCTCTCTGTTAGCGCACAGGGGCCCCTGGCTGTCTCCTGCCTGAGGGCAGAGTCCACGGAGCCTTCTATTCTCTTCCTCAACTGGAAATGGGCTGGCTCTGGGGAGAAGAGGACGTGTGGAAGGGAAAGGAGCTTGCTCAATGGCCGGGACCTCAGCGCCCGCTCCAGGCATTCAGGGCGCTGTGTTGATGCTTGTCTCTGTAAGCGGAGAGAGCTCGGCTCTTGTGAATAAGCCTCCCTGATCCAACTTGGGCAGATAGCAATGAGCCAGATGCCCCCTGTCGCTGGGTCCTCTCTGGCCACAGGCCCGCTCACCTACAGGAGGGCTGCATGCTTCATTTCTAGCCAAACAAAACCAAGCTACCAGAACCTCGTGCCCAGGGAATCTGACACTCTTTCCCCTCGTGCCTGGGAGGTACACTGTGTCTGAATGATGAGACCCAGCTGTGACAACAGTGGCTGGATGCTGAGTCTGAGAACGGGAGCTCTTTGCAGATAGGGAGAAAACATCAAGCACCCCTTGGTTTGTTTCTGCCCCTCCTGGTCCCGAATCACCGACCCTGGGTCGGTACTAAAGGCATCAGATGCGCCATTCTTGCGATCAACAGAGGATATGGCTTTCTCTGCTATGCCTTCACTCCTGTCTCCTGCTCAGGGTGAGCTCCAAAGGTCGGGGCATCCCTTGCTCCCTTCTCAGGCCTCTCTAAGTCTCCTTTATGAAGCTGTTCTCAGATGTGTCCCAGCCAAGGGACATGTGTGCTCAATTCTCTCAAGGTGAAAGTCCTGGAAGAGCCATATCAGGGGGACCCCCTGGCTTGCCCCTGGGGGCATCACGCTGTGAGTGGATACAAATGGGGTGAGTTGGCTGATGTCCTTTAAATTGGTGACCGCACATCACAGGTGGACCATTGGGACTGCCCAGCATGCCGACCACGTGTCCTTGGTCAGTGGCCTCGCCCTGTGGGCTGTGCCCAGGACAGGAGGGCAGCATACCCCGCAGCCAGCCGCGGACCTCTGGGTGCAGACCCACCTGGCCCTATGGCATGGGCAGGGCCTCGAGGCCAGCAGGAGTGTGCTCGGCGGCTGCATGCCTCTCCTTGACGTCCCCCTGTGTTGTGTGGGAATGGACTTGGCCATGGGAAGCCTGCAGCCCTGGAGCTCAGTTCGGGTTGCAAGCCAGTAAGCAGTTTCATCCAAGGTGATAAAGGTGCTAGGTAGTCAGGGGGGCTGCAGAGATGGAGCGAGAAGCAGTAGGGCTGGTTTCCCGCGGCACCTAGAGCCCTGGGGTCTGACTCTGGGTTCCCACCTTGCTCAGGGCAGGTCGCTGGCGTCTGTAAAGGACAAGCTGAAGCCTCACTTCTGGTTCTGCTCCTTTTCAAGTTTCCTCCCTTCCTGGTGTTGACATAAAGATGTTTGTTCCATATCAAGATAGATGTTTTATCTCCACTCATTTTTATTTCTAATGAATTTCATAACATGAAGTACCTCATTACAGACATTCTTCCAGCCTCGCTCCCCTGCTGTGCTTTTCCTGGTTTTGCTTTCCTTATGGGGCTCGTCCTCTGAATGTGAATCATGGGCTTGTCCACACGGCGTCCGCATGCTCTGCTTGTGATTATTGGCCACGCTGGGAAGTATTTTCCATATTTAAAGCAGTGTTCATGTTCACAGTGTTGGCATTGGCTGGCGGTGATCTGCCGTACCCACCTTGCACACAAGTGGGCTGCCAGGCCGGGTGACTGAGGACAGGCAGGGTATGTGTGGGGTCGCTGGTGGGCCAGCCAAGCTGTGCCCTTGCCCTCACCTGCCATGCTATGGCAATGGCTTTTTTCTGAAATGAATGCCAATTTAGTAAAGGTATCAGATGGCATCTTGTGTTTTATTAAATTTTATTGTGTATATTTAAGGTATATAACATGGTGTTACAGATACATAGAGATAGTAAAAAGGTCACTAGTAAAGCGAAGCAAGTTAACATAGCCATCGCAACTCACAGCTGCCCGCTCTTGTTTTTGTGGCACGAGCAGCTCAAATCCACTCATTTAACGTGAATCCCGCATACGGTCCAGTTTCACCACCGGTGCTCCCGTGTTGCCCTGCCCTGGGGTCCCGTAGCTTACTTGGCATTGCCATGGTGGTGGACCTGCTCAGCCTGGACTCATGTTTACTCTTTCAGATCCGAAGGACGTCAGGTGTTCCTCCACCCTGCTGACGGTAAGGACCCTATTTTCTTGTCCTCTTCTAGAACAGTGTGCAGTTCGCCAAGTGTTCTGACCACTTCCCCAGCCTGCTCCTGCCTTTGTGGTGTCAGACAGAAACACACAGGGTAGACAGAAGTCCCACCCTCGAAATATTGGCAGTTCTAGGAATAGAGAATATTCTGTTCTGGGTTTTGCTGATAATAACCTTATCAACAAAACCCAAACAAGAGGTTCGATGCCATCCAGATGGAGGGCTTCATGCTAAGGGAAACCAAAGGCTGGGTCCTGGCCAGGCCTCCTGAGGGGTGGAGACCTCCTGGTTTCCCCGGGGGCCTCAGCGTGACTGAGGAAAAATGCATGTGTCAGCTGGCTGCCATCACTTAAGTTGGTGGCTACACATCTCAGGTGGCTGAGAGGTCTGGCCAGCACGCCATTCCTTCCCTTCTATACCCTTGCCCAGCTCAGCCAGCGTAGGCCCTGCAGGCAAGATTGCTAATCGTGTCAGCTGCCGTGGACGAGCCCTGCCCTAGCTGCCTCTGCCCACAGCAAGTCACCACTGGCCACTTTCCCACCTGGCTAAGGCCAGCCCTCCCGTGGTACCAGTCCCGTCCCTCTCATGGCCCAGGGCTTGTCTCCTGCAGACACACCCCCTGCCCCAAATATCATTCCTGGCACACTCATGTAGTACTGATGGCTGTCTTGGAAGGAAGTCCCTCTGGCTCTCATGCCTGCTCCCAGCTGCCCCAGTCCCCATCTCCACTGGCATGACATCCCTGCTCTCTGCAGGCCACCGCCACCCCATGGTAACAGCCCATCCAGGTCCCAGCAGCATCACCTGGCCACATGGGGAGGTCAGCTCTCCGGCCTCACCCTGCTGGACCTGTCACCTGCATCTGACCTGATGCTTCCCTCCCTCTGGGAAAGGCTCCCCTCCCAGGGCTAACATGCTAGTCACATCTGTGCCGAGTGTCAGACCCCAGATGTGGGGGTGCCCCCAGGCTGCTTCATGGCCTCCTCTCTCCTTGTCTGCCCACTCACTGCAGGAGCGTGCACCTGGGCTTTTTAGCGCCCCCAGGTGCGTTGATGTCAAGTCCCCATGCTGTCCCCAGAGTGACCCCTCCCCTGAACTCCACAATCTGAGATTTCACCGCCACTCAACCTTCCCACGGAGATGTCTGGGTGTCCTTCAGACAACACGACCAGAGATCTCTTGATTTTACCTCTGAACACACCGATCCCCCAGCATCCCCCGTCTCAGTCAGGAAGCTGCTGTCCACCCTGTGGACAGGCCAGACCCAAGAAGCCAGCCCAATGCCCCTTCAGCCCCGCACCCCATCCTTGGCCATGTTCTGTCAGTTCTGCTCTGTGAGGGGGTGTGGAATGGAAACACACTCACCTCCTCCACCTCTACCACCCTGGTCCCCATCACCACCATCAGCTCTCCCCCGAGCCACTGCTCATCACACCCTGGTCCCCGTCTCCACCGTCAGCTCTCCCCCAAGCCACTGCCCATCACACCCGGGCCCCTATCTCCACCGTCAACTCTCCCCCGAGCCACTGCTCATCACACCCTGGTCCCCATCACCACCGTCAGCTCTCCCCTGAGCCACTGCTCATCACACCCTCGTCCCCGTCTCCACCGTCAGCTCTCCCCCGAGCCACTGCTCATCACACCCTGGTCCCCGTCTCCACCGTCAGCTCTCCCCCGAGCCACTGCTCATCACACCCTGGTCCCCATCACCACCGTCAGCTCTCCCCCGAGCCACTGCTCATCACACCCTCGTCCCCGTCTCCACCATCAGCTCTCCCCCGAGCCACTGCTCATCAGCTTCCTAGAACGATGCACTTTGCTCCCCAGAATCTCTTCTTCACACCTCACTTGCAGAGACTGTCTTGAAACAGACGTCAGAGCACATCAGCCCCTGCATGACACAGTCCAGTGGCTCCATGTCACCCCATGTGAAATCCTCACCAGTTCATCTGGTCGATCTCTGTCACCCTCACAGAAAGGTGTGAGCCCCTCCGGCCTGGATCATCTCTGGGTCCCGGCGCCCGGAGCACCACCGGGCCTCGTGCAGGAGAGGGAGCCAGAGTCCTCTTTCTGTCTTTTAATACATCGGGCTCCTGGGTATGATTCATACGGAAAGAAGGGTTCTGATACTTTATGACAAAAACAAAGAAACAAAATGAAAGTTGCAAACCAGTGCCTTCAGGAAGGTCAAACACCATATGATGTTTTTAAAACTATAGTTGATATTTTAAAATGTTTTTAAAAGCCGTGTTCCTGCCACGAGCATGAATTTCAATTTCCAAGCTTGTACAGTTGTGCTGTGAAGTAGCTTAAAGCTGCCTGGATCACCCGTCTCGAGACTGGCGAGAACTTCAGCACACACCTTCCGCCCTGGAACATCTTCTGCCCTCTAAGAAGAGCTTTTCCCACCAGGGGCAGCCAGGCCTGAGAATAGGAAGCAGGCGTGCAGGGGGTTTGGGGGAGGGGTGGGTCTTCCTCACACACAGCTTTTAGGAATATGAGAACACATCTAAGCGAGAAGCCTTGCTTCTGCTCCTTGTACGTACGAGTTTGGGGCTGAAGCCTGTGTTTCATTCTTCCCGTTCAAATCCTCTTCAAGCAGTTCACTGAGATCTAAGCGAGGGCCTTTGCTTCTGCTCTTTTGTGTGTATGAGTTTGGGGCTGAAGCCTGTGTTTCATTCTTTTTGTTCAAATCCTCTCCGAGCAGTTCACTGAGATCCCATGGTGCCCAGGTGTCCCCGACGTGCCATGGGGCAGGTGGTCCAGAGAAACAGCTTCTCGTCCTCCTTCCTCTCCGTGTTGGCTGGTCGCAGAGGGCGAGATGACTGATACCTGGGGATATTTCATTAGCTTCTGCAGACAGCCCCAAAGTTCTTTTTCCTGCAGGAATGTTACCTGCTCTGTGCAGGACACTGACAAGACCCTTGTCACAGGCCTTCCTGAGGGAGCTGAGGGCAGTTTGGCCAATGTCCCAATAGCTGCTGTCCTTCTGTAGTATCTTCCCTTTATCACAAATGGGCGCAAAATGCATTTGTAAGAGATTTCAGATATGCTGACTTGTTCTGGGAAGTTCCCATGTGGAAGTGTTATTCTTAGGATAAAGTTCTAATTTTTTCCAATATTTCAAAGTTTTTGTTATGGAGACTTTAAACATATAAAAAGGTAAAAATAACAGTATAATGAACCCCTCTGTACCCCATCACCCAGGTTTCCAACAGTTGGCCAATCTGATTCAAACGCCCCTTCTAATACTGCCCCTTCCCACCTCTTGCTGATGTATTTTGCAAGCAAATAGCAATCATGTTAATATTTTGTCTCTGACTACTTCAGTATGTTTCCAAAATATAAGGACCCTTTTATGTGAAACAAAATGTGATATACCATTATCACACTTAAAAACCAATGGCAAAGAATAGAAAAATAGTAGAAAAAAAATCAATGAAACCGAAAGTTGGTTCTTTGGAAAGATCAACAAAATTGATCATTCTGCACCTAGACTGACCAAGGATAAAGGAAGACTCAAATAACCAAAATCAGGACCAGGAAAGGTGGCATTTCTGCCACCTTTACCGAAATGAAATAGATTATGAGGGAACTATATGCCAACAAATTAGAAAACTTAGAATAGACAGAAAAATTCATAGAAGGACAGAAACTACCAAAACTGACTCAAGAGAGAGAGGAAATCTGAATAGATCTAAAACAAGTAAAGAAGTTGAATTGTTAATTTAAAAATTTCACTCAAAGAAAAGCCCAGGACCAGATGGCTTTACTAGTAAATTCTGCCAAACGTTGAAAGAAGAGTTAATACTAATTGCTCACAAACTTTTTCAAAAAATAAAAGTAGGGGGAAACTTCCTAATTCATTCTACGAGGTGTTATCGTAATAACAAAAGACTAAAACCTCTTAAGAAAACTGTACACCAGTATCTTTTATGAGTGTAGATGCAAAACTCAATGCCAGCAACCTGAATTCAGCCACCTACAAAAGGATTATGTACCATAATCAAGTGGAATTTATCCCAGGAATACACAGTTGGTTTAACAAGTAATGTTAATGTAATACTCCATATTAATGGATAAAGGACAAAAGCTGCATGATCATCTCAGTATAAGCAGGAAAAACATTGGACAAAATCCAACACCCTTTTATGTGAAAACACTCAACAAACTAGGAACAGAAAGCAACTTCCTGAACCTGACAAAAGGCATCTAATGAAACCCACACCCCGGAGCTTAATGGTGAAGCGGGTGCTTTCCCCCAAGATCAGGAGCAAGACGAGGAGGCCTGCTCTTGCCACGTCTATTTACCATCGTACTGCAGGCAGGACAGTTAGGCAAGAAAAGGATAAATGGCATGCAGATTGGACAAGAAGTAAGACTACTTCTCTTTGCAGATGACATGATCTTTTATACAGAAAATCATAAGGAGTCCTCAAAAAAAAATGGTTAGAGTGAATTAACAAGTTAGCAAGGTTGCAGGAAACAAGAGCAGTATACAAAAATCAGTTGTATTTCTATAAACTAGCAATCAACAATCCAAAGATGAAACTAAGGCCATTTCATTTACAATAGCATCAAAAAACATGATGCTAAGCAGAAGAAACCAGTCACAAAAGGTCACATATTATATTATTTCATTCATATGAAATGTCCAGAATAGGCAAACCTAGAGACAGAAAGGAGATGAGTGGTTGTCAGGCACTAGGGTGGGAAGAAAGGGAGGATGACTGCTAATAGGTATGGGGTTTTTTTAAGGTGATGAAAATGTTCTCAAATTGTAGTGATGGTTGCAAAACTCTGGATTAAAAACCACTGAATTGTGAACATTAAATAAGTGAATGGTACAGTATGTGAATTCTGTCTCAACAATGCTATTATAAATTTTTTAAATCTAAATCCTTTCTGTTATCACACAACTACTCAGTGGTCAGATCTGCTGATTGTCTCATAAATGATTTTGCACCGTGTTTAAAGCAAGGCCTAGGCAAGGTCCACTTCTTGTGATTGGTGAATTTAATATGCCTCTTAAGCCTCTTCTAATTTATAAGACCTCAATGTTTGGTTTTTTGGTTTGGTGTTATTCTCCTTTGAATTATTTTTGTCAAAATAAAAAATGGTCATTTTTTTCTGCCAACTTTCCCACATTTGAGGCTTTGCTGACCTTGTGCCTGGGGTGTGTTTCACGTTTTCCTCTATCCCCTGTATCTCCTGTAAACTGGAAACCTTGATCGGATCCAGATTTGATTTTTCTAATTAGTTTTTGTTTCAAATGAATCACAATTAATATGAAAGAGAGTATTCAATTCTTTACCATTTGCCTTGAGTCTGAGGGTGCTAATAAGAATGTGTCTCTTGATGCTTCTGCCCTGTGCTATTGAAGAGCCATGGGGACTTGCTCTTTTGATTTATATTTGATTTCTAGGTTACTTAGGTTTAGGATATCTATTTTGTGCCCTAATCTAGGACCTCATTGGGTCCAAAACCCTGTATCAGTTGTGCCAAAATTAATGCTTTTTATTAATATCTTCATATTAGTTGGGGTTGTGTTCAGCAGCAAGCAATAGAAAAGCCCACAGGCAGTGACTAAAACGAGATTGGAAGGTATTTCTCTATTCTATTCAAGAAATCTAGAGAGAGCCAGCCCAGGATGATGTGGGGTGTGTGTGTTCAGTGCCAGGGACACAGACACCTCTTGTCTTTTCGTTCTTCCCCTGTGCATGGCTTCATGCCAAAGGTGATATATTCCAACCAATTAGAACAGTGCCTGGCACAGAGTTGATGCTTAATAGTTATTTGTTGAATGAATGAGTGAATGATTGGTCCGTGGCTGCTGGAGCTCTAGCCATTACATCTGTATTCCAGCCGGGAGGAAGGAGGGAAAGGAAATTAGGGACAGGCCCCTTCCCTTTCAGGAGACTTCCTAGCATTTCCTAACATTATTTCTGCTTAGCTGACCACATCAAACTGAAAAGGAATTGTAAGATAGGCTTTGCCTGAGCACCCACGTTCCTGGCTGAAAAGCAGAAAGAAGAGGGCCCAGGTAATGCTGGCGGCCTCTGCACGCTGCGGGGGGCCCAAATGCTGGGGAGCAGGAGCCCATCTCTGCTTCTGCCTGGAACGGTCGGAGGATGAACCGGCCAGATCATCACCCCTAGCCTGGCAGGCTTTGCGCTCCATCTGAGCACAAAACAAATGTATTTTTAAAGATAGTTTGTTACATTTTCAGGTAATAAGATCAGTAGTTTTTCTTAACCTTCAAAAACCTTTTCAGGGGAAATGCCTCGAAATGTAAAGGGTGGGATCTAACTGTCCATCTGAACGAAGTTTAACCCATGCTCTGTCTTCCCCGTGTTTCCCGCCGTTTGGAGGCCTCACAGATCTCTACTTGCAGATCTCACAGGTGGCGTGCGAGCCTGGTGGTTTTTCTTCTCAAATGGATCCAGCACTAGTGCCAGAAATCTAAATCGCCTGGGCCTCTCTAGGCCTTAGAAATTGTTTTGTTATGATTTGTACTAGAGTGATTGAATAACATCTTTCTAAGTACAGACTAATTCCTTATTTTAAAGGAAGTTTGCTTAGACTATTTCTTAAAGAAAATGAAATTTTACCATTAGAGAATTTCAACAATTATTTTTATACCATTAATTATCTTCAAAAGGGGTTCTACATAGAGCCCTACAGAAATAATGATTAGGAAATGGTACGTTTATTCTAGTGCCCAAGAAACTGCCTTCATTTCTTCACTTTTCACTTGGTAACAGGAGATAATTTGGAAATGATTTTGAGGTTTGGCGCTCTCAGCGAGTCCTTCCACACCCCTACCTGCTAGCGGCAGGTGCGCATTCTGGGGCTGTGGAGCACATTCTGGGCTTCCACACTCTCCTTCCGTAGGGAGGGTTTTCTTCCTGCAGAAGCAGTCGGCTGGCCTAGGGAGGGCAGGTGTTCCTCACGTGTTAAACGGAAAGATGGTTCTGTGCCTTTTCATTTCAAAACCGTTGAAACAATCTCACACTCATTAAGAAAAGTTAATGGATATTTTTACATTTGGTTACACCTCTGTCTTAGCCCTTTCTTCAAGAAAGGATTTGATTTTCACATTCTATTATCTGAGAGTCTGGAGTGTTGAGACCAACCATTACTCTGTTTAAATCAGTTGTCTTATGTCCTCTTGGTAGCTTTTTTGGGACTATAGTAAGTATCCTTGCTACAGTAAAGCCAGGTTTAATTTCTAACTGTTCAATCAGTATTGCTCTAATGAAACTTTTTTTTTCCCAGCACTCAAAAGGCTCTGAGAATGGTACAAACAGATTGAGACTCCAGAAGCAAATCTTGAAGACCGAAAAGAACAGGCCTCTGGTAAGTCCCACACACTTCCTAGAATGTCAGAGCTGCAGGAAAACTCCTTTGAGCCTCGTCAGCTCTCTCTGTCCCTCTGCCTATGTGACGTGTGTCACAAACATCCAGGTCTTAAAAAAATTAGGTCTCATTGAATTTCTTCAGTAAAATTTGAGTTTGCCCTTATTGGCTTTCTTTGGATTTTACACTTAACCGATTCATTCATTCAGCAGCTCCGCAGCTTTCAATGTCCCAGGCACTATTCCAGGTGTGGGGGTTGGTGCTGGTGCAGACGGAAAGCAAGCAGAGATGTCCCCCAAGCAGTGCCAAGTACAAGGAAGACAGGCTGAGCAGGCTCTATTTTCAGCTGGCCTTGGGGTAGGCTTCCCTAGGCAGACAGTGCTGGAACAGAGCTGTGAGAGACTGGAGGGAGAGTCTGCAGGTGTCTGGCTGTGAGAGACTGGAGGGAGAGTCTGCAGGTGTCTGGCTGTGAGAGACTGGAGGGAGAGTCTGCAGGTGCCTGGCTATGAGAGACTGGAGGGAGAGTCTGCAGGTGCCTGGCTGTGAGAGACTGGAGGGAGAGTCTGCAGGTGCCTGGCTGTGAGAGACTGGAGGGAGAGTCTGCAGGTGCCTGAGCACAGAGGGTGTCAGGGTGAGGGGCGCATGGTGGGTTGGCCACATGAGGTGCACACAGAAAACTGACATCATGGGACCAAGAAAAGGTAAAGGAGAAGCAGGTAACAGAAAGAGGCATGTCCCCTTCCCCTATGTCACAGATGAGGAATTCGGGCCACAGAAATGCTAAGTTAATCTGCCTTGTCCTCTGCAGTAGTGGGGAGCCCTCAGTGCAGGCTCTGCCCACCGCTGGCACCTGAGCCTCCTGTCCCCTACCCTTTCCATCCTCGATCCTTGTAGAAGCTCCTCCCATTGCTGCTGCTTAGCTGACCACACCAAGACACAGCAGGCATTTTAAATTTGAGTTTAATCATTGAAGTTATAAGCTGTTCTCTTTCTAAATGAGAGTTTTTGTTTTGTTTTGTCTTGGTTTGGTTTGGTTTTTTGTTTTGTTTTGAGACAAGGTCTTACTCTGTCACCCAGTCTGGAGTGCAGTGGCACGATCTCGGCTCACTGCAACCTCCGCCTCCTGGGTTCAAGCGATTCTCCTGCCTCAGCCTCCCAAGTAGCTGGGATTACAGGCACCCACCACTACCCCTGGCTGAATTTTATATTTTTTAGTAGAGACAGGGTTTCACCATGTTAGCCAGGCTGGTCTTGAACTCCTGACCTCAGGTGATCCACCCACCTCGGCCTCCCAAAGTGCTGGGATTACAGGCGTGAGCCACCACGCCCGGCCTCTAAATCAGGTTTAACCTTCTACAGACACAGGGCCTCCTCTGGGAGAGGGCCCCCTCCGGCATGTGTGAGGGGCTGCTCTCCCTACCTTTTAAATCAAATGGCTTAAAGGATTAATGTACTAAACATGCGTCTCACTTTTTTATTGACTGGGGAAATTTATTTGTGGTGGCTGAAATATTAGAAAAGGGAAAAATGATGTCTCATGCATCTGGGTTCTTGGATTTTAAGGAGATCGCAGGCAGTGACTAATTCAACCAAAATGCTTTAAAATCTGTACTTCTGAATTCACATTTAAACAAATCATGTCCTAATCAGTGTCCAAAAGACTGTGGCCCCTCTCTGATGATACTGAAGCTGGCCACCTGCTCTGAGTCAAGACCACAGGCCCTTTCTTCTGGTGTAGTAACTGACCCATAAAACTAGCCCTGGCTTCTGAGTATAGCTTCTCTCTTTCCTTTTCCGGGCCCTTCTAAGAAAGGCTGTTTACGAACTTGCTGTCAAGGAGCCAGTTACATAAGTAAAGGCACTGGCAGGCCTTGTTTCAGGCTGAGGGTGATGCTTCAGATGACCACGACCGGGCACGTGCTGGCCGCGCTTGCGTGGCGCCCCCTTTCGGCAGGCCTGCCGTTGCATTTGGGTCAGGGTCAGTGGGGAGAGTGCCCCGCGAGTTTGGCTGGACACCCTGGATGTCCCCTTTCCCAGAGTGACCACTGGGCCCCTGACCTCCACTCCTTTTCAGACAGCTGCTAAATTATGTCACATGGCAGGCACTTTCTCAGTGGCCTCGTGAAGAGACGTGTAAAGAAAGCTGCGGGGTGGGGAGCAAATGTGGGAAAGAGAATGAGGCTCTGCTGTCACTTGGCCACATGGCGAGCCCACAAGTCCCCATGGGCATTTTAGAGGATTGTTTTGGGGACGGTTGCACTTGCCGTCCCTGTAGTCACTTGTCACTTTTCCTCCTTGACATCTCTGAGGATCCTTCTGATTGACTGTGGCTCAAGAACTTTTGGGCCCACCAAACACAGCATGAGCGCAGAGTGGGTATTTGGAGGTTGAATGTGACTCCACCGCGTACTTTGCACGCCAAGTGGGAACTCCACAAATCTCTCTGCGATGGCCTTTCCTAAGGGAAGCTGCGGACAGCATCGGGTAGCGGGGTGAGCTTAGCATTTTTAGATACAGCGGTCATTATTACACAGTCCCCCCACGTGCATCTGTGTGGATTTTTGTTGTGCGTGTGTGTGTGTGTGTTTTAGTAGAGGGAGCCCTTTTCTCTTTGAAAGTGTAAGCCCTAAGCGTGGCGTGCACTGGCCACAGAAGCCCCCACACCCACCAGGGGCTCCACAGATCCCATCTGGGGCTCTTGGGACACAGACTGGAAACTGCTTGTTTAGAGGCAGAGGTGCCTCTTGGCCTCCAGCCTTGTCTTGGTCCCCCCGGTGGCTTCTTGTTTGCTATGTAAGGAGGAGGCAGCAGCAGCCCCCCTGTTTGTTTTGGAAAACCAGCCATGGCCCACACTGTCTTTCCCATCTCCTCCAGAAGCAAGCAACTGGGGCGTGGTGGCTGCAAGTCCTGTTTAAGATGAGTGGGTGTGAGCACAGGGCCTACTCTCAGCAGAAACAGAGCCTTCTGTCTGTCTAGGGGGCTCCTTGCTGCTTAGATAAGGAGCAGAGGGTCTGTGTCTGTGGCTTTAAACCAGCCCAGCAAGTGGACCCTGGAGCACTTCACAAATCCTGCAAGGGCCGTGGGTGGCCCTTGTGCATCTGGGTCCTACCTGAGGCCAGGTAGATCTTCTGTGTCGACCTGCAGTCACTGCTGTGTGGGTCAGAGGGTGCGCTTCTCCTGCCTAAGCGGCCTCTTTCCACTTGACTTTTCTCCAGCTGGTTGCATTTCACCCACTGCTTAGCCTGTTTCCTACAGAACAGCCTGTGAAGTCCTGTAGCCCTCAGCTTGCTATGAGTGGAACTCGCCTGGGGCTGCCCCAGGGACTGCTTCAGCTGGGCTGGGGGAATTCGGGGCTTCTCAAAGCCCCCCACAGAAGATTCCAGTGTTTAGCCACAGTAGAGCATTACTGATTCAGTTTCCTAAACTGGACGATTAGCAGAACTCATGAGAGAAAAGTTTATTCTGAAGTTCAGTCGCCATTCTTCGTTTTCGCATGCCATGATGGAATTATCATCGGAAGCATGTTAGGCATTTGCACTCAGGCTTGTCATCTTCATTCCAGAGCACCTGACTATGTGGCCACATGTGAGTATCTTCATCAGAGACCCGCTCTCCATGCCAGAGTCCTAGCCGTGAAGCCGGGCTTCCTGGGGGAACGTAGATACTGAGCTGCCCCCGAGGCCACCCGCTGGGTGCCCACACTGGGCTGCACTCAGTCCCACCTGCCACCCAGTTTCCAAATTTCTTTTTTCCACTGGAAGAAAATTATAAATATCAAGGGACAGGGGAATGTGGAATACATTACCATTTTCTTTCTTTTTTTTTTTTTTAATTAAACTACATTTTTAGTCCAACTTAAAACAGGTTATAGTGAGATAAGTACCACAAGGCTGTTTGATTTTATGAAAGGTCTGAGATGCATTTCTTTGTAAGACCTTGAACCTCATAGTTCATTCATGAAGAACATTTTTATTTTATTTTCATTCTTTTTTGAGACAGGGTCTTGCCCAGGCTGAAGTACAGCCTCACAATCGCAGCTCACTGCAGCCTCAACCTCCTGGGCTCAAGTGATCCTCCTGCCTCAGCCTCCAGAGCAGTTAGGACTATAAGCGCATACCACCACATTCCACTATTTTTTTTCCCTAGAGATGAGGTCCTACTGTGTGGCCCAGGCTAAGATTATTTTTATGTTATCCTTGCTCTGACTTGAAATCCCACTCTAGGTTGGGGATCACTCTTCTTTGCTTTAATGAATGTATACTTTGTCCTTTAGAGACATCTAGACGATCAGAATTCATAAATATCAGAATGGGTGTATTTTAAAATAATGTTTCTGGTCATATATGGCCATTGTGAGCTCCTAAAAAATACACGATCATGTAAAGAATTTCTTATTAGCATTTTGATAAAAATTACACGTAATTCTACCACTCAGTGACAAGCATTGTTGGCTTAGATTTTAGCTGCTTTCTTTCTAGAAATAGATCCTATAGTTGCCTAGTTATATATGTAGATATTTAAACATTATTTGAGGTTATAATGACATGCAGGTTTGAATGATGTGTTATTTAATGTGTCATAAGCATTTTCCTGTCATTAAAATCTCCCAACCTTTTTTTTTTTGCAAGATGTCATTCGTATGGATGTATTTGAATTTTCTAATTTTTCTCAATGATGTGACATCCATTTTACTTTATACGTATTTTCTTACTTTTCAAATTATTTTTTGCAAATAGATTCCTAGAATTTCTGGTTCCGAGGATCTGTGTACCTAGCTGTTCATGAAAATGCATGAATGCTAATCATTGTAACGCAGTGGCCACGTGGGAATGTCACCCAGGATGTCTCCAAGGCAGTGGAAGAGAGAGCCGCCAGGCACCCTCGTCATTAGGAAGCGTGGCCCCACTTCACCCAGACTGCCCAGCTGGTAACACCTTTCCCTTTTGTTCCCAATGGATTTGCCTCCAGGACCCCGAGATGCAGTGCCTGCTGCTGTCAGATGGGAAGGGCTCCATCCACCCAAACCATGTCGTCATTCTCCCCGGGGACAGCGGGAGTGGCACAGCCGCCATCAGCTTCACAGGAGCCTTGAAAATTCCAGTAAGTAAACGTGCCCAGGAGGAGTTTCAGAAGTTTCAGAAAGGGCTGCTGCGCTGGCTGTGGGAAGTCTGGTCAGTTGATGATTAAGCTTACAAAGAGATCTGTGGTTATGGAACCCGGGGATTCGAATCCGTAGCCGAAGCCGGACGCTGCACACTGGTAGCTTCAGGACTGAATATGTCTGCAGTGATACTTGGTTTGCCTCATACCATGTTGAAATTTTTTTTTGAAATTCGTTTTCTTCATTTAGAAATTCAGAAGGTTCATAGAAAAATGGGGCTCCCTGCCTTCACTGGAAAAACGGAAAGCCTGGCGCCCTGGGCCTCCCCACGTGACAGGTTGGGGAACTGAGGCCCTGACTACTGTGCCACCTGGCCCCTGTGGCCCGGCCCTCCCCGGTACACTTGCCCTCCCACAGGCCTTGAGCGTGAGCCCATGGGAGGTGCTGTCACTGAGTGCCGTGCCGTGGCCTTCACAAGCCTGGCTGGATTCTCTTTCCCTTTCAAGTGCCTTTGGGCCGGGCACTGTCATTCCAGCACTTCGGGAGGCCGAGGCAGGTGGATCAACTGAGGTCAGGAATTCAAAACCAGGCTGGTCAACATGGCAAAACCCCGTATCTACTAAAAACACAAAAATTAGCCAGGCATGGTGGCAGGCGCCTGTAATCCCAGCTACTTGGGAGGCTGAGACAGGAGAATCGCTTGAACCCAGGAGGTGGAGGTTGTGAGCCAAGATCACACCACTGCACTCCAGCCTGGGCGACAGAGTGAGGCTCTGTCTCAAAAAAAAAAAAATGCCTTCAGTGCCACAGCCCATGATCTGATTGCCTGTGCGTGGTGAACAGAGGATTCCAAGAGTGAGAGGGAGGATGCAGGGACCAAGGGAAGAACAAGCAGCACAGGTGGGAGAAGCCTTGGAGTCAGAATCTGGACCGGGCTGGTCCTCGCTTATACTGCTGGCGTTGCCTCCAGACTAGAAGGGCGCCACCGTGCCCCACAGTGGGTGATCAGTCTTGAGGACGAGCTAACTTGGAGCAGATGAGCGGGACGGGCACTGTAAGATTTCTTGCTGCTGCTTCAGTTTTTATTACATTCATGGACTCCCTCAGCAGAGAATCTAAGGAGCCGTGCGCAGGGTGTGGAGAGGCTGTGTTCTTCCGATGGGGGCAGAGAGCCGAGAGCAGGGGCACGGGAGGGAGACCAGACCCTGCCATGTGGGCTGGGCAGGCTGTCCGGGGGAACTGTCCAGGCCGTGCCCTCCAGCACTGACAGCCAGAGCACCAGGGAGCACACACAGCTCTCACTTGCTGACACGACCTAGAGAAAGGCAGAGGGTCAGGGGCACAGGCCCGAGGCCCCTCAGCAGGTCAGGGCTGGAAGCACAAGCAGTGCAACCCAGACCTCAAAATCATATCACAGAAATTAAAGACTGGGGAGAACCTGGACTTCAGAACAGAAAGTATTCCAGTGCCCAGGAGAAACTGGGTCTGCAGAGGCAGACCGTGGGCCGGTGTTCAGCCAGAGAAGAACGTCCCAGCCCAGGCGTGACACCAGCTCATGGGGAAAGGGCTGTGCATGCCGGCCTGTGGAAGCTGCTAGGTTTAAGTCAAAAGATTTGTTTTTAATTGTGTCCTTAATAAAAACTAGTGACCTTTTCTGCTATACCCTCCTCTGTAGCTACCCCCAAATACTTGTACTAAAGTAGGGTGCACACTAGTTATAAAAATATAGGTTTTTATGTAGTGGAGTTATAGACAGTATGGGCTTCAGAGGCCGGCTCAAGCCTCCCCCTGCCACCACCAACCTGGATGTTCCGGGCAAGTGTGGCACACTCTGAGCCTCCATGTCCTCATCTGTCACATGGGCTCCATCCCTGGGGTAATACCGTACGTTGTTCTGAGGATGAAGAGAGGTCATTTAACGACTGCTAAGCACAATGCCAGGCCCGTGAAAGGCATACGATAAATTACACGCACACATCCTCATCAATTGTGAAGACATCAACGCGTTTCATTTTAGAATGACTTGGCGAAGTGGAGCGCTGGGTTCCCCCGGCCCCCGTTTTGGTTGATTTTCAGTGCACAGACAGCCGGGGGATTCAGCACCACAGTGTTACTGGATTTCTCACTCTGAATGTTCAGATGGCCTCTGGAATTTTTATCTCACAAGTGCCACCTCTTTCTGAAAGTAGACATGAAACAAACACAAACAGGCATTTTACAGAACCCACCACTCGATTTCCTCACTCGTACCTACGTGTCTCTTTTCATTGTTTTCCCTGGTGCGGACTGGTTTGTAGTACTCACAGGCGGGATGCAGTAGCCTGTGAGCCTGTGTGCTGACAGAATGGTCGGAATTGTTTGATCTGTGTGTTTCCAGATGGCCTTATAATTTACAGTGATTTCAGTTCCAGGGAAGAAGAAGGAGCCATTCAGTACTCAGTCCACTGCGCCCGGCTATACGAGAACTTCTTTAATAGCTAAGTTTTCCAGCCGATGTCGTATGAAAATCAAACCCGTACATGTTTTCATTGACTCTACTCTGATGTAAAGACACTGGGTTTTGATCCTAAAAGGTAGTCTCCATTGGCTGGGCGCGGTGGCTCAAGCCTGTAATCCCAGCACTTTGGGAGGCTGAGACGGGCGGATCACGAGGTTAGGAGATCGAGACCATCCTGGCTAACATGGTGAAACCCCGTCTCTACTAAAAAATACAAAAAACTAGCCGGGCAAGGTGGCGGGCGCCTGTAGTCCCAGCTACTCGGGAGGCTGAGGCAGGAGAATGGCGTAAACCCGGGAGGCGGAGCTTGCAGTGAGCTGAGATCCGGCCACGGCACTCCAGCCCAGGCAACAGAGCAAGACTCCGTCTCAAAAAAAAAAAAAAATAAGTAGTCTCCATTTCAAAATTCAGAAATTTCATAGATAAATAGGGCTTTCTGTCTTCACTTGAAAAGCAGAAAATCTGGCCACACTGGGCCTGCACCCCATGTGACAGTAGAGTAACTGCAGCTGTGGCCCCACCCCTGTCAGGGGTCCTGCCCCTCCCTGGTGCACCTGCTGGGGTGAGTGCCCCACAGTTCCCGCATCCTCACTGCACCACACAGCAGTGCAGCACCCTCCCCACTACGTGTCTGGAGGTGCTAAAGCCAGACCAAAGACAGGATGTCTTTATGGGAGCGAAGTCATATTTAACTCTGTTGCATATTTACACACACCTGCTGGCTCCACATTTGGAGAAGACGCCCGACCGCTCTCTCTTTCAGGGCGTGATCGAGTTCTCGCTGTGTCTGCTGTTCGCCAAGCTGGTCAGCTATACTTTCCTCTTCTGGCTGCCCCTGTACATCACGAATGTGGGTGAGTATCCGCTGCTAGAACACGTTAAGTTCCGCACACTGACTGGGATCTGAACTCTCTTCTATCTGCTGGTTTCTAGAGTCTTGGAAACACAAGGTCACAAAGGGTGATTTGAGAGACACACTTTTGAATAAAGTACTATGATGAAACATAGGCTAAAAAGAATTCAGATATGCAAACTGTATTGCCATAATGGTAACCTTTATGGGGCTTAACGGTTGACACGTTCTATCCCAGCTAGGGCTACCAATTCATGAGGTACTTCCTGCTCTGGGGCCGCCTGCGTTTAAATGTGGGCTACACTGAACTTTGGATCATAGCAGCCAGTGAGCAGAAGCAAGGCCTCTGGGGACCTGAGAGAAGAAATCCCTGATACTCTGACCTGGAAATGGCTTCTGGGAGATAACTTCTCATTTTTGGCAGGGCCAACAGTTTGCTTTACGTTTCGGAAGCCCCGCGGTGGCTGCAGCTCTAGATTATGAGAAAACGTGCCAGTGAAATAGTAACATGCTCCCCCAAGTCATGTGTGACCACAGGACAGACGAGGGGATGAAGAGTGCTTAAGGGAAGGGGCCGTTGAGTGGGGAAACCAGAACCCTGGCTGAGAGGAAGCGGGGATGGGCCAGGAGCACGTGGAGGGCTCTTCGCCCAGCGAGCCAGAGAGAGTGAGAGGAAGGAGAAGACAAGAAGACACCAGGCCGTCAGGAAGGGGCAGGATCCGGCGATGTCTCAAAGAGGAGGCCTTTGAGAATGGGGGAGGCCGAGGAGCGCAGACCACCTTTTCTGGGGATGCAGATCCCACCAGCGGAGAATGCTGGCAGCACGAGACTGGAGGCTGAATACCCCAGGAGGGAAGTTGAGGAGGTGGTGTGGGGACTGTCCCACAGCCTAGCAGGGACAGGGCCTGCCCAAGGACCAGTGAGTGGGGAGGCAGCAAGGAGCGCCCTCGGATCCTGAGGTTCTTTCCCTGCCTCGTGACCCCCGCCTCACTTCGGCCGGTGAGCTGCACACAGCCTGGGCCTTCTTTCTCCCTTCTTCCCCTGTGGTTGCAAAAGGGGCGACATTCTCAGGACTTGAGTCTTGAACTGCTGGCATTTCCAGTTTGTTTGAAAAAAGCAAAGTTTCCCGTCCGTGCCATTGATGATTCGGAAAGGCCAGGTTTGACCTGCAGCCCCAGATGCCGCCCAGTCTCCTTTCTCACGCACGGCTGGCTCAGTCCACCTTAAAGCCCAGAACTTGTACAAAATCTAGTGGAGGGCACCCTGAGCTGGTGCTGGGAGACCTCTGTGTCCTCATCTGCAGCTCTAAAGTCATGTGGTCAGACAGCACATGTGACAGGACGCTCGAGCATCCAGGCTCCTTCCACACCCCCACTTCTGTCCTGTGTTAATCTAGCTTCATGGTGGAGGGGCCCCTGGGGGGCCTCTGAACCAAAGGTGGGATAATTAGACTGAGCAGAGGAAAGCCACGGTTTTTGGTTAAGAGTGTTTTCATCTTTTCTATGTTACTTGTTTTTTAAATCTGAGTTAACTGCTAATTGCTCCTTGGTGTCAATCAAGCTTATGGAACTGGAGTCTCGTGCATGGATCCTGTTCTGCCATGGTGTGTCACTGTGATGCATGAAAGAGATCCTCATTGTTTCACACTCCGTTGTCATTTTAATAGATCACCTTGATGCCAAGAAAGCTGGGGAGCTCTCCACCCTGTTTGACGTGGGCGGAATCTTTGGTGAGTTCATTAAGACCTGTTCTGCTGCAGCAATAATTTCACAAGGCGCATGATCCCTGAGCTGATTCGCTGCTCAGAGGGAGCAGGGTTCCCCAAGGTCTCATATCCCCTGAGTGGACCCAGCCCAGGAGGGTCAGGCCGTCACCTGGGGGTGGTCTCATGGTCTCCCCTCCCTCCCCAGGGCCCTGACTCTGCACTTGAACAGCTTCCCTCAGAAACAGCATGCCAGCTGGGCTCAGGGGCTCATGCCTGTTATCCCAGCACTGTGGGATGCCGAGTTGGGAGGATCGCTTGAGCTCTTCTTGTTATGAAGACCAACCTGGGCAACATAACAAGACCCCTCTCTACAAAAAATAATAATAACTGGGCATGGTGGCTCGAGCCTATGGTTCCAGCCTTGGAAGGCTGGGATGGGAGAATGGCTTGAGCCTAGGAGGTTGAGGCTGCAGTGAGCCATGATCATGCCATTGCACTCCAGCCTGGGTGACAGAGTGAGACCCCATCTCAAAACTAAAACAAAAAAAAAAGCAGCAGCATGCCTCCTGGGCAGGTGACAGACTGGCCACCTTAGTACCTTGATAGATAAAGGGGCTTCAAGAGTGGTCTAAAACCTGAACTCACAGATGTCTCCAAGACTCTCACATCTGACCACAACCAATGGAGGCCTGTGGGGAGGTCAGGCCTGTGAGAAGCCTGCCTGCCCGTGATGCATGGAGAGAGGGGCTTGGGAAAGGAGGAGGCCGTTCTCCGGGCTCCTGCAGTTCTGCTTCCTCCCCGTGGGCTCATGCCCTGGGACGTCAGCGCCTGAAGCCCGCCTCTCCGTTGCAGGTGGGATCCTGGCAGGTGTGATCTCAGACCGACTGGAGAAAAGGGCCTCCACCTGCGGCCTGATGCTGCTGCTCGCAGCCCCCACGGTCAGCCCTGCTGCCTTCCCTGGGCCCCAAAGCCTGCAGACAGATCTCCACTGTCCTCCTCACCAGCCAGCATCCTCTCCTATCTGTCCCATGCTCCACTTTCCTGACAAGCCCACTTCATTCCCTCTCGTGCCTCCTGTCCCCTGACCCCTCCCTCTGCACCTGCGGGCCTCCACCAGGCTCCCTCCCCCACATGCACAGCTGCTGCTGGTTCAGCATGAGCTGTGCACAAGCTGCTCCTCGCTTTGGGGTGCCCCCTTGCCCCAGACAAGTTCCTGCCCATCCTTTGGGATCTGCAATACCTCCGCCACCTCTTAGGCATCGTTGACCCCTCTCGTTGTGACACATGGTGCATAGCACTTTTCAAGCATTTCGTAGCTCCTGACCTTGGGTGGTGACATCCCTCTCTGTACCCCAGTTCCCTCATCTGGAAAATGGGGTGTCAGTAGCACCATCTTGCAGTGGGTTAGAAACAATGCACATCCTTACTGTTTTTATCGTCGTAACATTAGAGGTAACAGGCTTGTCAGTGGACGCTGTAGCTCTGCACGTCTGCCTCTCCAGTAGCCCCAGAACAAGGGCTGACTTTCAGCCATCTTGGGGTCCTGGACATGGCCCAACACAGACCCTGAAAGAATGCTGAGTGAAGAAATGCCTGGGTGGGCCCCTTGCTGCCATGGGGGTGGGAAGCCTGAGGACTTGGCAGTCAGACTCTCAAATCAAATCAGGAGCTCCAGAAGGCTGCCCTTGGCTGGAGATGTAGAGTGGGAGCACCCTGCAGATTTCCCCAGGTCGCCCGGAGTGCTTGGTCCAAAGCCCTCGTGGTGGGGACAAGGCCCAATGCCTGAGATGGGAGGGGGCGTGGCCGTCACTCTTTTTCAGGGGTTTCCACTCTTGGGATGGCTGCCTGAGAATCACCCGCTGGGCTTTTGAGAAGTAGGTTTCCAGCCATCTCGTGCTGCCTGCAGCCAGCCATAGCTTTGACCTTGTGTCTTGATGTCCACAGCTGTACATCTTCTCCACCATCAGCAAGATGGGGCTCGAGGCCACCATCGGTGAGTATGGAGGCCTTCCTGCTTTTCTTTCACATACGTTTTTAAAGTTCACACAACTGGCAAGATGAAATATTAAAATCAACAGGTGCATTGAGTTGGTTTAACTGGAGCACATGGTGTGGCTAAAATTGTCCCATGTCCTTCTTTGGGTGAAGCCATCTGGAGAGGCCAGAGTCTCCTCTCCCCAGCACAAGGCTTGCCAGTCTGCGGGTTTCAGTGTGAGCCGGGAGAGTGCGAGCCTGGTCTGGGGCAGTGGCCCTGGGCACTCAGTGGAGAAGCCAGAGGTGACCTTGAGGTCAGCCCCTCCTGAGGCCTCAGCGGGGCTGCAGCAGCCTGCGACCTGCAACCTGCACCCCTGGTGGTGAGAGCAACCCAGTCTAGCCCTTGGGCCGCGTCAGGTAGCCAGGAACCTGGCAGTGTGACCTGAGCAGGGTCCGGCCGGGAGCCACAGCCAGTGGCCCCCCCAGCCACCTCCTCCCAGCTTTGCCAGCTGCCCTCCAGGAGTGGTTGCATAACCTTGGAGGACTATCTTGAACACCCTGCAGGCCATGCTATCAAATTATGCCTCCAGCACTTAAAAGTATGCTTTCTGTCCTAACGAGCCAGCAGTGGGGATGTGTGTGGTCCCCTTAAACATTATCCAAAAGGCAGCTTGCCCCCAGGAGAGGAAGCGGAGTTTCCTGTGACCCCTCAGGCCAAAAGCTTCCTCACCTGAGTGTGAGCCTAGAGGAGAGTTTAGGAAGCCACGTGGTCCAGGGAGAGGGTGGGAGTCTGCCCTCAGCGAGCACCACAGCAGCTGTGGGTCACGAGAGGCAGGCCTTTCTGCCGCAGATGAAGCAGGGGCCAGCCCAGGCCCGGGTCAGGCCCAGGGTCCGGCCTGTGCTCGCTCCCTCGTGGCGGCAGCTGCTGCCCTTCAAGGGTGAATGAGCCTGAGTCTTAGGGAGGGTATGATTTGCTTTAGCGCCTTACTAGACAAGTTTAGAGGAAGCTGTTTCTGCTGTACCCCCTCCCTGTGCTCCCCAGGCGCCCACCTCGGGCGGCTCCCATGCATGTGGGGCTCTCCGGAGGACGCGCTTCCTTTCTCTGCCCCTCTGCCTCCCACAGCCATGCTGCTGCTCAGCGGAGCCCTGGTCAGTGGGCCCTACGCGCTCATCACCACCGCCGTCTCTGCCGACCTGGTGAGTAGAGCTGGGAGAGACGCTGGCCCTGTGGGCACCCCGCCATTTGCCATTCATGACAAAAGTGGCCTCCATTACCGTTAGTAAAACCGTATTTGCAGAAGCACGTTTTTGGCAGCTCACCTACATCTGTGGTCTCCAGCCTTCCTGCACCTGCCCCCCTCCTCACGCTTCTAGAATCACGGGCAGGTTGGCGCGAAACTCACCTCTCAGCACAACAAAAGGCTCTTGGGCACCATCCTCATGACTCAGGCACCTTTTCACTCCAAGGGGGCAGGGGAGGGGTCCTGTCCTGGAGACCACTGCAGAGAGAGAGGGGCCGGGCCAGGAAGAGGCGCTGGGGGATTTGGCCCTCCTCATCCAGGTACCACGCCCTGCCTTGGTCACCTTTGTGTTGGGCGTGTCCTGAAACTGCCTGAGTGTGCGTGAGCATGCAGACTTGTGTCTGCATGGGCATGGAAAGTTCTGGAAGGATCCACATCAGACCATTAGCAGTGGTCAGCCTTCATGGGATAGAGGCAGAGGAGAGACTTTCACTTATTGTTTAGACTTCAAAATACACAGGTTCTGGATGATTTTCATATTGTGTATTCTGTTCTTTATTTTATATACGTTATTACATGCATATACAAGCATTTATTTTTTTGAACGCTGGTTCATTTTTATAGTTTTAGGCTTTCAGGCATTGTTTCACCTGATCTTTTCCCCCTCCTATTGTCCTCAATTTGTGCTTTTTGCCTGTTATCTATGCAACATTTTCAAAACCGGAGCTCCTGGCGACTGCTCACCGAGGACCCGTGCCGGCCTTGGTTTCTCGGCTTTCCCCTCCTCCCTTCTTCCCCTGGCGTTTGCTATCAATCAGGTTGAATTTCAGGTCCTGCAGAGACATCTGACAGGGGTCCCAGGAAGGCCCTGCCTGTTGAGGAATCCAGCAGACATGTGGACGTGGCTGGGAAGGAAGGCGGGTGCTGGGAAGGAAGGCCGGTGCAGCTCAGGGCAGGGGCGCGTGTCACACATCTTCACACCTCACACTGGCTGCTCTGGGGCCTCAGGGAGGAGCAGGACTGTGCTGAACAAACTTTTTTTATTTGAAGAGAATCCTAAGGTTCTTGTAACTAGAACCAAACATTTCTGATGATTTTTGACTCTTAAAAACCCTTGAAGTTTTAACTCTCCAAGGCAAACTTGGGGTGGAGTTTAAATAATGGGAAATACCTCACGCTGAATTGTTCTGCAGAGCAGTTCGAGTAAATGGTCATACAGAGGCTTAGGTTTACTTCTCATGCTATGGAGACAAGCTCCACATCTGTTTTTCCTCTCTTCTAGGGGACTCATAAAAGTCTGAAAGGCAACGCACACGCCCTGTCCACCGTGACCGCCATCATCGACGGGACCGGCTCTGTAGGTGCGCAGAGAGTTTTGGCTCTGGGATGTTTGGTGTCTTAGTGGAAATCACACTGTCACATGCTCGTGAACAGGTACCCAGGGTTCCAACTGCACCGCTAACATCGGGTGGGCCGGCTTCTTACAGTACGAGCAGATAGCAGGGGACACGGCGCAGGGGACACGGCGCAGGGGACACGGCGCAGAGATGGTCGTGCATGCCCGGGTGGCTTCAGGGAGATGCGCGTGTGACTCGCTGTGTGTGTCCAGGTTTTCACCCGAGGCAGTGGTTGGCAGACTACAGCCCGTGGGCTAACTCAGGTCCACTCATTATTTATTGCCTTCATCTCAAGAAAGGCAGAGTCTTATTACAGAAAAACTAATTGGTCCAAAAGCATACAGGGTTCTGAGTGTCACCGGCATCGTCGAAGCTCTTGAAGAGAATTCAGTGGCATATTCTGGAATTTAAAAAGGTGGCAGGATAAGCAACCCATTCCCTTAGGGAGCAGGCAGGTGGGAACTGGCAGAGCACCGGTCTCCTCGCCCATGTGCAGCCCGACAGCACGGCCATGGCCTTCCCTGAGCCCTTGTACGGGCAGCACACGCAGTGGCTGTGCTGGCGGGTGAAGATCAGGAGCTGCCACACCTGCCAGGTGAAGATCAGGAGGGTCCTCCCTACATGTGGGAGGTGACGGGGGGCTGCCAGGTGTGGCTCTCACAGCTAATGACCTGGGGTGCCAACCTGGTGAGTCACTTGCTGCGTGGGGTTCTCAAAGCAGTAAAGCCCAGTGTTTGCTAGACGAAGGTGGCTCAGTAAACCCAGGTCAGCCAGAACCTGGCGCTGGAGCCTTCCCGCGGGCTCGTGCAGAGCGCCGATGTTGCTCTTGGCTGCCCGTGGCCTTGGTGTCAGCAGGCTGGAAACCACAGCACGTTTCTGGGTGTCCACTGCTGTCTCAGTGATGGCAGAATGCAGAGCCCTCCCACCGCATGGCCTCCCTGCTGCTCCTCCAGAGGCCAGGCTGGCCCCCGTGCGGGCTCTTTGCTCTGGCCATGCCCTGTGTCTGGGAAGGTCCCCAGAGGTGACCTCGTGCCACACTCCCTCATGCCTTGAGTCTTTGCTCAGATGTCATCCTGTCAGCGAGACCTCCTGGGACCACCCTGCTGAGAACGGGGGAACCCTTCTGGCCCGGCCGCCAGGCCGCCTCTCCCTGGTCTGTTCTCTAGAGCACTCTCCCCATCCGCAGTGGGATTTAGTGCGCTCCTCTGCTTCGTCTCCTCTGTCTCCCACCACTGGAACGGAAGCTCCAGGAGGATGGGATTTGCTTGGGTTTTTGAACTGAACGGGCTGCTCCCAGTTAGAATCACAGCCAGGGCCCACGCGGCTGAGTGCACAGTGAGGAGCCAGGCCGGACAGGCCCCAGGCGCCCCACCCACCCCTGGCTGGCGGGAACCCCAGCTCCACGCTGCTGCTGCTGCTGTTTCTGGGGCAGGGCTGGCTTCATGTGACCCACTGCCTTGTTCTGAGAAGCAGTGGGCAGGGTGGCCGTTGCTCAGAAAGCCACGCTTTGGCTTTTGCTGTTCACCAAAGTGAGACCAGGCCAGGCTTGTCTCTGCCCTTAATGTTGGTTCCTTCATTTCACTGGATCCAGAGGGGCTTTGAGTGTATTGGGTGGTGGCGGTGGTCACCCCTCTGATCTTCTCTCTTGGGCATCTCAGTAGGAAGTCGGGGGACTGCAGGGCTGAGCTCGGTTCTGATTGACGTTGTGACTGCGCGGCCTTCTCTTGGCCTTGTGCCCCAGTGGCCTGCGGCCTGCGATTTGGTCTGACTGCTGTGAAACCCTGTTCTAAAAGCTGACTTGGCGCTCCACTGGCAAAACCCCGACTGCTGCTTTAAAGCAGAGCATCAGTGTAAAAAAAGAGGGAAATCATGAACTAGGTGAAAAAACACATTTTTCTTCATATTCTTCTCAAAATGAGAGGGAAGCAGAAGTCTGTGGCTATGGGTAGGGACTCTGCATCTGTGAACAGAGGCCACTGCCCGCCACTGCCCCCGAGTGGGTGGAAGGGAGGCGCAGTTCTGAATGCCTTTGGCCCACTCACAAGGAAGGTGGCACGCACGCCGGACCCCCTCTGGCCTTCTGTTAACCTGCACCAAGTCCTGACTGTCCGCGGAGCTGCTGTGCCCACCTTGATGGCTGCTACGTTACACCAGAGGCGGGACCAGGACCCAATTCCTCCAGGCGCTATCCCCCATCAGTGCCTGCTGCCTGCTCAGTAAATGGTCACCATGGAAATGGCACTCAGGCCTGCCCACCCCCACCACCACGCCTCAGTCATTATTCCTTCCATTATTCCTTCCATTATTCCTTGAGTGCTGCCCAGCGAGACAAAGTACAGGCTCCAGTGGGAAGGCCACCATGTCAGCCAAGGCCCTTCCCGAGGGAGCTGCCCGCATGCTTACTTAGTGTCACCGTCCATTCCTTGGCACTGACTCGGGTGGAGGCAAAGCATGACTAATTGTAAGTCACCCCTGCCTTCTCCCAAGTGCCATATGGTCGGTTGACACGGTGTGCGCCTGGGGCGTCTGCAGTCCTTAGAATCGCAAAGGTTGCCGTTCCTGTGCATTTCATGCAGAGCAATTAAATAGAGCGCTGCATTTTTTCAAGTTAATTTTTATGTATCAAAGTAAAACATAATGTACCTTAGAAGCCAGACAGTCCTACAAACTTATTATGTTGTACAGTGGCGTTCCATCCCCCTCCCCAGCCCTGTCTGTCTAGAAGCAGCAATTTCAGCTGCCTCTCTCTGCTTACCTGTGTATGTTCATGTTTCTTGGTTCATCCTCTTAACATCTCAGCTGTGCTCCTCTTACGGAAGAGGGGGCCTGGCTCCCTCCCCCTCAGTTATACTGGCCACACTCCTGCCCTTCACTTTCCAGCCAAGAAAGAAACTTTAATTATGCACCCTCAATAGAAACATCTTGTTTTTTCCCGGGTGAGTAAACACATCTCCTCTCTTCCTCTTTTCCACATTTCCGACAAAGTTCTTCCTTCCCTGCACTGTGGTCGGCGTCCTGCCCCGCCCCACCCCTTTCCTCACACCATCAGCCTCAGTCCGCCCACTGCGCAGCTTTGCCCCAGAGCACCTGTCACCACGGTGCTGGGAGTCCCCCTCTTCTCTTGCCCTCAACACAGCCCTAGCAGTCTAGACCCCTGTTTACCCCTCCTGTGGTGGAAACTGTCTCTTAGTAGCTTCCGGAGTTAGGGGAGGTGCGTTCTGCAAGCTTACAAGTGCACAGTGGTGTCTGGATTCTGCTCTCGCCTGAGGCAATGCAGACGTGGAAACACCTTCTCTTCAGAACCCCCGTCTTCCAGCCCCCATTATTCTGACCCCAGCCCTTGCTTTCTGACCTTCTCTTTTTTCTCTTAGAAATCTCCAGGTTCCCTTCCTTACGCCTGGAGCCTTTCTTCATCCACCGTCCTGGGCACCTGGTGGCCCCTTCAGTCTGGAAACACCTGCCCTTCGCTTTAGGGGAATTGGGCCCCTATTCATTTGATAAGTTTTCCTACCATTTTCTGAGTTGTTTTTTCGTTCTGGAAAACAGATTAGTCAGATGTAGGTTTTTCTGGATTAATCCTTCAACTTTCCTTTCTTTCCCTTCCTGCCCATCTCCCTGTTCTTTCTTACACTTTCTCAAGGAGATTCTTGACTGTATTTTCCACCTTTGTATCGAACATTTTACTTTTCCTGCCATATTTTCAGTGTTCACTGATGTTTCTCTGCCCTTTCAGGGTATCCTGTTTTATTTCTTGTTAGATTGAATCATGTGAAATTGGTAACAGGTTTTCAGCCACACAAAAAAAATGGGAGTGTCATGAGGTTCAACGTAGTCTTCTGTTGGCTCTCTGGGGGTGCTGTGAGCTCCTGGGAATGTTCCTCTCCTCCAAGCTCCCTCCTGCCAGCTTGCTTGCTTTTGCGTTGCGGTATTCCCAAGACACAGGGCAGACCTTGGTTGCCCCTTCATCACTTCCCATGGAAGAAGGGGTCCTGCATAGCGGTTTGAAGTCTTTCTGTGGGAACAGTGTGCTGGCTGCTGGTCTCCAGGCAGAGGGACCCTGTGGAACCTGGAGGAAGAGACTCCTTCAGTGCCCAGGGGAGCCTGGGTCCAGCTGCCAACATCCTTGCCGTGGCGTGGGACCATGGGTGGCTGCTTAGTGGAAGCTGGTGTCTTTCCCCAGATCCCCTGTTGCCTGTTAGGTGGCATCCCTGTCCTGAGCTGGGCTTAGTGCCCCCACAGGTTAAGCTGCGCTCTCCTGCACGGGGGCATCAGGAGTCTCTATCAGCGAGGATGAGAAGAGAGACCTGGGATCCGAGGTGCGGCAGAGGGAATGTAGCTAACAGTTTGTGATAAAAGACTCAACCCATGCTCCCTTTTTCTCTTACTGACCCCTTCCCCCCGCCCATCCTCCTCCTTCCTTGCCCTCCCCTCCCCTGTCTCGTGTGCTCCGCTGGGCCTGACTCTGCTCCAGGTGTCCCTGTGCCATCTCCCTCTGAGGGTGCTCAGTGGAGCAGGGAACACTGGAGGCTGTGTTAGCTGTCAGCCCTTCTACGTCTGTCTTCCAAAACCACGTGCCCTTCGGTGGGAGGATTTATCATTTTTAAAAGTCAGTGATGGTGCAGTTCGTGTTGCCTGAGAGGTGTGGAGATAACACATGAGTAGCCGACCATGTTTACCTGGAAGTTCTGAGAATTAAAAAAAAAAAAAACATACAATTGCTCCTGGGATTATAAAATAGTAAGTGCACTTTGTGAACACTTGAAAAAAACGAATGTCTAGGGCGTGAAATACCCTGGTTATCTTCTCTCAGAGATTGAATGTCAGTTCATAGCTTGGTGGAAATTCTTCATGCTTTTTCCCATGCGTCTACCAAAACAGGCCATCCTACATGTTATCAGGATTCATTTCAGTCCCTCTTGGTAAAATGCACCAGCTGCTACAGAACACATTCTTAAACGCCAGCCCCTGGGCATTTAGGGGGATACTTTATTTTGTTTTCATCATTTAAAAAAACATTTTGACATAATTTCAGACTTTGAGAAAGTTGCAGAAATAGTACAAAGAATTCAGACATTTTAGTACATGTGGTTCATCATGCACCCCTCATGTATGTTTACACATATGCACACACATGCATAATTTTTCTGAACCACTTGAGTAAAATGCACACATGTTGCCCCTTTACGCATAACTATTCAGCATGTACTTCCTAAAAGCAAGGAATTCCATGACAGACCACAGTGCAATGGTCAGAATTAGAAAGTGAGCATTGAAGAGTATTAGTATCTACAAATCTTATTCCAATTTTACCCAGTTACATTTGTATAGCATAAGAATATCTAAGATTGTGCATTGAATTCAGATTTCCTTACAGTGTATTCAGGAACATCATGGGAGTGTTGGATGAAAAGAACGAACATTACAAGGCCAACACACATTTTTAGGATGGTTCTGGGAAGAGGCTGTGCCAGCTTTGCCTTCTCAGTAGTAAGGCGTACCGGTGGAGTATCCTTATCTGAAGTGCTTGGGACCAGAAGTGGTTACGTCTTTTTATTTTTTCAGATTGTGGAATATTTGCATTATACTAGTTAAGCATCTCAAATCCCAATTCTGAAATGCCCCAGTGAGCATTTCCTTTGAGTGTCAGCACTCAAAAAGTTAAGAATTCTGGAGCATTTGGGATTTCAGATTTTCAGATTTGGAAAGCTCAACCTATACTAGACCTTTTACCTGCTCCCAGTCTGATAGGCCAGGATGAGGTAGTGTAGTTCCGTATGTGTTCCTTTCATTGTGAGTGAGGTGTTGAGCCCCATTCTGTGTGACTGCTGGTCATGTGCTGGGATTTTCTCTAAACAGCACCATGTGTGTCCATTTGCCCGATTTCAGGAGCAGCCCTGGGCCCCCTGCTGGCTGGGCTCCTCTCTCCGTCCGGCTGGAGCAATGTGTTTTACATGCTGATGTTTGCAGATGCCTGTGCCTTACTGGTAAGTCGGCCTATTTTTAGTCCAATCCACCTTGAATGCGGATCTCTGTGGTTGTGGCCAAACACTGGTGGAACTTTCTCCCGTGCATTCCTGAGTTATCAGACAGATTTGGGTCTTCCCATCTTTTCTAAATATGCATAGTCTAAAGCCCCTTCTCTCTCTGGTTAGAAAAAATCAGAAACAGAAGCAGGACAGCCTTTGGTCTGCAGTCTTGGTTGGGATGGTACAGAGGCCAGGAGCATGGAGCTCCATGGCTCTGGATCCTGCCCGTCATTGTCACTTGTGTGCCTTGGGCGGGTTTCGTAACCTCTGCTCCACAGCTTTAAAATGGGCATGATAATGGCGCCCAGTGACAAGACTGCTGTGGGAATTAAAGCAGATGATATACAGAGCCCGGCCTCCCACTGGTCATCAGTGTCCTGGTGTCCCTCCTGCAGCCATGCTTGTCAGATGGCGGGAGCAGCCCCAACTTCTTTCACCTGAAGGGATGGGAGAGAATAAAGGGGCAAAGAGGCTGTCAATGCAGACACACGAAGTCGCCTTCTGGCTTCTGTCCCCTTTTCTCTGGGCTCCTGCTTCTGTGCCCTCCTGTGTTGAGAAAGCTTGAGGTTTTCCTCTGGGTAGGGAAGACCAGTGATGATGTCACAGTCACACAGATGTGCACTTGTGAGGGGCACATACACTTATCTTTACAAGTCACCTGGCCACAAAGTCCCCAGACCCACAGTCATGCCTCTCCTCTTGCTTCACCAGACAAAACCTTAGGCTGATCCCAATAAAAATGAGTTGAGAATTTTAGAAATATCAACTCACTCAACTAAATGAAAGTCTTATATCTTAATTCCAGGAAATTATAAAACTCAACTTCCCCACCACATACAAAATCAAATACCAACTCTCAACCTATGAATTTACTAGGTTTAAATGGCTGTTCTTTGGATCATCTGTGGGTTTTCTTAATGCCTAAACGTTCTAGTGAAGCCTCCAGATGTATTTCCACTAAGTAGCAGTAAAATTCCTGTCATTACAACTGTTCAGAGAATCTGAAATATCTTCTTCAGAAATATTCAGTAATATATATTGAAAATTGTTTTGATGCATAGCCAAACTCATAAGAAAGTAAAGGAATTCCCCAGGAGCCAGAATTGTAAAGGCAATATAAATACACAAGCTCAGGAGTCAAGGGGTTGGGGTGGTTGTGCCCACACTGGGTAAGAGACAAGGTGTTAGGCTGGCACAAGATGAGGATTTGGAACTGGAGACTTCCTCATAGAGCCAGGACCCTTGAAGAGCCATGCTTGCAGTGAAAGAGTGTATTAGATGATATCTGCACACTGGCACAGGAAGACAATGGGAATCTGCCCATCTTAGCCAGATTAAGGGAAAAAATATCCCTTGAAAATTTTTAGCCATAGACCTCCCCACAGTCAGCTTTAATCTTTGAGCTCATATAAATATGTTTAAAATGAACAAAGTTGGTCCTTAGGCAGTGATAATGCAGAAGCAAATAGGGACAAATCTCAACCCTGCAGCACAGGATTTCTGTAGCTAACCTACTTAGATTTCTTCACCCTACTAAAGATGAGTTCACAATACAAATTATGAAACATAAGCAATCCACTTTGAATGACAGTAACAGACATAAAAAATGGTGGAATTGGACTCCCCCAAAACTGCAGGTAAAAGAGTTATATAAACTAAAAATAAATATATGCAGTGTTACTAATGACGTAAAGAAAGGAACTGACCTCATGAAAGAAAGAACAAGACACTATCGAAAGACAGAGCAGGCTTCAAAAACAACCAAACAGGAGTTATAGAAATGAAAATGTGATCTTTAGCCTGAAAAAAAAAAAACTCAATGGATGGGTTAGAAAAGTAAATTAGATACAGCTGAAGAGATTACTGAAATGAAATATAGACATGAAGAAATTATCCAGAATTCAGCACAAAAGAGAGATGGAAAATATTAAAGAGAATGAAATATAAAATGGAGGACCAAATGAGATGGCCTAATATTATCTGAAAGTAATTCCAGAGGAAGATAATAGACTGGGTTTGAAGCAATATTTTAAGAGAAAATAGCTGAGAATTTTCCAGATACATGAAAGACAAACATTCTTAGATTCAGGAATCAAACGACTTAGAATTCTGTACCTAGATAAACTTGCATGCAAGAGTAAGGGTGAAGTGAAAACATTTTTAACCAAAGATGCTCCCAGCAAAAATTGCTAAACAGTGTATTTAAAGAAGGAAGATAGATCCAGAAGGAAAGTCTGAGATGCAAGGAGAAATGCAAGCAAAAAAGCAATATTCCTAAGGATGAATCTAAGTATTGACCATATAAAATAGGGGCCAGCTAACTGTGGCTTATTTTTGTATGATCCTCCAGCTGGGAATGGTTTATATTTTTAAAGATTTCTTTAAAAAAATCAACAAAAGAATGCGCAACAGAGACCATATGGCTGCAAAGCCTGAAATATTTACTATCTAGACCTTTACAGAAGAAGCTTTCTGACTCTTAGTTTAAAACAACAGCAATGACGACTAATTTGGGCAATATAAAAAAGAACTGAAATACTGAAAATGTAAAGTACAAGCAGGACAATCAGAGTTCCAGCACACCACAGTTCTTACATTGTCAAGTCAATAGCAATAGAATGTGTAACCTTCCAGGCAATACAGGGAAATGAAGATTTATCCAAGAGAACCTAGGGTCGGGGGAAGCATAGGAAAAGCAGGGTAAATACAGAAATACATAGCGACATGGATGAAAACGATCCCAGCATACCAGCAACACAGTAACTATAAATGGACTAAACTCATCAGTTAGAAGCAGAGACTGTCAAGTTGCTTTTAAAAATACAGGCACTGGTTATTTACAAGAAACACACCTGCTACACTGGAATTCCGAAAAGACGAAAGTGAAAGAATGGGAAAGTACACAACAGGTAAATAATAACCAGAGGAGGGTGGATTTGTTGCACTGGAAGAAAGAGACCTAAAGCAGAAGCACTTGGGAGATGGGGTCTTGTTGTAGTGGAGAAGAAACTGAACCAGGATGTGCAGTAGGCCGGTGAGCTCGAGTTGAGCCTTTCAAACCTAAGAAATAGACATACCTTTTTCTCTTCCCTGATCAACATGCTTTGTGGTATCTTTTCACCAAAATAGACAAGTGTTTCCTCCCAAGTCTGAGGCTGAGAACCTCCATGATCTGAGCAGGTGTCCTGGGGGGCCAGAGGACACCATGCTTCCTGCCTCACCGTGCACACTGATGGCCAGCTCCAGGGCCTGCAGGACTGCCTGGGCACACAGCCAAAGTCCTTAGGTCTCCAGTATGCACTGGGCTCCTGAAGTTGGCAGGGCCCCTCCTTGTTGGTCATTCTTGCATGTGTGAGCCAAGCACACAGGCATGTTTTGAAATCGGATCTCTGTTCTTCAGAGCTGTCACTATTTACAGTTCGTGCCATACCTACAGATAACACTTGCTACTACATTCTTCATCTTTTTTTCTCTGTCTTAATGATCGGCTTTTCATAATCATAGGTCTCTTCGGGCTAGCACTTTTCACACATCACACTTGGTAGGATATAGATGTGGGTAAGGTACCAGCTCAAACACAACAAGCCTGTGCCAGTAATTGCAGCTAGCGGTTCAGATACACACAGATGGATTTATTTAACAATAACCTTGCTCTTGCCACCAGCACTATTGTTGGTACCTGCCGTGTTCCCACGACCTTTACCGACTAATTATCGCAAACACCTTTCATGTACCAAGCAGAGCAGCTGGATGCATCTTATCTGTAGAAGGGGCTCCTGTTCTCTCCAGCTTGAACTCACCTCATACAAGGGACTTCTAAGTTGCTACTCAAACCATAAGCATCTAAGAAAAGAGAAGAGTTTCTGCCTTCTCGAGCTGTGGCCTGAGGCTTGGGGGTGGGGCCGTGGGTTTGGTTTTTAAGCAGCCCCTCGAGACCGTCCTCCAGCACCCCTTCCCCGCCTCCCCTGGCCCAGTGATCCACCCTGGGTCTGAGGGCATCTGTGGCTCTCTAAGAGTGAGGGGCCACGTCCAGGGAGAGCCCTCCTGTGGGCTGATATCACACTGGGAGAGAGACTGGATCCACACTGGAAAATGCAGACACACTAGTTAAATTGGGGATAGCACAATCATTTGTCTGGATTTGGAAGCTGATGTTGAGCCCCCGAACATGTGAAAGGCACAGAGTTAAAGCCCTGGGTCTAGAGAGGAGCTCAGGCTGAGGCAGCAATATTGGTGGAACAGCCCTGACCCCCGGCCAGGCCTGGCCTCCGAGGGGCTCCCAGTGGGCTGCAGCTGTCCTGTGGCAGCCTCTTCAGACCCCAGGACTGGCGTCGGAGGAGATGCTCACCTGGCTTTAGAGTCGCCTGAGAAACTCGCGAGTCCACCTCCTGGGCCACCAGCATTGTGGTCCTCTTGTCTTTATTTTCTTTTTCCCACTGTGGACATTTTATGATTGGACTAATTTTATTCTAAACATGACTTGACCCCAGAACTGGTTCAGGCTGCATCTTTCCCAAAAGCCTTGTTTTCAGGGCACCTCCTGGTTCTTCGTGGGCCCTCATCAGACAGCCCTGCCCACAGGAACCAAGGCCTCGGGCTGAGTATGCAGGCCCCACTGCTCTTGCAGGGAGGTGACCCCAGGGAAGGTGCTGTGGGGAGAGAACCACCCGCCTGAGTCTTGCGGGCTAGGTCCTCACGGTGCCCACAGCGCGGGCTGCCCTGTGCCTGCCCCAGTGACGGGTGGGCTCACCTTTGTTTTGGTGCAGTTCCTGATCCGCCTCATACACAAGGAGCTGAGCTGCCCAGGGTCAGCGACGGGGGACCAAGTTCCGTAAGTCCCAGCTCGGGCCCTGTCCCCTGTCCGAAAGCCAGCTCCAAGGCGCCTTCTGTCCTGTCTGCCTTCCGCACCTGGCTTTCCCTAAAAGAAAGAAAACACATGGCTAATCTTTTCACGGCATGCCACCTTCACTCTTGCTTTTTCTTTTCTAATAAATACCTCTGTTTGGATGGGTTGGTGGTAATCTCTCCTCAAAACCTGGGTGGAAAATGAGAGGGAATTGCCGTCTCTGGCATTCTGTTGGAGGTGCAGCCCCCCGAGCTCTCCTTGCCTTCCTGCTCTCCCCCTTCTCCCTCCTCTTTTCCCTCCCTCCCTCCCTTCTCTCTCCTTCCTGGCCCCCAGGAGGTTGTGGGAAAGGTGCAAGGGTTTATCTAGCATCCAGTGCCCCATAGGAGACAAATCCCTGCTGGGCCTGGAGGGCAGCCGGCTCCCCAGGGGATTTGCGTGTGGTGTGTGAGGTTCAGCATCTCTTGCTGAGCCACTGCTGGCTGTTAGAGCAGGTGTTCTTTCATCCTTTCTTTCAGATTTAAGGAACAGTGACGCCCCACCCCCGGTCCCGTGGAGGGGGTCTGGGCCCACCCTTCACAACTGCCTTTCAAGGACAGTTTAGATAAAGGGCCCTGCACAGAAAGAGTGACTTCCCTTTGCCTTTTGCACACGCACCTGGAAAAGACACAGAAGCCAACCTGAGAACTCCTGGTGCTATTTTAAACGAGACGTAGAGCTGAACAGCAGTGAGAAGAGTCTGTGGGAACTGCTGCCTGAGCCGAGCCAGAGAACCGAAGACCCGGCCAACCCTGGCCTTGAAGGCGTGTGCCCATGTAACCACCTAAATGCACGCGTGACAGCCAGGCCGGGTGGGTGTGGGGTGCACAGGTAGCCTCGACCCTCTCAGGCGTGTCAGCCACAGAACATCAAAGTGAACGAGTGCCACGCTGGCTGTGGCTTCAGAGAACCTGAATGTGCCATGTGGAAAAACAGGACACCAGAGCCCACCAGACAGCGCCGGCCAGCAGAGAAGCAGAGAGCCGGCGCCACATGACAGCAGGAAGGCCGACAACCTGATCGGAAACCATGACGGAGCTCAGACCTACATCACCCCAGAGGCTTTTCTAGCACCCCTGATGTTCCGGACTGACCTGAAAACTAATTGTTGAGAAGCCAAGGGTGAGGAGGCAGGAAGCACCTCCACTTGGAGGCACCCAGGCGTGCCAGCCACAGAGTGCCCCGAAGTCACCGTCATCCCAGCCCCTGGCATTCCTGCTGCCCTCCGAGGCCTCGGTGCTGCTGTTCAGCTCGGGGCACAGGGGCATGGCAGAGGCTTGGGAAGCGGCCTCCCCACCGGCACTGGGATTGGCAGGTCCAAGCCCAGCAACTGGCTTCACTTCCACGACACACCACACCTGGGACTGTTTTTAATACATAGCAACAGAGTGGGTTATTTATTTAAGATGTGTATTGTGTCATATGAAGTTTAAGAAACATAAATGGCATTTTGTTATTTATTAAGACAAACTCCAATTGTTCTCTGGCCGTTTTTTTCAGTCGTGTCTAGCAAAATACTTATCTGCCCTTTGAAATAAAATGTTTTTGTTAAAAAAATCTCAGAACACTCAGAGAATGTTGATGATTTCTGCTCACATTTCCATTACGCTGCAAAAGGGAATTTCCAAATCGTGTTGTGTGTTTTGGGTTTTCTCAGGTTTGGACATTCAGGATTTTGCGACTGAAAATCCATTTCCAGCAGGAAAGGGGCTACCTCTGGGGCCCTTGTTTGCACAGAAGGCCAAGCTGAAGCCCCAGTAAGCAGCCATCTGGATGTTTTCTAAATCACACAGTTTAAAGAATATCCTAGGATTTGTCCTTGACTAGGAGATGTCACACCCAGTGGCGGTGGGGAAAGATGGTGCACTTGGGAACTGCATGATGGGGTCCAGGCTTTCAAACGCCCTTCTTAGAACCCTGGCCGTCCAGATGTGCATGGTGTGGGCTTTCCCCGGATGGAGTGCTGTGGGAGTTCATCTGGGGACCCCTCACAGCAGCAGGGCAAAGGTCAGAAACAACACACTGGGTGTCCCACGGTTCTCAGGGTCCTCCTGCCCAAGCTCTTCAGAGAAGCCCACAGGAGCAGCAGACCTGGCTGTGGGGGCTTCTGCGTGCCACTGCCCCACCCGATTGGCTCACTCTCTTTTTAATGGCAAGTTATTTATACATTTAAAAACTTTCTGCTAAAAAAGAAATTCCCTAAACACCAACTGGATGGAGTGTGTTTCCCACACACGCAGTGCGCTGGCCTTTCCCGGCCCCCACCAAGTGCTTGCCCCGCCTGGACACAGGTTCCTAGGAGCCTCCCGCTTTTCCTCTCTCCCTGACCTGGCTCCAGGCACCAGTCCAGCCCTCTCCCGCTGGTGTCACAGTGGCCTGAGCCGCCCTGAGCCCCTGCCGGCTGCCATCCCTGAGTGCGGGCACCAGCCCCGTGCTTGCCACAGGGCACCTCTTCCCTCCGGGTATGCCGTCCTAGTATCCATGGGCTGAACAAGCGAGGGACGAGGCAGATGGCACAGTATCATTACAGAATGCACAGAGGGCTTTTTCCATAAACGAAATTCTTTGCGTTCACTGCCCTCTGCCTCCCCAGAACTGTGCCCTCTGAGGCCTCATCTAGTCAGAGGCCCAGGACGGGTGGGCCGGAGCAGACCCTCCTCACCCCATAGCCACCAGCCACTGTTCAGCACAGCAGCCTTGAGGTGGCCATCGCTGTTTCCCCATCTCAGTGAACTAAAGTACTGGAAGAAAATCTCCCACAACTCACAAAGGAAAAGCAATTTCCCATTTCTGAACCCTCTAAACTAAACCCCGAGAATGCCTTTGGAAATGGAGAGTCGATCCTTTTTTTAAAATGAAGAGTATACACACAGCTATTTTTTTTAAAGCAATTTAGCAGAAATTCACCTTGATTCATCAATGGAAGATTTCATCATGACTTTTAAGGAAAAAAGTACATGATTTCAATATAAAAATACATCCTCATTTGAGCATAGCTGGGGTCTTCTCCATCTGCAAACATCCAGCTCTGAGACACACACACACTTGCCATCATGTGGAAGCGTGGCTCTACCCATCACGCACGTGTGCACCTGCCATCGTGTGGAGGCGTGGCTCTGCCTGTCACACGTGCACCTGCCATCGTGTGGAGGCGTGGCTCTGCCTGTCACACGTGCACCTGCCATCGTGTGGAGGCGTGGCTCTGCCCGTCACACACGTGTGCACCCGCTGTCGTGTGGAGGCGTGGCTCTGCCCCATCACACGTGCACCTGCCGTTGTGTGGAGGCGTGGCTCTGCCCGTCACGCACATGTGCACCTGCCGTCGTGTGGAGGCATGGCTCTGCCCGTCACGCACGTGTGCACCTGCCGTCGTGTGGAGGCGTGGCTCTGCCCGTCACGCACGTGTGCACCTGCCTTCGTGTGGAGGCGTGGCTCTGCCTGTCACGCACGTGTGCACTTAGTGCACATCACTAAGACTCTCCTATTCATGTTGACAAAAATGCCAGATGATGGAAACACAAGCTGGCAACAGGGCCAGTGAAAGAGCTCAAGGTGGGACTCCAGCTCTCCAGCCTGTCTGTAGGCAGGAAAAACTACTCCTGGAAGCTCACTTCAGTGAACGCACCTCACAGTCCAAGAGCTGCCGGGAGTACAGGTGCCTGGTGGCTCCTGTACTGTGCGTCTCAGTCAGACCAGAGCCAGCCTTCCTATTACCAGCGTGTAAAATCCAAGAAAACTAAGTTGCTTCATAAACTATGAACTGAAAAAAAATGAGCCCTGATTTTTTATCATTCAATTCAACAGACATAAAAACCACTCTGCTAAATGGCCACAGGACCACTCCGGCCTCACCTCAGCAAAGCACAGCTGGGCCAGGTGAGAAGCAGGTGCGAGGGCACTGTGTCCCTTTCAGGCTGTGCCCACAAGGCACCCAGGCTGTCCCCCACAGGGCTCCGATGCACCAGGCCACCTCCCTTCCCAAGGCTCTGCATTGACCCACAGTCTCTGCACAGGACACCCCAGGTCCCTGGAGGGCAATAGAAGAGGCTGTAGCACTGGCTGCCAAGGCAGGGGCAGCTGTCAGGGCCACCAGAGACCACAGGCAGTAGGCAGGTCACTTCCCAGGGTGGGAGCACAACCTAGGCCCCTCCTGGGGAGGTGGTGGAGTCAGAATCACATAAGAGCCAAGGTTCCAGTCCCTCAGTGCCGGCTCCATTGTCCCCTGGACTTCCCTTACAAACCACAGACGCAAAGAGAGCACTTCTCAGAATCTCCACAGCCACGGTGGGGCACTCAACCCACGTGACCCTTCGGGGCACAGGTGCCTGGTGACTGCACTGGCCACGTGCCCTGTGGCCCCCCAGAATGACACCTCATCCAGGATGGAAGCGGGAACTGAAGGCCTGGCTGGGAGACCCCAGGGGCCTGAGTCGGGAGGAGCAATGGTGCATTTGGAATCTGGCGGTGCCCCTCACTGAGTCTGGGTTAACTGCCACCACGCAGGCTTCCCTGTCCCATACGTTCCAACGTGCCCTGCGCCTGAGAACAGATCCAAGGGCCTCTGGAGAATGCAGTCCTGAGCTGCTTGCTCATTCTGAAGCCAGCTCTTGTTGCTGGCCCCTTCCCAAGGAGGCCTGTGAGCTCCGGACATGGGGATGATGTGGGGCATGGGCCACCTGTAGCGGTGGCCAAGTGCAGCATGTTCCCCGTCACACCGCTTGGGAGCTGGAATTTAACTCCAGCTGCTGAACGCAGGCAGTGTCTCTGGCACCCAGGGCAGGACGCCAGGGCCTGACCCTCCCAGGAGAGTCCATCATTGCTGAGCCAGTCACAGGCCACCCTGAAGCATCATCCCTGGGCAGCAAGTGGGATGCAGGGGCACAGCAGGGCACATCCCAGGCAGCTGGGAAAGTCCATGGAGGGCAGGGGCATGTGCCATCGTCAGAGACAGTCAGGGTGGGCGGCACCCTGGGCTGCTGGCAAGGACAGTGGGGGAGGGTGGAAGGCAGGGGAGCCCTTGCCAGTTGAGAATTTCTTGATCTTTGGAATGGGTCCCTGACACCCTCCGGGACACCCTTAACAATGGTCAGGCCTGGAAACTGAAAGAGGCGATCGAGGCAAATATCTCAGTCAACCGAGGTCTATTCTGCCAGCTTTAGGGCATGTCCAGGAAAAATGCAAGCCACAGACACATCTGTGGCTGTTTTTCTAAAGAGGCTTTCAAGAGGTGTGGTATTTAGACATTGAGGTAAGGTGAATGGTGACATTCTTGTGAGCACCCAGTAAATCTGCATTTCACATAAGGTAAATATTTGAAGAGGAAAAGGGAGTAAAGGAGGAATCCATTTTGCAGACTTCTCTGGGGAGGTGGAGGAACACTTGATCTCGTCTTGTCTTTGGCCTGCCACTGGGAGGACAAGCCCTTAGAGGACATTATCAGCATGGAATGGAACAGACTCTCGTTTTAGGAGCTGGACTTAGATTGCACACCTAAAGTTATGATTGGCATGTCCTTGTTTATGGGAGGCCAGCAAAGAATGTACTGATGAAAGATCTGTGGGGGCCCTTGGAGATGGCTGTGGGCTCCACCTTTCTGTGGGGACCTGGCTGATGCATCCTGCTAGTGACAGCTGTCCATACGGACGCAGTGTTGCATGACCCAGACTCCAGGCTTAACCTTCCCTTTGGCGTAAGAAGTTTGGGCATTCTGTGATTTTTATGTTTCTTTACACGCCCTCAGCCACTTTTTTTTTTTTTTTTTTTTTGAGATGGAGTCTCGCTCTGTCACCAGGCTGGAGTGCAGTGGCACGATCTCAGCTCACCGCAACCTCCGCCTCCTGGGTTCAAGCAGTTCTCATCCCTCAGCCTCCCGTGTAGCTGGGATTACAGGCACCTGCCACCACACCCAGCTAATTTTTGTATTTTAAGAAGAGACAGGATTTCACCATGTTGGCCAGGCTGATCTCGAACTCCTGACCTCATGATCCGCCTGCCTTGACCTCCCAAAGTGATGGGATTACAGACATCAACCACCACACCCAACCAGCCAGGCCAATTTTTGACCAAAACAGGATCGGTGAGTGGATGTCACGTGTCATTTGGGCCAACAGTGAACATGGACTTTGAAGGCATCTTGATCCTGAATATTCCATTCCATTCCCTTCTTCCTCAACTTGGTAATAACCGAGACGGTTCTGTCTCTTTGAAATTCTAAAATGAGGCAGGCACTGGACATTCTGTTACTGTTAAAATCCACACCCTGCCTTCCTCTAAAAGAAACTTGGAGTGGAGATGCAGAAAAACGGCATGTGCGTTTAAGGAGTCCCTGCACCCCGCGGTGCAGCAGCAGCCACACCCAGACGTCCTGGACCCCAACAGGAGGAGCTAGTGGCTCTGGGGGAGCAGACTCTCCCGGTCTCAAGGGCATTATTATTATTATTTTTTGAAACTGAGGTGACATTCACATAACATACAACTAATCATTTCAAAGCATACAGTTGGTGGCGTTTGGGGCATTCACAGTGTTGTGCAGCCACCAGCTCTCTCCAGGTCAACACGTCTTATCACCCCAGAAGATCACTCGAAACTGGTAAGTGATCGCTCCCCTTCCCCTCCATTTAAAATGAGAGTTTTCAAGGAGACTGGCTCCAGGGTGCCTGTGAGCACTAAAATTCTAGAGCCAGGTGAAAAATAGACCCTACTTCTCCTTCCATGCTAATCCATTCATTCATTAAAGAGACACAAGGGACCAGGTGCAGTGGTTCATGTCTGCAATCCCAGCACTTTGGGAGGCCAGAGCAGGTGGATCACTAGGTCAGGAGATCGAGACCATCCTGGCTAACAGTGCGAAATCCTGTCTCTACTAAAAAATAGTAAAAATTAGTCAGGCGTGGTGGCAGGCACCTGTAGTCCCAGCTACTTGGGAGGCTGAGGCAGGAGAATTGCTTGAACCTGGGAGGCGGAGGTTCGCGCCACTGCACTCCAGCCTGGGTGACAGAGCAAGAGTCCATCTCAAAAAAAGAAAGAAAGGAAAGAAAGAAAGAAAAGGAAGGAGCCCACACTCACCATTAGCATTTCTCAAATGGAAACATGGCTTGAGAATTATGCGTCCTTATGGACCAGGGACCAGGCCTCCAAGAAGTCTCCCAGGAAACAAAGGTCCAGCAGGACCATGGCTGGGCTGTCACGTCCAGAAGCCACCAGGCCAGAGCAGGGGCCCTGGCAGGCAGGGCACGGTTGGGTCTGCATTGGCCTCTCTTCCCCTTTTGCACCAGCTTTCAATAAATCTTTCTTCCTCCACTTTTTCCACATCCTCACAACCCCTTCCTCGTCCACCTGCTATTGGCAGCAAAGACTTGGGGCTCTCACAGTGTGTCCCCACACATCCACAGACGGGAAGGAGTCACCCCAGCCTCCTGGGGCAGGAGGGTGCAGCATGTCTGACTCTCATCACACTTTCTGTGTCTCAGCAAGTTACCAGCATTTCTTTGTATTTACTTCTGGTAAGAACAGAAACCTTAGCCGGGGCCTTGGCTGCCCTTGGAGCTGCTGGGAAAGTCCCATGAGTAGAAGGGATGGGTAAAGGGTGGAAACGCCTCGTCTCCACCAGCTCACAATAAGCCCCAAGAGGAGTTTAGTCCCTCAGACGCTTTCGGCACCACTTAGTCAGCGGGGGGAATAAACAGCTTTCCGGGAAACAGGCCCGAGACGCAGGAAGGGAAGGGGACCCCGTGGGAAGGACCTTACTCGTTCTGCCCCTTGCAGTCAGCACCTGAGGAGAAGCCGTGGGGAAAAGCAGTGCTGAGCTCAGCGCGTTGACCAGTGTCAGGGCTGAGTAGCCACAGGGCAGAACTGAGAAGCAGGTACCGGCATCAAGCCTGCCACCCTGTTTATATCCACGTATGTGTTTTCCTCTTACCTGCATCAAGCCTGCCGCCCTGTTTACATCCACGCATGCGTTTTCCTCTTACCTGCATCAAGCCTCCTGCCCTGTTTATACCTACCCATCTGTTTCCTCTTACCTGCATCAAGCCTCCTGCCCTGTTTATACCTACCCATCTGTTTCCCTTTACCTGCATCAAGCCTCCTGTCCTGTTTACATCCACGCATGCGTTTTCCTCTTACCTGCATCAAGCCTGCCGCCCTGTTTATACCTACGCATGCGTTTCCTCTTACCTGCATCAAGCCTCCTGCCCTGTTTATACCTACGCATGCGTTTTCCTCTTACCTGCATCAAGCCTCTGCCGTGTTTATACCTACGCATCTGTTTCCCTTTACCTGCATCAAGCCTCCTGTCCTGTTTACATCCACGCATGCGTTTTCCTCTTACCTGCATCAAGCCTCCTGCCCTGTTTATACCTACGCATGTGTTTCCTCTTACCTGCATCAAGCCTCCTGCCCTGTTTATATCTACACATGCATTTCCTCTTACCTGCATCAAGCTTGCCGCCCTATTTATATCTACACCTGCATTTTCCTCTTGCCTTTTCAATCCAGAGGCCTCACTAGCCTTGACCTAGTCATTCTTTCTCCTTGTCTTCTCTTTGGGTATTTTATTGATGCTTCCTGATAGCACCAAATGGCTCCCCTAGGGCTGAGGCACTCACGTGTGTGTGAGTGTGCAGGAATTCCCTGGAATTCAGACGGACTGCCTTAGACTAATATGACTGCTTTGAGGCAAAATAAGCGTATGGCCTGAAACTTGCCGCTCATCCTGGCCCAGACGTGCCTTGCCAAAGGTGCCTCTGGCCTGGCTAGCGGATTTGGGCAGCAGCAGCAATCACCAGTGTGACTTGAAGGCGCCGCGTCACAAGCACGGGGTACTTTGGTGGACACCTGAGAGGCAGGCAGCCTGCTCAGGGGGGTGAGGCTGCAGGACGCCTCCACAGTCTGTGTGGTCAGACCCCGAGGGTCCAGCGCCAGCACTGTGGTCCCCCTACTCGCTTACTGAGAACCCAGAGCCTGACCCCAGGGTCCTGAGAGCCTTGACACACAGTTTAATAACTAACTGTGACTGTACACCCGTGCACCCGCTCTCCCGGGCAGGAAATTAAATGTCACCAGCACTCCGGAAACAGCCCTTTTGAGGAAACGGCATTCTAGCCCGGGGGTTTTAACTGACTTTACCTGGTGTGCTAAGCACCTCTCTGCAGGTGGGCCATGTGGATCCCCTCCGCTGTGTCTCCTCTCTACAGCCTTTGCCCACTGTCCTACTGGGCCATTTGTCTCTTTCTAACTAATTTGTGTCAGTACCTTCTGAGCTCCATTCACGTCTGTGAGGGTTAGTTTTGTGCATCCTCATGGCCAGGCCTTAGTACCCAGTTATTCAAGTGAACACGACTTAGGGTGTTGTCCTGAAGGCATTTCATAAATGTGCTTAACACCGTGAATCCATCAACTTTAACTAATGGAGATTTATCCTCCATAACTTGGGTGGACCTGGTCCAGTCAGTTGAAGGGCTTGAGAGCAAAACTGAGGCTTCCCCCAGGAAGGAGAAATTCCACTGGTGGACTCAGCCTCGGCTCCGGCCTGAGAGTTTCCAGCCTGATGCCTGCCCTGGATTTCAGACTTGCCCAGCCAACCGCCACAGTTGCATAAGGCGGTTCCTTGAAATGAATCTGTGTGTGCACACGTGCATGTGTGTGTGCGTGTGTGTGCCTGTGTGCATTTGTGTGTGTCCATGCATGTGTGTGCATGTGTGTGTGCATACGTGTGTGCCTGTGTGCATCCATGTGCACGTGTGCGTGCGTGCGTGCATGCATGTATGTGCATGCATGTGTGTGCATCCGTGTGCATGCGTGTGTGTGCATGCATAGGTGTGTGTGTGCATTGTGTGTGCATGCGTAGCTGTGCGTGCACGTGTGTGTGTGTGTGTGTGTGTGTGTGTGTGTGTGTGATCTCCGACTGGTACTGTTGCTCTGGCTGAACCTGGAGGATGCATCATCTTTCTGCATCGTCTACCTGTTTTACAGGGACCTGTCTTATCTTTAAAATCAGAAGTAATTAAGTTATTTTAAAAATCAAGGCGAGTACAGAAAGAACGTAAACACTCTATTCCGGGGCTGTTTCTTCCTGGGACAGTTGTATTTTGAGCACATTTTCCCAAGAGTTGCTGCTGCCACTCTGTGTGAGCCCCGCATCCTACCACAGCCTTAGGGACAGCAAGGTCACCAGCTCTAGAAGCTCTGCCTTCAGAACGGCCTACTCCGCAGCCAGCCCCATGAAGACACCTCTCGGGTGCCTGGTGTTGTAAAATTTACCCAAATCCAGAGCCGTGATTCCAAATCTGATGGTAGAAGAGCGGCACTCATTTGCTCGTCCGTTCATTCAGCACACTCGTATCGCCAAGCCCTGAGAATAAGCGCAGGGACACACACAGTAATAAACAGGGAAAGCCAAATCGGCCCCGTGGAGTCGTCTGAGGGGAGCAATAGACGACTAACAAAGGAACAGTCAACAGTCCGGGGGCAGGAGCGGGGGCTGTATGATTGTGTATTGATGGTCGTCTTCGAGGACGGGATAAGGGCGTGACGGAGTGAACCCTGCAGATCTCGGGAAGGCCATTCCAGACCCTGGAGGAGGTCCAGGAAGGAAGTTCAGCAGCACAGGCCACAGAGGGTCACTGATTTCGCCGATTTCACCAGGATCAGGGTTTTCCATACTAGTCAGGCTGTAGAGACAAGGGACAGGACCGTGAAGGGAGAGGCGAGGCTAGTGACCCAGGAAACCCAAGCCTGGTCTCAGGCTGGTGAAGAGGTGGATGATGGTGCGAGTGGGGAATCAGTGGGCCCCGTGGCTGGAAGACTCGCTGGGGGCTGATCTGGACAGATGGGAGGTGGGTGAGGTCCTGGGAGCCGAGGTTCTGGAGACAGGGCGGGCGTGGCCAACGATGAGCCCTAGGGTGTGACTCTGACAATGGGCACTGAAGGCGTTGGAGGGAGGTGCCACTGGAAAATTGTAGTAAGTGAGAAGAGACAGAAATAGGAGGACCAGAAGGAAAGCCACTTCTCAGAGAACAGTAACGGGTTCAACTTTGGGCCAATAATCACAATTTAGAGCCGACAGCAACTTCAGAGGCCACGTGACAGATAAGGAACCCAAGGCCCCAAAAGTGGCCGTGGAGACCAGACCGAGGGGTTCTGGCCATGGCTCTGTGCCTTTCGTAAAGGCAGCCTATGTCTGCACTCACCTGTGCTTCGATTGCCAGGAGCCCTGCAATTGCCAGGAACAGTATCTGCAGAAGTTCCTTTTGGCACCTGGGAGGGCACCTCTCATCAGTACTCTTAAGACCTTGGCCATCGCGGCAGACCGCAGGGTGGACGCTGGGTGGGCTGTACCATGGCCTCGGCCACCGCCTGCAGATCCAGGCTCCCTGAAGCCTGCTGGGCTGGTGGCCTCGGGGGACCGGTGAGCTGCGTCTGCCTGGGCTCGTGAAAGGCCACTCCCACGTTTTGGTTTTGCTTTGGTACATAGAACCCAGGCCCTCTGTTGCCACAAGAGGGCCCCCCAGCCCCGGCTCACTGAGGCCTTCCCGTGGAGGAGCGTATCCTGTCCGGTCCGCAGCTCAAATATCCAGAGCTCAGGAGACCCTGGCCCCGTGCCCCACCCTGCCCCAGCCGGGCCACACTGCCCCCTCCACCACACCCGGCAAGCCCCTCCCAGCGCTGCACTCAGTCCTGGGTGTCAGAGGGTCCTCTGGCTTCACTTGTCACATTTAACGAGGAACCAGAAATCAAATGTATCCAGAGCCAGCCTGGGCTTTAGGATAGAAGGGGAGGGCAGGAGTGGGGGGTCCAGGGACAGGGGCTGGCTGAGGAGAAAGGATGGGGGCAAGAGGACATTCATGGAGCACCCTCTCCCCACCCATCCGCCACCCACTCCTCCCAGCACTTCTTGTGAGGCCTCACTGTCCCCGCCTTTTAGTAAAAAGTGGAGAAACAGCCTCACAGAGGATGACCTGCTTCAGCTCCCCACACCACGCTGTGGCTGCCCAGGGTCAGGACCCAGCCGCCACATCCACGGCTCAGGGGTGGGAGCCAAACCTCACTAGAGTCCAAACTCAGGGCCAGGACCCAGGCCACAAGTCCGACCTTTGTCCTTTCCTCGAGCTTGTTGGGAAGCCCAGACTCACCCAACTCCAACCCAAAAAAGGCTGCAACAAACCAGCCTTCCTTGTGATTTCGTTTTATGATTTTGTTTTCACGTTTTCTTACTATGGGAGTTCTCATGGGTACATAAAAATAGACAGCTTAATAAGCTCCACATCCCATCCCCAGCCTTGACAGTTATCAACAGGCTGCCTTTCCTGCCTCAAATCTAGCCCCCCAGGGAAGCTGTCATTTTATCTCACATGATTTTTTTTTTTTTTTTGAGCCAGTGTCTCACTCTGTCAGCCAGGCTGGAGTGTGGTGGCACCATCTCGGCTCACTGCAACATTTGCCTCCCAGGTTCAAGAGATGCTCCTGCCTCAGCCTCCCGAGCAGCTGGAATTACAGGCTCACACCGCCATGTCTGGCTAATTTTTGTAGACATGGGGTTTCACAATGTTGGTCTCATGATGTTGGCCAGGCTGGTCTCGAACTCCTGGCCTCAAGTAATCTGCCCGCCTCGGCCTCCCAAAGTGCTGGGATTACAGGCATGAGCCACCATGCCCAGCCTGGTTGTGTTTTTAAGCAAATTATTGCATCATACCATCACACCCAAACAATGCTGCTGTGTTACACAGCCACTTGTCCAGCCTCCTGTTCTATGGACGAAGATCGCCAGTTTCTCCACTTTCCAGACAAACAAAGCCACTGACGCCCCGACAGGCCATGTGACTTCGCACAGCGCAGCCCCCGGGATCAGGGCCCGATCAGAGCCCTGGGGATGCTGGTTGTGCCTGGTGGCATTGCAGGGGGGAACGAGCCCCGCCTGGACTGTTCCCAGGTGATCACATGCATGCCACCGGGATGAGGCAGGAGGGTGGACCCTTGTGAGAGGAACAAGCCACAGGTGCTCTGTCCCCTGGGGTCCCCTCAGCAGCAGGCCTCTATAAATCCCCTCGCCTCATACTGAAGGAGGAGAGAAATGAGTAAGAAATTTAAGTTACCACTAACGTTATTTTTAGAAACTGCAGTATGAAATGAAAAAAAAAATGTCTCCAGACTGCCGAGTGGGGGAAACGATAAATCCGTGCCTCCAAATTATACGAAATGCAAGAAAACCACCCAGCGCCAATGACTCAGAGGAGCTGGGGTGGGATTCGGTTAGGATAGGGAACTCCTGGAGGGCCTTCAACTCGGCGGCAAGTTGATGGCACCGCCGTCACCCTGCAGGAAAGATCCAGCTCTCTTCCGAAGCCTCCCCAGCCATTTGCAAGCAAAGCGTGGGAAGCAGGCCGGGCTGAGCACGTCCAGGGCTCCCAAACTACGCTGAAGCCGAGATCCAGGACTCCCGCCTGAATTGGGATCGTTGGAGCGGGGTGCTGGAGGGAACGCTGAGGCCTCTCAGGTCGATGACCGTGTCCATGCCAAAGCTTGCTGCAGCCCGTGAGCTGAGAGTTGCCACCATCCAGACACCACCCTGCACAGTGGAGTGGGGCAGGGCAGGACAGAGGGATGGTGTTTGCCCTCCAGACCACCTTGCTGGCCCGTGCTGCAGGGCTCAGTCTCCCTCACCCTGGGGCACAGATCAAGCAGGCCTGTCCCCTCAAGTCCTCTAAGAATGCCCCATCTCTGTCGTCCTCTGTAACAGTCACTAATGCTTTCTGCCAAGTATTTCCAATTTTTGCCCCTTCTAGGCTCCTGCAGCTATTCCGCTCCCAGCCTCCTACTATGTTGGCCAACATTTTGACACGTGAACCTTCTGGGCTGGGCACGGGTCATGTGGCAGAGCCCTTTCCCCTCGGCCATGGGGACTGGCAACGTCCGACACATCGGCTGCTCAGTGAGCCTGGTCCAGGCGTGGCAGTGTGAGGCATGAGGCAGTCCCCCAGCCCAGTAGCCCCCCAGTAACTGGGTAACCAATGTGACAGGATGGCCATGGGGAGGCAGGGGTGGTGCTTGGTGGGCAGAGGTGGCTTATGTACAACACTGTGCCTGTGACGCTGTGGGAAACCGACCTTACACCTAACAAAATCGCAGCTCCGGAGGAGGGGCCTGGAAACGATGTTAGTAGTAATGAGTGTTGGTTGCCTTTGGATTGCGTTAGAAAGATATTATAAGGAAACGAGGCACACAGAAAGTAATTGTGTGGTTTGTAAGCCAGGATGAAAGGGAATGGAGAGTTCAGTTCAGGAACGTGAAGGACTAGACAGAAGCTCCTCATATACCAACAGCAAAATGGTAAAATAGAAAGATGCCTGAAGCAACAGCTGCCACGAAAGCTCAGCATCTTCAAGAGGGAAATCAAGGCATAGCCTCACATCCACTTCCACCACGCCTCTTAAGAAAAAACTCAAATTTTTTTTTCTCTGCTCTCACACAACTACAACAATCAACACAGAAGGCTTCTGTGACGCCAAAATATGTGGAGATTTATCCCCACCAGCAAGCAAGCAGTCAGCGCTACAGCAGACACTGGCTGGGTGTCCTGTAATTCCATCCTGACTCTGCCTACCTGGAGAGAGCTTGTATCCCACAGGATGAGGGCTCCGTCCCCAAGACTGCCCCTCTCCCACCTCAGACACCAGTTGCAAGCCTGGGCCTCTGGAACTTCTGACCAAATGGCTATAAATCAGGGTCCCACAACCCCTCTTTGGGTTCGATTAATTTGCTGGGGCAGCTTATACAACTCAGGGAAACACCTGTGTTTGCCAGTTTGTTATTAAGGACATTGCAAAAGATACAGATGAAGAAACACGTAGGGCAAAGTATGGGGGAAGGGGTGCGGAGCTTCCATGCCCTCCCCAGGGGCCACCCTCCAGGAACCTCCGCATGGTCAGTGTTCAGCCATCCTGAAGAGCCCTGTCCTCTTGGGCCTTTCATGGAGACTCACGGGGTGGGCGTGATTGACAACCATGTAGAAATGTGACTGGCCCAAAGGGATATGGTCTAAACCCAGCGAGGCTGTCTGGCCACATTCTTCTTGGCTTTTCTGGGCAGCGTTCCCTCCTCCAGGGTGTGGGGCGGGACCCCCTCTGGAATGAGGAGCTTATGACCCACGGCAGGTTAGGGTTCCACCTGCCCAAAGCAGGCAAAAAGAGGGCAGAAGAAGGTCAGGGAGAGAGACTTTGTTGTAACAAGGGCTGTGGGAGTTATGACCCAGGAACTGTGGACAAACCCCATATATATGTACGTACATACATATATGCATATATGTAAGCCGTATGTGTACATATTATACATATACATATATGTATATACATATATATGGAGTTTTGTCCACTTAATATATATATATATATATTTTTTTTTTTGGAGACGGAGTCTCGCTCTGTCACCCAGGCTGGAGTGCAGTGGCCAGATCTCAGCTCACTGCAAGCTCCGCCTCCCGGGTTCACGCCATTCTCCTGCCTCAGCCTCCCGAGTAGCTGGGACTACAGGCGCCGCCACCACCTCGCCCGGCTAGTTTTTTGTATTTCTTAATAGAGACGGGGTTTCACCGTGTTATCCAGGATGGTCTCGATCTCCTGACCTCGTGATCCGCCCGTCTCGGCCTCCCAAAATGCTGGGATTACAGGCATGAGTCACCGCGCCCGGCCCACTTAATATATTTTTTATATATAAAATAATATTACAGTGTCTGAGTGGACAGAAGTGAATCATGTCAGGTGAACACAATGGCTTGGGAAAAACAGATAAAGGGTATGGCGTTCCCGTGTAAGCTCTGTCGCCTCGAGAGGCCTGCCATCGTCTCTCTCCATAATTTCAGAAGAAGCTGAACAAACAACATTTTTAAGAGGATGGTAACACCCAAGAACCTATAAACCTAGAAGAAAACCGTCAATTATCATTGTCTGCAGCAGTTCATGTTCTGAAAAGCCACTGTAAACATGGAATTAGAGATGAATGAGTCATGCTCCTAGGAGAAAGACAGGGTTACGGTTCCTGAGAGCTCTGGTCACTAAATGTTCATCCATCCATACCCAATCCTGTTTTATGTGTTTCTGTTTAAAGACACCTGTGTAATATTGTTGACTCACTAACATCGAAGCTTTCTCTAAGACGCCATTTTTCTCTGTCTGACGCATGGCAGCCAGCTTCCCTGTGCTTAGGACCACTTCAGCACTATGCTTGGGCCAACTTAGCAAAACCACCAAAAAAAAAAAAAAAAAAAAGAATGTCACTAAGGAGACCATGGAAAGACCCATGTTTACAGGATGAGCTAGAACAAGAAGGCAGAACATCACTGTGTCCAGCCTCAGCTGGAACATGCACATCCCATGTCTGAAAATTCACCCCCCTGTGTGTGTCCAGTGACCTGGAGTGCCCTGAGTATTGATGTGGGAGTTACAAATACATTTTCCCCAGTGGGTGAATCACGGACTGTATTTGTGATTGATTGAGAACTTAAGAATAACTCGGGGCTCCCATTCTTTGAGGAGTGGCAGAGAGACTGAGAAAGTGGGAACTCTCCAGTGCCTGAGATGCAGGTGGCCCAGGGGACAGAGCAAAGGAAGGGCCAGCCACTGCCACTGAGAACATGGACTGGGGCCTGCCTAGGGAGGAGAGCTGGGGCCACAGCAAGGAGCATCCTCCACCACACTGGGACCTCAGGCTGGCTGCACTCCACGATTGCCATGTGCTTGCCACTCTGCCCCTCTCTAAATGGGGCTGGTTGCTATTCTCTCTGCTCCCACATTTCACAGTAAACGGGCAGGAGAAGTAAATTACTTGTCTTTCCATTTCATAGGTCTTCAGTCTAGAAAGGGACTGTCCAGACCCACTGAGGACCACTGGGCACCACCCACAATGGAGAGACCACCTAGATCACCAGGGCAGCCGTAGTACTACGGGCAGGACTGGAAGGAACTTCAGGTGGGAGGGAAAGAATGAACTTCATACGTGAGGGGAAGAAGCTTGACCTTGGGATGGCCATATGACGTCAGCGCTGCTCAGTTACTTCTGGTTTCTCTACTCTGGAAGGGTGGCAGTACAGCAGGCGGATCCCCAGCAAACAGACTGATTCGGAGCCTAGTAGGCAGAAGGCTCATTGGGAAGTTCCCTTGGGGTCAAGGGCCATGGGAAAGAGGCAGCAGAGGATGGCACAGGGAGAGAGGATGGCAGCCTTGGGCCCCCATGGAGAGAGAGAACCAACCCATCACACTTGGCCCAGACAGCCATGCCTGACCTTCCCTAGGGGTTGTTCAGGCCTCCTCTGTGGCGAGTGCTTTCTGGGAGCAGCTGCCTATTACATACAGATCTTTGCACCTTCTGCCCACTCCTCCATGTCCACCCCATGCCTCAGCCCCGACTGCCCATCCCCACTCTCCACATCACTCCCATTCTGGGCTCAGCTGGCAAAGTCATTGGCCATTGCCCATGGATTCAGAGATCTTCTAACCTCACAGCCACTTACACAGAGGGGATGACCACTGGGAGAACGTTCCTTCATCACCCTCTGTGTTAGTCCGTTCTCACATTGCTATAAAGATACTACCCAAGACTGGGTAATTTATAAAGAAAAGAGGTTTCATTGACTCACAGTTCTGCATGGCTGGTGACACCTCAGGAAACTTACAATCATGGCGGAAGGGGAAGCAGGCACGTCTTATGTGGTGGTGGGTGAGAGAGACAAGGGGAATTGCCAGGCACTTATAAAACCATCAGATCTCATGAGAACTCCCTCAGTATCACCAGAACAGCGTGGGGGAAACCGCCCCCGTGATCCAATCACTTCCCACCAGGTCTCACCCTCCTCACCTGGGGATCACATTTCAAGATGAGATTTGGGTGGGGACACAGAGCCAAACCATATCACGCTCTTGAAAGGGCAGCCTGGTGAGACTGGAGTATGGCAGCTGGGTGATTTGGGCTGGTCCCACAGGCAGAGCAGACACCTCCATGAACTAAGGCCAGACTTGTCCCTCCCTCCTCAGTTCACCGGAAGGTTCCTCCACTGGGGCTCTGAGGACTGCTGTGGAGCGTGGCAGGGTACTGGGCAACTGCCACTGCTTGGCCTCCTGCTCCTGCTTCTGCTGCTGCCACACACACCCTCCCACCTGTAATGGGTTATTTCTGAGTCCCCAACCTCATGACCCAGGGGCGTGACAGAATCCAGCTCATCTGAGCAGGTCCACGTGCACAACCAGGTATTCCATCCCCCCAGACCCCAGGAGCCCATCAGCAGGGACTTTTCAGAATGTTTTGCAGAATCCTCTCCCGCAGGTGGCATGGCTTTGTTCCCGCATCCCAGGGGCCTGCACTGCGATTCTGGCATAGGGGCTTGCCATAAACACACAGCATTGCTTTCCCACGTCTGATACCTCTCATAACACAGGGTCTGATCAGCTGCAGGGCCTGAGTCACAGGGCTGCCCGCACTGCAGCCTCGACCTGCTACAGGCTCAGTGAAGGCCGACAGCTTCTCGTATCAATGGTACATAGACTGGAGTGGTCTTCACGGGTGTGGGATGTGCTGCCTGCAGAAGGTGTACTGGCATTTTCTGTCTCTCTTGGTCGGGGGAGATGCAAGATACAATAATTGGCTCTTTGCTGTGGACGGGAGGTCCCGTATGCTCCTGGTTATGGGACCTCCCCGGCAAGAGTGTTATTAGTGGCAGTTCCCAGAATGTTCGTAGGATTTGTCTGCCAGCTGCAGGCACTCAGACATCTTACCAAGACTCGCAGTGTGTTAGCCACTTCTTGGTTAGCACCCGACCAGTGCAATGTAATCAATGTGGTGGGCCAGTGTCATGCTCTTTGGGATGTCCAGCTTGTCCAGCTCTCTCTAGGCTTCCTTAGGGCATAGAACACATGGGTTATTAGCACGTAACCCTGAGGCAAAGCCAGGGTCCACTGTTATTCATCCTATGCGAATGCAGGCTCTTTCTGATGCTCTTTCCTCATAAGAATAGAAAAGAATGCACTCGCCATCTCAGTGGGGCAGAGCACACACCTGAGGCTGTGTTGACCCACCTTGACTGAGATCCCGTGCCTGGCAGGGCAGCTGCCGCTGTGGATTCTCCTTGGTGCAACTTGCTGAAGTTCACTCTCTTCCTCCAGGAATCTTCTGTTTCTGCAGAAGCCAGCCTGGTAAATTAAATAGAGATATATCAAAGACCACCACCCCCATCCTTCAGCTCCTTAAAACTGAGGGCTGGGCATGGTGGCTCACACCTGTAATCCCAGCACTTCGGGAGGCTGAGGCAGGCGGATTGCCTGACGTCAGGAGTTGGGGTCTAGCCTGGTCCAACATGGTGAAACCCATCTCTACTAAAAATGCAAAAATTAGCTGGGCGTGGTAGCAGGCACCTATAATGCCAGCTACTCGGGAGTCTGAAGCAGGAGAATCTCTTGAACCTGGAGACAGAGGTTGCAGGTTGCAGTGAGCTGAGACTGCGCCACTGCACTCCAGCCTGGGTGACAGAGCAAGACTCCATCTCCAAAAAAAGAGTAAAACTGATTTCCACCACTCCCCTCACCTAGAGATGCAATATTGTTTCTCATTTCCTATCTTAGCCAGGGGTGGGGGCATTTTCAGAGGCTTCCATTTGCCATTCCCCACGATGACTATTCTTACCCCATAGGCTGAGACTCAAAGTACCAACTGTCAAAGTTTGTCTACATTAATTATAATGTGGGAACCAGGGACATGGCCATGCGGGGAGTGAGAGTCCTGGACCCAGTGAGCCCATTGCAAGACAGTCCTTGCCAAGACTCTATTACCTGTCTCTGGTGTACCCCATCTTCAAAAGGGGGGCAGTGATGACATTTTGAGTCTTTAGATATCAATGTCAACTCTAACCATATCTAGCTGTCCTTAGAATATTTGGATATTCCCCTCTCCCCGATATATAAATTGCCCATACAAATGGCTGTAGTTCTCTTTGGGGAAGGAATGGGAAAATTATTATCAAGTTCACTTGCTGTAGTGTTGTGTGGTCCTTTCTCCCAAGCACTCAGCCTTCTCTTTAGTCAACAGATCAGACCTGGAAACTGGCTCAGGTCCAGAAACTGAGCAGAGGTTGTGACTTTTTAATAGGGTCTCTGTCCTTATCTCCTAGGTCATCTGTCCTTGTTTGCTTCTGATGGGTCCAACTGAGTAGCACCCTTGTTGCCTCCACATATATTTTGTCTCTAAGGGTGCTACATTCTATTAACCATCTTCATAAACTCTGCAGGTCGGGCCCATTTGGCTGCCACTCTGACCTTTCTGCTCCCTGCAATAACTACACCCATTGGTCTTCTGACAGTTAAGCACTGACCCCAGGTGTCTTAGTCGCCGTGGGCTGCTATGACAGAATACTGTAGGCTTATAAACAACACAAGTGGACCAGGCACGGTGGCTCATGCCTGTAATCCCACCACTTTGGGAGGCCAAGGCAAGTGGATCACCTGAGGTCAGGAGTTCAAGACCAGCCTGGCCAACATGGTGAAACCCCGTCTCTACTAAAAATACAAAAATTAGCTGGGCATGGTGGCAGGCACCTGTAATCCCAGCTACTCCGGAGGCTGAGGCAGGAGAATCACTTGAACCTGGAAGGTGGAGGTTACAGTGATCCGAGATCACAGCATTGTCCTCTAGCCTGGTGACAGAGTGAGACTCCGTCTCAAAACAAAACACAAAAACCCACACAAGTCTATGCCTCACAGTTCTGGCAAGACCAAAGCAGATTTGGTGAAGGCCCACTTTCTGGCTCAAAGATGGTACCTTCTTGCTGTGGCCTCACATGGTAGAAAGAGGGTGAGGGGTCTCTCTATGGGGACTCTAATGCCATTCTTGAGGGCTCCACTCCCATGACCTAATCACCTCCCAAAGGCCCCTGGTCCTAATGCCACTACCTTAGGGGTTAGCGTTTCAACATGAGAATCTGGAGCGGCACAAGCCTGCTTTCACAGCACTGGCCTCTATTGTTCTGGTGTCCTTTTATCTCTATTGCCCTGAGTGAGCTGTTCTGATGGACTTTCCTACAGCGAGCCCTGGCCTACCCAGGAGACCACCACTGACAGTGAAGCTGGTGCTTTTCTTGCCAATGCATGTCATGTGCCTTTGGTCCATGGTGAGACCTCCAGGACTTCCCATAGACTGTAACCATCTGGTCGGTCTGGGGCCTCACATAGTATACCCACGCCAGGAAGCCCCCTTCTAAAGCCTTGGAAGAAGAGATTGCTTCCTCTCTGCCATCTGCCATGACAATTCTGTGCATACAGGACTGCCCTCTGAAAGGGCTTCATCAAGGAGACTGAGACGTAGGAAGATAAGGAAGAACATTTACCTTGTGGAAAACTTAATTACTAGTACAAGACCTTATTGAGCCATTGTTCTGTGGTGGGCAGGTCTATGCAAACCTACCCCAGAATCCAAGGAAGCTGAGAGGCAGAAGAAACAGGTTGCCAAATCCAGTTTCTCAGAAAGAAACATTTAATAGGAACTCATGAAGAGAAACCATGTCTATAAACACCCAGTGGGTTTATTTGGCCTGCTGCTCAGGTAGAGCCAATTAATCGAGGCAGGGGAATTGCAATCGAGAGTTTTACACACATAGAGCCTGCTAAGCAGAAGACTGCGTTTTATTATTACTTACATCAGCCTCCCTGAGAATGTGGGGGTTGGATTTTTCAAAGATAGTTTGGGGCCAGATGCAGTGGCTCGTACCTGTAATCCCAGCACTTTGGGAGGCCAAGGGGGCAGATCACTTGAGGTCAGAAGTTTGAGACCAGCCTGGCCAACATGATAAAACCCCATCTCTACTAAGAATACAAAAATAGCCAGGTGTGGTGGCGTGCGCCTGTAATTCCAGCTACTGGGGAGGCTGAGGCAGGAGAATCACTTAAACCCGGAAGGTGGAAGTTGCAGTGAGCCAAGATCATGCCACTGCACTCCAGCCTGAGTGACAGGGGGAGGCTATCTCGAAAAGAAAAAGAAAAAGAAAAAAGAAGAGAAGAGAAGAGGAAGGGAAGGGAAGAGGAAGGGAAGGGAAGAGGAAGGGAAGGGAAGAGGAAGGGAAGAGGAAGGGAAGAAGAAGGGAAGAAGAAGGGAAAGGAAGGGAAGAAGAAGGGAAGAGGAAGGGAAGAGGAAGGGAAGAGGAAGGGAAGAGGAAGGGAAGAAGGAGGGAAGAAGGAGGGAAGAGGAAGGGAAGGGAAGGGAAGGGAAAGAAAAAAGAAAAGAAAAGAAAAGCTTTGGGGGAAGGATTTGGGGTGGCTAGGCAATGGGTGCTTGCCGCTGATTGGTTGTAGGTGCAATAATAGGGGTGTGGGAAATGGTTCTCCTGCACGCTGAATTGCCTCTGGGTGGGACCACAGGAGTGGTTGGTGGGTTCAGGTAGAGCCATCAGTGAGTGGGGCCAGGTGGAGCTATCAGTGTTAGACATGCAAAAAACCCTGAAATGATACCTCAAAGGCCAATCTTGGGTTCTGCAATAGTGATGCTATCTGCAGGAGTAATTGGAGAAGTTGCATATCTTGTGACCTCCAGAATAGTGGCTGGCAATCGTCTCTGTCTACAGGCTTCTCTATCCTCCTAACCTGGTGGTCTCTCATTAGCTTTACAAAGACAACTGAGTTTTGAGAAGAGGCTATTATCACTTAAACTATAAATGTCTCCCAGAGTGAGCTTGACCCAAGCCCAGGAATAATTAAAGGCAGCTTGAAGTCAAAAGGCAAGATGGGGGTTGGCCAGATCAGATTTCCTTCACTGCCATAATTTTCTGTTATAATTTTTGCAAAGGTGGCTTCATGTTTATGTCTCGGGTGGTGAGACTAGATGGTGGATTCCCCCTGGATCCACCCATCACCCCCTTACCCAGGGCTTATATACCATAGAGGAGGAGTATATGTGATTCAGAAGGGATGTATGAGACAACTGAAGTATGATAACATCCACGTTGTCTGACCTAAGGGCAGGATTTATAGCACCTGCTCTTAGGCAAGGAACAGTAGATAAACTGGAAATCTTAGAGGCCTTCCTGGAACTGTGGTTAATCAGAAGCCAGCATGGCTGATTATCTTCCATGATGGAGTTGCCATGGCCTCCATACTCCGCCCCCCAATCCAGCTCTTACAATCTAAGGTGCCCTCCTCTTCCACGATGGTCCCTGAGCCTTGAGGGAGGGCGCTTGGTATGGTATTGTTTTAATAGCAGTGCACTGGCAACAGAAAACAGCCCAGCAGCATTCTAAATGGGGGGGATTCACAGGACCTGCTGAATCATCTCTAGTCTTCAGAATACCAAGACCTTGGTTTTCTCAGAAGAAGTCAATGAGAAATACATAACATTAATAATTTGCACACAGGATTTACAATCAAATAAGAATTTGTGTGCCAGAACAATGAAAAAGAACTTATCCCATTAAGAAGCCAACTAAAAGCATCATGAAGAAAATTAAAACCTGGGGTTTTTTTTGTCTGTTTTTATTTGCTTGCTTGTTTTGAGATAGAGTTTTGCTCTTGTTGCACAGGCTGGAGTGCAATGACATGATCTCAGCTCACTGCAACCTCCGCCCCCTGGGTTCAAGCGATTCTCCTACCTCAGCCTCCCAAGTAGTTGGGATTACAGGCATGTGTCACCATGCCTGGCTAATTTCTGTATTTTTAGTAGAGACAGGTTTTCACCATGTTGGCCAAGCTGGTCTCAAACTCACGATCTGATGTGATCCACCCGCCTCGGCTTCCCAGAGTGCTGGGATTACAGGCGTGAGCCACCACACCCAGCCAAAATCTGGTTCTTTCTCAAAGACTTCTTATAGCCAAGAAATAATCCAGGATTAGCCCAGGTTGTAGACAAATAATAAAAACTCAAACACAATGAATGGTCAGGGCTAGAATCTAAATTTTTCTCTCTCCAGTAGCTTGAACCTGGGAGGCAGAGGTTGCAGTGAGCCAAGATTGCACCACAGCACTCCAGCCTGTCCAACAGAGCAAGATGCCATCCCATAAATAAATAAATAAATAAATAAATAAATAAATAAATAAATAAATATTATCTCTCCAGTTTCCTCATCTCTGTCAAGGATAAATTATATTAGGACCAATTTATTTGCATAATAAACTCTCGCCACATTATACTGAAGTGGGAAATTAAAGAAAGAAAGAAAAATAAAATTAAAAGAAAGAGAATTAAGCTTTCCTGTATTAGGCTGACTCATCCCAAAGGCAGTAGCAGGCAAGACCTAGACCCAGGAAAAGTCTTGATAAACACTATCTGAGAAGCTAGGACACAAAGGAATGTGCTCTGGAGACTCTCCCAGAACTCCCTCAACATAAGGAGGAGAAAAACACATTTTCCTTTCGTTTATAGTATGAGTTTATAAATTCTTGTTCTCTGTAACTAGTAACTTCAAGTATTCTGTTTTATCTCAGAAGTACAGTGAACGTCATGAGAAGCCTGAGCATGCCTGAACTACAGCTGTCTGGGCACCATACTGAAGGTTATGAGATAAACCAGTGTAAGACTCTTTGGAGCAAAACCTGGATAACAGACATCTAGGTTGTTTGGCAACGGTCATGTGTAATCCTGAGTTATGAACCTGTTACAATTTGATTAACTGTCTTTGTCCTGCCTCTGTATCCCTGCTTTCACACTGCTGTGAGCCTGCTTCAAGCTAGCCCACCCCCTTTTCATGAAGCGTGTACAAAAGTCAAGTGCTGTCTTTGTTCTGGGCCCAGTTTTCCAGATGTTAAGTCCACTGGATCTGAGTGCACTCAATAAACATCCTCCTGCTTTACCCTGAGGTCTCTCTCATCCTCCTGATTCCCGCAACAATACTTGGCCTGGTTATTTGCATAGAATGTAGCAAATGACCAACTCTATAAGTTCCTTTTAAGTTTGTTTTGCTGGAACTTTTATAAGGAATTGTGGATTCAACTTTTTAAAAGTCTTGAGGCCAGAAGCCGAGCTGAGGATTTGACATCACACTGTGCTTAGAATCCCTGTGCAAATCACCCTCTTCTTGAGGTCCCAAGATAGCTTGAGTTTCCTGGACCTGTTAGAAAGTGACATTCTTTACTTACCATAGGTGGGAAACCTTGTAAGGGAACCACTTAGACAAAGGCACCACGCCAGTCCTTCCAAGGGCCTTGTTGTTGGCTCCAAAGTCAACCTCAGTTTCTCAGTCCTGTCATGTCTCAAAATATGCTATTCCAACCAAAGCCTTAATAAAATGACCAGTGTCTCTAATTGTGTCCTGTTCAGTAAGAAAGCAGATTCTTACTGAACTTATGCAAATAACTATGTTGCCATAAAATAGGAATACTCACAAATGATTTTCAAGTTTTGGATAACTAAAACAGAGAGAGGGATAAATTTTGCTCACAAAAATACACTTTACTCAGCCAGGCATGGTGGCTTATGCCTTTAATTCCAGCACTTTGGAGGCCAAGGCAGGTGAATCATTTGAGGTCAGGAGTTCGAGACCAGCCTGGCCAACATGGTGAAACCCCATCTCTACTAGAAATACAAAATTTAGCCAGGTGTGGTGGCAGATGCCTGTAATCCCAGCTACTCAGGAGGCTGAGGCATGAGAATCACTTGAACCCGGGAAGCAGAAGTTGCAGTGAGCTGAGATCTCACCACTGCACTCCAGCCTGGGCAATAGAGCAAGACTCAGTCTCAAAAAAAAAATACACTTTACGCAATCATTGTAAGCTATCAATAGCTCAAAAGAGAAAAGTTTTCTTGACTCTTCTTCAATCAGAGCAGTTTTCCAAACAATATGTCTTTTTGCTCACCTTGGAGCTGCCATCTGCAAGCCAAGCAGGTCTTTGTGCATCAGGTGAGAGCTGTTCGTCAGTCACTGTTGAATCCAGCAGCTCCTCATGCAGTTCCAGAGTCAGTCCTAGGGAAAAGAAGAGGCCTACTGTCCGTGAGTATCTCCTCCTCACACTCCCCAGGTAGCAAGATTTTATGTAAACCATTTTCATCTTGCCATGGAACTCTTAGGCACCATTATTTCATTAGAATGGGGTATCTTCAGTTAACGTCCCATAGCAAGGCAATAAATGCCCTTAGGTAGAATTCTCTAGTCCAGAAACTTGTGGCTGTAGTTGGGAGGTGCTCACAGGCTTTTGCCATAAACCCCTGTAAACACTCCACAAAGGGCTGTCAAATGGAGAATGTGTCTCAACCAGCACTCCAACTTCTACACTACACTCTGTGGGTTCCGGCAATCGTACTAGTTCCTGTGAACTCCAAATATCTGAAATGGGTCTCAGGCAATTTGGGATGTTTATTTTACCAAAGTTAAAGACATGTGCCCATGACACAGCCCCAGGAAGTCCTGACAACATGTGCCCAAGCTGGTTGGGGCACAGCTTGGTTTTATACATTTTAGAGAGACATGACACATCAATCAATATATGTAAGATGTACATTGGTTCAGTCCATAAAGGTGGGACAACTTAAAGCGGGGAGGGGGCTTCCAGGTCATCAGTAGATAAGAGACAAGTGGTTGCATTCTTTTGAGTTTCTGATTAGCCTTTCCAATGGAAGCAATCAGATATGCACTTATCTCGGTGAGCAAAGGGATGACTTTGAATATATTGGGAGGCAGGTTTGCTCTAAGCAGTTCCCAGCTTGACTTTTCCCTTTAGCTTAATGAATTTGGGGTCCCAAGATTATTTTCCTTTCACATTCCCATTTAGCATTTCCAATTAACATAGCTCAAAGGGTGGATCTATGTGCCTTCAGTTTTATAGTACTAAGCAGGAGAAACGCCCCACAGTTAGATACTAGACCCACTTTCATAAAACATTTTGGCAAAGGAGTCACAACAGCTTTGCATAAAGCCTGTTTAAACATTTCAACTTACACAATCCTATCAACTTTTCTTTTGTATGCTGTGGTCCTATCAGGGGTGGAAATATCCGAGTCTCATGGTACCAAATATGTTACCAGTAGAAGTATCCGAGTTACTAGCAGTGAATCCTTACGGGTCTGCAGCAACATCAATTCTTGCCTCCTCAGAAGAAAGAATTAGACTGAGGGGCGCAAGGCAGAAAAAGACACTGAGGCAACTTTCAGAGCAGGAATGGAAGTTTCTTTTAAAAGGCTTTAGAACAGGAAAGAAAGAAAAATACACTTGGAAGAGACCCAAGTGGACACATGAAGGTCAAGTGCAGTGTTTAACCATGATCCTAGGACTTTCCAGGCTGGCCCCTTTCCCATGGTTCTTCCCTTTGGGTGGGCTGCCCGCATGCACAGTGCCCTCCTTACCTTTGGGAGGTAAGCACACACAGTGTGATGAGGAAGTTGTAGGCATGCCCCTCTGAGACTTTCTTCCCTTTTCCTGTGGTGTGCCCCTTGAAGGTCACAGTCCACCATTTTGTCTCTTAATGCACATGGCCAGGAAGTTGCTTCTCCCTGGTGCTTGCATTCAATGAACACTTTACTGCAACAGGTGTGGAGCATCAGGAAATGGACTCTACCTGGTGCCAGCTGCCAATTTATCCATTTCAGACACGCAATGTGATAATTGCTGGACCATCACCTGACATTCCTAGGGGATGGGGGAGAGCCCTCTCCTGCCCCACTTGTGACTGTCACCTTTTCCCCCTCAACAGCCCAAGACTGCAAATCTTTGCAAGAAATGGATGAAGGTCAGTCTTCTGTGACTGCTTCCCACTGACAAAGGGGCAGTGGTGGTTCTCTGGGTCTTGGCCTCTTGCTAGCTGACAGGGTAGGAGGGTGACTCCAAGGATTGGTGAAAGCAGTGTCTATCCAAGTCCAAGGCAGACAGGGGCAGGATTTTGCCTCCTTCCTGCCTCACTGATGGCAGTCTAGGGGTCCTATGTAGAAAGGAATCTCTTGAATATTGAGAGGATGATATCACTCACTGAGGATCATCTGGAGCTTGATGGCCAATCCCTTTTGTTTCTTCTTAGCTGCAGGCAGAGGTCACTGGTTGGCTCATGGGAATAAGCAGGGTTAGTATAAAATGCAGACAAAACTTAGAAACAACTGAGGAGACTATAATCTGATAGTAGGTACTATTAGACTAGAATCTAATAGTAGGTACTATAATTTTTGAAACATAATTTTTCTCTCTGTAGTCCTCATTTTTGTTGAAAACAAATATGACAGGACTAATTTGTTTGCAGAATAAACTTCAGTCTTATTATTCTTGACCTGATTACTTGCATATAGCACAGCAAGAATAATCATGTTTCACATAAGCTTTTCAAATTGGCTTTGATGGAACTCTGTTTCATAAGGAATCTCAGATAAGACTTTTTTAAAGCCAAGCCCAGCTATGATTTTGTACCCTCAAATACCTGTGAGTTGGGAAATTTTCTCTCCTCTTGAGGTTCCAAAATAACTTGGGGCTCCTGAGCCTGTTAGAAAGTGACATTCTTTACTCATTGCAGGTTAGGAAATCTGTACAGGGAGTGTGTAGACAAGGTATGAGGCCAGTTTTCCCAAGGGGATTTTATTGGCTCTACAAGTCAGGTTTGATTCCTTAAAGGAAAGCATGCCATTCCAGTCAAAGCCTTGGTAAAATAACCAGTTTCTCCAACTGCATCCTCTTGCCAAAAAAAACCAAAAAATAGAAAACAAAAACAAACAAAAAACACCATTCTTATTGCACTTACGTAAATAACTATATTACCATAAGTTTAGAATACTCACAAATAGTTCCCAAATTCTAGAGAAATTAGGTAGAGAGAATCAAATAGGCTCCAAGTTTTTTCACATAAGTATTTTACTCAATTGTTAAAAGCTGTAAATAGCTCAAAAGATTTTTTTGGCTCTGAAAAAGCACAAAGATTAGTGACATTTTAAGTTAAAAAGTCAAAAAGGATTACTTCAGTCTTCTATTAGTTCAATCCATTCCATTAACTCCTGTTCTGTTTGATATTCATGAATATTTTACCTCTCCATTAGAGTCCTGAAAGGTTTTTTTGCTTTATTCTAATGTCACAATCTCCAAAGTTATCAGAAACTTGCATTTAAGAACACCTATTAGAGTTCTGTAGCTGATTATAAAACCAACATTTAAAGAGGATTAAAATAAGACAATAATTGTGGATGACAAAAAGTCTTAGGGCACCCACAGTTAAAGACACAATTGACAAGAAAATGTGTTACCTCTGTGGCACACAACAATTTTAGATAACAATTCTAATTATTAATAATATACACTAAGTTATATCAGAATTCCATAATTTTGGAAAACATACCAATGACATATTTACACAAATACAGACCAAAGAAAGAACTCTTAGCAACTTTTGGTAAAAAGCCTGGTTAGTAATTTTAATTATGTAATAGGTTTGGAGCCTAGGACACCAGAGAGAAGTGTAGATAAGATCTGATTCTTTCCAGCATAGCTAGGGGTGTGGCTAACTCCACCTGTCCCCAAGCCTTACCTAGCTGTAAATCAGGCTAAACAATTTTCAAAATCCAAAGACACAGTTTATGACCTTAAAACATTTAGCAAACCTAATATCTGACTTGCATAATTTTAGACCAAATGTCTAAATTTTTGAAGATATTTTTATTTTACCAATAATCTTTAAAACTGTCTTTATTCCCCAAAGATTATTTAAGTTACAAGAACTAAGAGGCATTAGTTTTATTTTTCTGACAATATTTAAGTCCTTATTTTTTAAACCAATTAGAGTTCTTTTACATAAACATCACACACACAACACATATAAATACATGGACAAACAGAAGATTCAGTAGTTGTAAGATTTTTTATTTGCCAGTAGTTTTTAAGTTTCTTAATTGGATTACTGGCTCCAGGGTGGAGCTCTTCCAGAAACAGGGCTGGGAAAGCATGCAGCTTCCAGTGCCTAATAAACAGGCGCACCTGGAAGGCAAAAACAGCTCCCCAAAATTAGGAGTCCCATTTTATACCAGATCCTGGATCCCAAGAAAGAGGGAATCAGCCCATTTCCTATAGAGGTTTTATCTCTCAGTGGAGGAGGGGGGACGTTTCCATATCTTCCAGGTGGCTGAGAGCATGCTTATCTAATCCAAACGTCAAAGAGCTGAGTATTCCCCCCAAAACTGCCATTAGCCATCCATAAAATTCTATTAGCTACCTAGTTATTACCAAAGTTCTCTCATAATGTGAAGTAATTTCTGCTACTGCCAAAAGTCAAAAAACATCAGGTAACACAATGCAAAGAAAACAGAGCCTCAGGTTTTGAGAGGGATCTATCCACTTCCAATTCCTGGGGTTCCATGAGGAAAACAGAGGTTTTTCCCAAAAGGGGGGTCTGTGGCACCTCCTCTGTTTTTCCCAAGGAGACCCAAGCTGTTAGAAATTATCTTGAGTACTCTCACGTGTGCATCAAGAGTGGCAAGAAGACAAAATGGAGAAAAACAATCAGTTGACTGAGAAGAAAAAACCTTTTTTTTTTTTTCCAGAAAAAAAATAAGATTCAAGAAGAGAAAAAAAAACAAAGGCCTTTTAAATATATGTATAGCTTGGATATCTGCTTTTAATTAAGCCCATTTTAACCGTAATGCTCTTAAAACAAAACCTTTAAGTCTCTTATTACCCAACTTTAGCCAGGTAATAAGAACGGCCAATATTTCTGGCTTTTGAACTTTGCCAAAAGTAACCTCACAGGTGAAACCAATAAGCCTTAACTAAGGTTATGACTTAGCCACGAGTGTATGAGGTATTTTCAGCAAGGTGGTAAGCAGTTTTTACAAGATTTAGAGTCTACAAAGGTAGCTCCAAGAAAGGAAAATTCAGGAAGTCAAGTCAGAAGTTGGTCATGCGGGGGCAGAGAATACAGTGATTTTTACCATTCCTACAATCAGTTTGCACAGAGAGGGAAGTCAGGAGGCTGGCTGGCAAGAATTTTTACCCTTTTGCTGGCAGGACAGGCTTCTAGGTTCCCTTTCCCTGGGCAGCCCTAGTGACCCTGGCATCCTGTGAAGGGACAGCAGATGAGGAGGTTGTGGGCATACTGTAGAAGTTATCCCCCATCAAGAGATTACTTGGTTAGATTTATGCTAGGGCTTGTTCAAGTAAGTGTGGGCTATTTGTATACCTCTGAGGTAGGACTGTCCAGGTTGAAGCTTTTGGTTAATGATTTAGGTAGCTTTCCCGGGATAAATAGGGCTATTAGAGAGAAAGGTGAATTCAGAGGTTGGGTGAATATTAAGCGAGCACCAATCTTAGAGAGTATATTTTTGCCCCAAAGAGGTGTGGGGTATCCAGATATTACCAGGGACCAGTGGAAGAATGGTAATTGGTCCTTAAATAATATAAAGTGTGAATTTTTTCTTTTGGAGGGAGGGGATGCCATTTGTCCCACCCACCAGGCTTAGTCCTGTCCTCCTTACTCTACTCTCGGTTATAAAAGACTTAAGAGGCTAATCCGAGGACCTCTTACACACAGGTACTGGGTTCCAAGGCTGACTTTTGTAATTTCCTCCCAGTTCATTTTTAAGCCAAACAGTATTACAAAGGAGAATTAGTTTTTTAAGGTTTGGGGAAATTAAACTTTTCCAAGTTTGGGGGGGATGTATCCGAGGGGCATGTCCTGTGGTATGTAGACATGATTGCCCATCTGCTGTGTGCAAACAGAAGACAGAGGAGAAAAAAGAGGACAAAAGGAAAAAGAAGCATCTCTCCTTTCTTCTTATCATCCAAAATGGGGCATCCCTCATCATCTTGGGTTCTGGACTTGACCAGTCCTTACCATGTACCCATCGTCCCATCTCATCACAATTACCCACTTGAGAACAGAGGAGATGTTGGAGTGAACAGTGGGCCCCTGTCCATCCCTGGGATTCCGGAATGTACTGGTCCTCACTATGTATGCCCTAGCCTTTCATCTCTGTTCCAATGGTAATCTGTTAGCCTGGGACCCCCCTTCATCTCTGTCCTGTGGATCTCTTGCCTCTTCGGCCTTGGGCCAGCCTGTATTTCTGTCCCCATGACATTATAGTGACCCTTACTCAGAGGATTCTAGTAATATAATGATTATCTCTTTTCTTAGAAGCCTGTTTCTCCATTAACTGCCATAGGGACTGGACTTCCTCCCCCTTCCCTTGGAATACAACCTTGAAGGTCTTGATGCACATTGAGAAGGGTGTGTAAGTAATTAGAGAAATGGAGGCTATGGGAGGAAGTGGAAGGAAGCGGGAGGAATACTCATGGAATGCCTTCATATGCTCAGAAAAACAGCAGCCCTTGCATTCAAGAAGGCAACGATTATTCGCCCTGTGGACATAAAGCATTAACTTCCGGAGGACTTGGGGCTTGGGGGAAGAATTTCTCCTCCTCCCAAAGTGGTGCTAGCTTACAAGGCAAGAGGGTGAGATCCTAAAAGGGCCAGAGCAAAGCCCTATGCAGGTGGACAAGCTGCTTTTAAAAGCCATCCAAAAACCTAGTCCTGGGGCATAACAGGAACGAAAAGCACACGGTGAGTTGTAAGAAGCTGGCAGAGCCAGAGTTCCAATTAGCATCTGTCCCAGCCGTGTGCCAGCAGGCAGGGGAAGGACTGAAGGTCATTCGAGCTGGGAGAAACAAATGTAAACCTCAGGATATCTGCAAGGGAGCCCCTGTCTTCACTGCTGCACAAACGCAGAGAGCCGTGGGCACGCAGGTAACAGGGAGTGTTTAGAAGTCACATAGCAGGCAAAGTGAAAGCAAAGAGTCAGGCTTGCCCCCAAGGTGGAACATCCAGTGAGTGCTGAAGGCCATTTCAGAACACACAGAGAATAAACAGGAGAATGGGGGGGGTGCAGAGTTTGGGAAAAGAGCCAATTTTAGTTGAAAAGAAAAAGTCAAGGAAACCCCAGATATTGCCTGGTTTTTAGGCCTTAGCCTCACCATTCTCACTAGCCTCTCACTAGGAGGGTCATTGAGTGCCTCTAATCTGCTTGGTGCAGACCCTAAAGTCCTTCCCACACCTGCGAGCCAGCCATCAGAGTGAGCTATCAGCCAAGGGGAGCAGAGTCACTAATGGCCAAGAGGAATTGTTCTGGGGTTTGGTTAGTGAGCAGGAGAGAGAGTGAGAAGGAAAACCATGCACCGGGGTCGGATGCCTCCAGCCAAAGAAGGTGAGGCACAGAGCTCTCTCACCACCAGGGAACGTATCTAAGTCATGCCACCAAGTATGTTAGGGGTGGAAAATATCCGAGTCTCATGGTGCCGGATATGTCACCAGTGGAAGGTATCCAAGTTACTGACGGCGAATCTGTACAGGTTTGCAGCAACCTCAAGTCTTGCCTCCTCAGAGGAACGAATTTGACTGAGGGGCATAAGGCAGAAAAAGAGACCAAGGCAACTTTCAGAGCAGGAATGGAAGTTTCTTTTAAAGGGCTTTAGAACAAGAAAGAAAGGAACGTATGCTTGGAAGAGACCCAAGTGGGTCTCTTCATGGTCCTGACATGAAGGTCAAATGCAGTATTTAACCGTGATCCTAGGACTTTCCAGGCTGGCCCCTTTCCCATGGTTCTTCCCTTCGGGTGGGCTGCCCGCATGCACAGTGCCCTCCTTACCTTTGGGAGGTGAGCACACACAGTGTGATTAGGAAGTTGTATGCATGCCCCTCTGAGGCTTTCTTCCCTTTTCCTGTAGTGTGCCCCGGAAGGTCACATTCCGCCATTTTGTCCCTTAATGCACACGGCCGGGAAGTTGCTTCTCCCTGGCGCCGGCATTCAATGAACACGGTAGTGCAACAGGTGTAGGCCATCAGGAAATGGCCTCTCGCTGGTGCCGGCTGCCAATTTAGCCCTTTTAGAGAGGCAGTGTGATCACTGTCAAACCATCACCTGTGGTGATGTCAAACCACATTCCTAGCGGGTGGGAGAAGAGCTCTCTCCTACCCCTGCTCATGAGTGTCTAATTACACCTGTAACAGCACCAGAAACTTCTTTTTTCAACCCCCCCAGGCCATTTTTCCCTCTCTTGTAAAAAAGATTTAGGTTCCCAGCAGGGGTTGAGCCAAGGGTCTCTCTTGTCAACCTTTAATCTGGACTTACCGGCATCAGCATTGCCCTCAGCTTACTCATTGCAATCTTTGCCCTTTGATGTTTTTTTTTTTAATTTATCCAATCTGGGATAAATACAGAAAACTGGTTTGGGGCCCTTTAACATTGTGGGGCCAGTGGAGGCTTCCTTCGGTTCACCCAACTTTTGACAGTGTTAAGACCTTTGTTTTGGCTGGGCGTGGTGGCTCACGCCTATAATCCCAGAACTTTGGAGGGCTAAGGTGGGTGAATAACTTAAGGTCAGGAGTTTGAGATCAGCCTGACCAACATGGAGAAACCCCATCTCTACCAAAAATACAAAATTAGCCAGGCGTGGTGCCGCATGCCTGTAATCCCAGCTACTCGGGAGGCTGAGGCAAAAGAATCACTTGAACCCAGGAGGCTGAGGTTGCAGTGAGCCGAGATTGTTCCACTGCACTCCAGTCTGGGCAACAGAGCAAGACTAAATCTCAAAAGAAAAAAAAAAAAAAAGACCTTTATTTTAACTCCATCAATTTTCATTTTATTCTGTGCCAAAAAGAGTCAGTCTCTATAAAATATTTGAAGAGATTTATTCTGAGCCAAATCTGAGTGACGAATGGCCCATGACACAGCCCTCAGGAGGTCCTGAGAACATGTGCCCAAGGTGGTCGGGGCACAGCTTGGTTTTATAGAGTTTAGGGAGGCAAGAGACAGTAATCTAATACCTTTAAGAAACACATTGGTTTGGTTCAGAGAGGCAGGACAACTCAAAGCCGGGCCTTCCAGGCTATAGGTAAATTTAAACATTTTCTGGTTGACAATTGGTTGAGTTAATCTGAAGACGTGGGATCAATGGCAAGGAACGTTGAGATTAAGGTAAAGGATTGTGGCGACCAGGTTTTATTGTGCAGAGGAATCTCTCAGATAGCAGACTTCAAAGAGAGAGCAGATTGTAAAATGTTTCATATCGGACCTAAAAGGGTACCTGGCTCTTAGTTGATTATCTCCTGGATCTGGAAAGAAATGAAGGAAAACAAAGTGGGAAGGGGAATCTCTATAGAATGTGGATTTTTCCCACAAGAGACTTTGCAGGGCAATTTCAAGGGATGGCAAGAAAATGTATTTTGGGGTTAAATATTTTTTTCCTTGTCTCATAATGTTATGCCAGAGTCAGATTGAAAAGTAAGTCACAATATACAGGGTTAAATAAAACCCATCTGATGAGAATTTATGGTTTGTAGAACATGACTCCCCAGACCCCTTAAGTAGGAATTTGGGCAAGATAAAAGATAAGAACTTAGTCCTCAATTCATTCCATTTCTTAGTAATTATCTAAAGATTGCCACCCTGCTGGGATAAGCCCCAGGACTCTCTCCTCTTTCCTCTTAGCTTCATCTATCGATTTTTAGAAATTTATTTACCTTATTTTTATTTTAGTTTTTAAATTTTTATTTATTTATTTATTTATTTTTGAGACAGTTTCACTCTTTCACCCACGCTGGAGTGAAGTGGCGAGATCTCAGCTCCCTGCAACCTCCGTCCCCCTGGGTTCAAGTGATTCCCTGCCTCAGCCTCCTGAGTAGCTGGGATTATAGGCACCTGCCACCATGCCTGGCTAATTTTTTTTTTTTTTAGTAGAGACGGGGTTTCACCATGTTGGCCAGGCTAGTCTCCAACTCCTGACCTCAGGTGATCCACCCGCCTCAGCCTCCCAAAGTGCTAGAATTACAGGCGTGAGCCACCACTGCGCCTGGCCTATTTACCTTATTTTTAAATAACCATTTTAAAATTTCCACTTCCCTTTGATGGATTCTGACTGTTCCTTTTGCCTTTTCCCTGCTCTTAACTAACCTTGTGGTTTTATCAGCATCTGTAAGACCCATGAGAAGAAGCCAGCTGCTTCATCTGAGGTGCTGCACTTGGCATTTATAGTGGAATCAGACTGTCCCCTTCTCAGGGTAAACAGACCTTCCAGTGCCTTTTACCTCGTTCCCCAGGCTGGCTGCTCCCTCAGGAATACCCTCCTGTGTGTCTGGATTGTATATACCCAGCTGCAATTGTTCAGTGGTGAGTATGGGTCCTGCGTCAACCCAAACATGCTCTTCCCCTCTGCAGCATTTTAAACCAGAGACACTGCTCCCAAATTAGTCACGCTCACAATCCATTTTCATAAAGGTTCTCCAGGGAGCTGATGATCCAGACATACAAAATGGAACAATTCCTTCACACTCCCCTCTAGTTTCAACAGTTGCTTGGTTTTTCCCTTCCCCCACATTGACTATCTTCTTGGTAACTACAGGTCTCAAAGGTAATTTCTTTTGTTCCTGGCATAATTTTCCCCTTTGTGGGTAGCTTTGAGGCTGATGATCTGAGCTCAGACAGACCCAGATCTGAGCTTGGTCCAGCCCCAAGGCCCAACCCAGCACTCTCTTCTTTTCATTTTGAAACAATCTGTAAATATTCTAGATAAAATTGCTTTTCCTTTCAGCAAAAATCACACTTTTATAACCTTTACCAAACACCCTCTAAGTAATCCCAATTTCTGCTGAAAACCCTAGGATTAATTTAATATAACATGACTTTAAGATCGTAAATTCCTGAAGAGAATTTTGAAACTGGTTTTATTTACCAAAGATTACCAAAATCGTGTGCGCTAAAAGGCATTCAAGCTAGCATCTATTTTTCTGATAAAATATTTGATTTAAGCATGTAAATGTTGTCTTTCATATATTTTGGTAGTGTTAGGACTGCAAAATGCTTGTTCCCTGGTGCCATAAAGAAATAGCACTTGAGGGCCAGGCCAGTGGCTCACGCCTGTAATCCCAGCACTTTGGGAGGCCGAGGTGGGCGGATCACGAGGTCAGGAGATCGAGACCATCCTGGCCAACACAGTGAAACCCCATCTCTACTAAAAATACAAAAAATTAACCGGGCATGGTGGTGGGAGCCTGTAGTCCCAGCTACTCAGGAGGCTGAGACAGGAGAATGGCGTGAGCCCAGGAGATGGAGCTTGCAGTGAGCGGAGATCGTGCTACTACACTACAGCCTGGGCAAAAGAGCGAGACTCCGTCTCAAAAAGTAAATAAAATAAAATAAGAAATAGCACTTGAACATAAATTTAATTCTCTCAGCAAGGCAATTTTCACTTTCTGCAGAAAGGGTACACTCACCAGCAGTCTTGCCACAAGAGTACACCTAAGAAAGGTAAAGCAGATGTATTTGTCCCTTACGGATTTTGGTCATCCTTACTGCTGTGTCCTGCATCCATTGGCTGGAGCTGAACCTCACAGCCTAAACTGACACTTCACTTGCTAACAACCTAAAACTTTCTTAACTAGGTAAAGGCAAGGGAGAGCAAAGGAAAGGAGGAAGTTGCTTACAAAAGATTTAAAGAAGCAATAACATTTCCAAATAAGGAAGGGGCATAGGCTGTGAACTGGAACGTGCCTGAGAGCATGTCCAACAGCTACATAGGATAGGGCTTAACAAAGAGTTATTAGCACAAAGCAAGGAGGCTTAAAGAAAGTTAGTCTTTAAAAGAAACTATTATTTCTAACACTTATGATTTATTCTTTAACAAGAAGGGAAACTTTGAAGAGGAACTTTTTACTTTCTACAGTAGTGAAGTATCACATATGCATGACACATATGTAGACGTAGCAGACACAGCAGCAGATCTTACACATTTAATAAGATTTTTCTTTTGCCATCTTTTAAATATTCTCCCTCACTTTAGACTGTTAATCTCTCGAATTGCCTGTTTCATGGCCTAAGCAAATGTTAGGGAGAAAATTCTAAATCTGCATCTCCTAAGACAGGACTCTGGGGAAACAGGTGGAAAGGAACAGAACTTCAATCTAAGCAAAAGCAAGATCTGTTACGTACACGTCAAGCCATTGTCTTCTCCGTAGATAAAGTTTCTAGTGGTTTCAGTACAGAGACAGAGATGCCCTTACAAATGGAGATTCCCCCTAACGATGTACATTTCCTTTACAGAGCGTTCTGAAGGCTGATTCGTTAGATTGGCGGTCTTTTCAATTTAGCTTGTTTCTTAATTAGATTACTGGCTTTAGGATTGAGCCCTTTAAGGACCAGAACCAAGAAAGCATGCAGATTTTAGGACCTAAACCATGACTTTCTTTTTCAGACGTGCAAAGACCCAAGTAGCCCCCAGAGCAATGACGGTTTCCAGGGCACGACTATCCTGAGCCACCTCCAACACTGTGGCTTTCACCCGCCATCAACCACCAGCCATCACACACATCGAGGTCAAGTCCTCTCACAGTGCCAAGCAGTCTCTAGTGCCCTACGAACAGTCAATGAGCCCAGTAACACAGTACAAGAGAGCACAGTCCTAGACCTGAGGGGAACCTGTCTGCTTACAACTTAGGACGCCACGAGGAAAAACAGGTTCCTCCCAAAGAGAGGAGACTGGTGCCTTTTCCTGGTTCCCCAAGGATCCTAGGCTGCCAGAAATTTCCTTGTTTAGGTCCCTCATGTGTCATTGGGGGTTGCAAGAGGAAAGAGGGACAGACAGAAGCAAACAGAGAAACAGGGTTCAGTCAACTGAGAAGTTTTACAGAGAGCAGAGGCCTTAAAGCAATAAGCAAGCCAGGCACAGTGGTGCAAGCCGGTAATCCCAGCACTTTGGGAGGCTGAGGTGGGTGGATCACCTGAGGTCAGGGGTTCAAGACCAGCCTGGTAAACTCTGGTGAAACTCTGACTCTATTAAAAATACAAAAATTAGACAGGCACAGTGGCGGGTGCCTGTAGTCCCGGAGGCTGAGGCAGGAGAATTGCTTGAATTTGGGAGGTGGAGGTGCAGTGAGCCGAGATCTCACCACTGTACTCCAGCCTGGGCGACGGAGCAAGACTCTGACTCAAAAAAAAAAAAAAAAAAAAAAAGCAGTAAGCAATAGGAGTGCACACATATACAACCCACATGGCAGATTGAACCAAGTTAGCTTTTGACTGCCAAGCTCTTTTAAAAACCTTTTCCCAATTGTAATTCCTACCAAAGCCCTTTTACTTTGCCTCTGCTGCTGGCTGAGCTCCATCACCGAAGAGGCACCCCCTAGAAGCAGCCGTCCACAGCAGTAGCTGCTCACCACCCTTCCTTAAACAGCTCTCAGCTAATGATTGCTTTAAGCATGCCAGCATTTTAGAGGCATCACTGCACTCACACACATGCATCTAAAAGGTGACCCATGCTGCCTGGGATTTCTCCCACAGATGCTTCATTCCCTTTGCACATTTCTTGGTCTCTCAGCCCACGTTTTAC